AAACATAGGCGAAACGACGAGGCCTAAATAATAAGCTTAGGAAACCTTCGCTTCGTTGAAGGTGCTTACAATAATATCGTTCGTTTACAAAGGCGTAGGGACGGGTTTAACCCAGGCGGTTTCGACTTTTCTCCACGCGTTCTTTGCACGCGAGCTGATAATGCTATTATGCGTTTCTAATAAATAGCCACCATTGTTTCTAGATATGGGGTTTTGCGCAATTATGGAAGCGTTAAATCGGTATTATTTTTGCAACAAAGAACTTGGAGTTTCCAAATTAAAATTGACTAACTGCTTATCAGGTTTAAATCTACACTAGTGTAGGAATTAGCTCGCCTATTCGAGGAAAAAAGCCGAAATCAACAATCTTCTATCGTAATATAATCTTAATGGTAACTTCTTTACCAATTTTATATTAGTCGTCTTGTGACGTTAATGACCCTTTTTCGCCACCCTAGTTAAATCTAAAAAAAAAATTTCGATTCCAGCTAAGACTTTGGCACAATAATTGTTGATGTGTTACTAGTCATAAAATATCACACTGACTTGCCAATATATATATGTTATGAATGTTAGGGTCAACGGTGAATATGGAACTATTGACGATATAGTCGTATATCTCCCCTTGTCTATACCGAAAATCTTTGTTTACTCCTATTTGCATTTCATTTTGTTTGGCAAGGTAATAAATCTTTCTGATGTTGTATCACTCTGAATGAGTCACTGAACAAGCATGTTAATGGTTAATGCCACAGAAGTGATAAACTACGCCACAATACTTGACTAGATACTTTTCATTGTGACATGAGTAAATGATTTATATGTTTAAATATTGTCATCTATACCAAGCAAACATTCTTGAAAACTTGATATCAGTTAAGCAAAAACTTTTCGAAGAAAGTTTCACCAGGTAGTGCGACATTTAGTTGTGAGTGAAAATGACAAGTCTATCTCATTCATAGCAAGGTCTTTTGACCATCTGATTAGCCTTGCAATTATTGGACGCAAGATGATCGCTTTGTTAAATTGTTGTTGTTGAAAAAACGCTACAACTGTTGAACCAATCAGTGTCAGATTTTTAGCATTCAAAATGGAAGAAGTCACTAAAAGGCTATGGGATACGGTATTTCACCAAAAAAATGGTACTCCCGTGGTGTGTGTACCGGGTTAGGGTTGGGCCATAATTTTATTCCGATTTTCCTTATTTTAGTTCTATTGCGAGTTCGGGTACTGTCTGTGTTAGCCAGGTGAATATACCCCCTGCCCATAGATTTCAGTCCATTTACACAACTTGATGTAAAGTAGGCGAACAAAACTCGTTGTTGAACAAAACAACAAACTTCCATATTGGTACACACACTTGTGGAACGCCCGAAATTTTGCTGTTTTCTTCTGTGTGGAAACGCTTCTATATGATATTTGACCTTAGTGTCCTACATTTCCCACGGATTTGTTGGAATTCATATTTGCACTGAATACGTGAGCAAAATAAAAATCATTTCAGAAGGATGTAACAAAATATGGCCCGAAAACAGCATGAGATTTTATAAGTTTTATCTCGATTTTGTTTTCAATTTCAAGCGTTCCCAGTACAACCGTATTGGAAAGAGCAATAAAAGGTTTTTATTACGCAACAAATGTTCATAAAAATTAACAAGTAAACGCCGACGTAGCTGCGGATGTGATTAATGCTGTTCGATTTGGTATTTGATTGAAATAGGATATATTATAAATTATATTATTAGAATATATATATAAATTTGGCTACGTGTGGCCATCAAGCCCTACAAATTATATTTTTTTCACGGCCGAATTCAAAAATCGACAGCTGAACTGAGCGCTTCAGCATGGCAATAATTCTTCCTTGAAAATGGTCAATTTCAAATAAATGATATGCGAACGGCAGCATTTGCAGATTTTTGTGTTCAATAAAGTCGTTGACGTCATCGAAAATAACGCGGGATCACTTCATACGTAAAGCAAATCCCGCCTGTCACCATGTGGATAGTCTGCAATATTTCATTATTCTTATAAACCTTTGGATATAAATTATTATCAACGATCCGGTTACGCTGAACTAGGAGTGTGAAACCTTTAATGCATGAGGGCCAGATACAAAGAACTGGGTGAAACCGCGGGCCGGCCTTTTATTTAACATATTATGCTCTCTAGTAGTTGCAGGCACAACAATTTTGACGATTGATCTTATGGCATGGGTTGTTCGCTTCGCCGGAGCCAGCTATTAGGACATTGTAACGTCATGGGCATAGATAAAAAAAATTGAAACAGGGATAAGCTTGGAATTACTCGCGCGTACCAGATTAAACTGAATTGAAAACTCGTTTCGCGGGCGCACAATTTTTCTTTGTGGGCCGAATTTGGTCTGCGACCCGCAGGTTGCACACCCCTGGTCTAAACCAGTGATTTTCAACCGGTGTTGTTCCGCGAGAGACCTCCAGGTGTTCCGCGAAAAATTGCTTTTTCGAAGTATTATGACGTCATTCGAATAATATAAATAGAGTCGATTTGAAAATGGCGAGTCAGAGTTTTGGAAAGTCGGTATAAAAAACTTGTAACCGGATAAGAAATGGCAGGCCATATTCCCTTTTAATAGACTTTATCTCGGCGTGTATGTTTAGTGATCCATTCCATTCTTGACCAAATAATGTTTCAAAAATGTGAACATTATACTCGACCATGAATGGAGTCGGAGTTGATTACATTCGTTGCATTTTGAAGCTATTCTTGCAGTAATAATTAGGGCGTGACATCATCAAAATCGTCAAGTGAAGTGTTGAATTTGCAAATTCTGTAAATAAAATTTTAGCTATGATAATGGTCGCAGTATTGTTTTGTTGGAAAAGAAAACGTTAAAACTCGAGGTGAATAATTCTAATCAGCACAAAAGCAATTGGGCAAAAAAAATTGTTTACAATTTCTATTAATGTTTCTATTAATTTCCAAATGGACCTCCGACCTTCTGGACACCTGCTGCGTATAAAAAAAACGCGAGAAATTGAGAGCCGTTGAGAAAGAGCTGCGTGTTTGTCTCTCCTCAATTACAGAATAAAATATTTGAAACTCATCGAAACAGACCCAAATATCACACTAAAATACCATTTCTGTTTCTAGCTATCGTAATCATAGTATTCATAAGCAAACTTGCAAAAACATTTATTTGTAACGTCGCTCTTGTAGTTCTGAATCGGAATGTGTCACGTCTTTTCCTAAAGTTGACAAGCTATATTATTGATTTCGTTATTTTATTTTCATGCCGAAATGATCGACGTCAGTAAATTGCATAATATAGTTTATTTCCAAAAATTCCGTTTGGTGTTCCGCCACAATTTCAGAATGAACAAAGTGTTCCGCGATACAAAAAAGGTTGAAAATCACTGGTCTAAACAATACTTCGAATTTTTTTAAAGCGGGGAAAGTCAGCCAGTCAGAGGTTTAATGAATCACCCAGTTCACCAATCCTTCAGCAATGTGTATATAATTTTCTCCGCGGGTTTTAACCTACAAAGCCAAGAAGGATAATCAAAAAATGCAACAAGAGAGCCATGTGCAAATATACGGAATTCGCGTATCCGTCCAGCATCAGAGTAGACTACTTCTACTGTACATCAGGGGTGTGCAACCCTCAATACAGGAGGGCCAGGTGGAAATAACTGAGCAAAACCGCGGGGCGTACTTTTATTTAACATACGCTTTTTAGCAGTTGCAGGCACAAAAATTTGAGTTATCAGCTGTTAAGGAATTATATATAACGTCACAGGCATAGATAATAAATTGGACTCATGTAAAGGCTTTATAACGCATGAGGATTGAAATTGCTACCATATTAGACCGCGGACCGCACACTATTCAAAATGGGCACTTCTCCGCGGGCCGCATTTGGCCCACGGGCCGTGGGTTGCACACCCCTGCTGTACATAGTTCGCTCGAAAGATCGCCAGACAAGCAATACAGAGACGGTCGAGCTATGCAGAATTTTTTTTCATTCAAAATAAGCTGACTTTGTAGTGAGACATCGGATTCCACAGGACTCAAGAGGAAATTACAAAAAAATAAAAGTAATTGTTTCCTAGATACTTGTTCCACCTTTAATTATTGAAAATTTAAAAAAGGTCTGGTCTGTAAGTGGCGCTCCAGAAGTGTGTGTATAAATATGGCTGTAACTAATTTTGTTCGCCTACTTTACATCAAGTTGTGTATTGGGACTGAAACCTATAGGCAGGGGTTATGTATATTTACTTGGCTAACACAGACAGTCCCCTAACGCTTTCGGAGAGTAATCAAAAAATCGCATTTAGTGGGTTTAGTGAGTTTTTTTTTGCATGTTATAGCTTAATAAATGACAAATACAGATCAATGTGTTTGCACAATAAAGGGGATTGTTTTGTATTGCACTGTTTACCTATTCTTTCACTATTGTGGCCCGCCAAAAATGCAAAAATAATTTTGTGGCCCCCGGAGCCGACAACCTTGGACCACCCTGTAATCTAGATGTTTCAAGACTCTTCTGCAATAGAACTAAAATAGGGAAAATCGAAATAAAATTATTGTCCAACCGTAACCTGGTACACACACTACAGAAGTACCACATAAGTTTCGGAGAAATGCAATTTTAACAACAACATCAATCCCCCCGATAACAACAAGAATTCAGCAAAACGACCCCCAGTACATTTCGTCTCCAATCGCGTCTAACAACAAGCTGTAATTCTAGCGCCCAACCTCAAGACGTTCACCGTTGTAGTCGACTGGCATATTGGCCGACATTAATGATAACTGAGTTCTCCTAAGCCTGCTACATAGGTTTGCTACGCACTCTCATGAGTCTCACATGAAAGCAATCATTTTTGGGCACGAGGTGGGATATGGATTGTTTTGTGTTGATAGATAAAGAGACAAATTATAAATACATTCATCGTCAAACAATCTATTATACAAAAAAACACGATATTTACAACTTCATATGGAAAGATACTTATAACACAGCAATGAAAAATGGAAGAAACTGAATCTAGCGGTGATGACAAGGTATATATTTATATAACAAAAATAACGACAGTAAGGAGCAAATTGCAAAAATTAGGAAATTCCAGAAATATTATTTGACGTACGGCTCAATGATTTAAAGATATTTTGATCTACGCAGCGAGTGTGGTTATAGTTAGGAATGTTCAAACCAACCTCTCTAATAATGATTGCTAACTTATGATAAAGTTTTAATTGTGGATCACAAGGTAGTCTAGATGTAATTTTATTATAAAAGTTCTTTCTGTATTAGGATAATTCGCGACATCATTGATAATTTAGTATTTTGAAGCGTTCAATATCGAATTGTTTGGGATTTTTTTTTATGATTTTGAAACCAGTCATTTTTGTAAATAAAACTAGAGACAATTTACATTTATATATAGCGTTAAATATCCTATTAATCTTAGAAAATATGATTCAACAAATTATCAAGATCATTTCGATTGCATAAAGACAGATTTTTAGATCTAAAGGGAACAAAAATTAGACCAAATAAGCGAAACATTGCCGTTATAATAGGATATCATAAAAAAGGTTTGCGAACAAATAGAAATGAGCAAAAACGTGATTGAAATTGTAACCAATATTGAACAGTTGAATTCAGACAAGTTTGCAAAGATCACTTATTGATTCTAGATCAGGATGGTCCAAACCTAGGCCCGCAGCTTCATTATCTGTAGCCCGCGTCGCATTAGAAGATCGAAAAATCGCATTTGGTGTTGGGAGGTTCAGTGAGTTTTGCATGTTATAGCTTTATAAATGATAAATACTGATCAACGTGTTTGCGAAATAAATAAGTTTGTTTTGTACTGTTTATCTATTTTTGGCACTATTGTGGCCCGCAAACATACAAAAATAATTTTGTGGCCCCCGGAGCCGACAACCTTGGACCACCCTGTAATCTAGATGAGCCTTGCTGGACACTAACAGACATATATATCTGTAACGTTTCGTCTGACCAAGGTCAGATTTCCTCAGACATACATGCGCAGCAAGACTCTTGGATCACTCAGAATATCTTTACTCAAGCTTCAGCATCCTTGCATTATATGCAAGCGGTGCAAAAGCACAGAGGAAGGTACGAAGTTAGTCCCGCAGAAATCCGGTCGATTATTCATTGACTTGCTATTCAGAAACTTTCAAAAGTCAAGAGTCAAAAATTATATATAGATTATATGCAGCAGATTTGATAATAATTTTACGAATTCCATATTTGTCAGTTTTCATTTGTATCCGACATACCTATACATAATATTTCAGAAGTGCATCACAAATAAAATTTTTAGCTTGAAATAACTTGAAAATATTCGAAAATGATAAATATGCATAAAGTTAATGTAATAGTAAAATGATACGGAATAAAAATTAGTAAGAACAACTATATCTTGTTTATGCATAGTTTAGAAAAGTCTTAACAATGTTTAACAATAACAAATCTTTATTTGTTTCTACTTGCACGCACAGAAATTTATGAAATAACAATTAAAAAGTAAAAATAAATGAAAGCATTACAAATTAGTAGCACAAATGTTTACAATATTAAAATGATTAAGCATAAAAATTAAGAACAAACCGGTAATTATGAGCATTTATGTCTTGAATATGCATAGATTAGAAAGTATTAACAATGTTCAACAATATAATTCTTTGTCTGTTTCTTCTTGCACACACAAATTTATGGAATAACCAACCATCAAAAAGTATAAATAAATGAAAGCATTACAAATTAGTAGCACAAATGTTTACAATAGTAAAATGATTAAGCATAAAAATTAAGAACAACGGTTATTATGAGCATTTGTGTCTTGAATATGCATAGATTAGAAAGTATTAACAATGTTCAACAATATAATTCTTTGTCTGTTTCTTCTTGCACACACAAATTTATGGAATAACCATCAGGAATTACAAATTGACATTAATGTTTATATTTACTTTGCTTTCTTATTGCACTTATATTTTCATACAGGCTTTCATTGCCAGCTGAACCAGATACTTCTTGTGCGCGACGGTTTATGTTTTCATAAAGACTGAATGAATCAATATATGCCAGCATAATATCGTAGCAGAGTTTATATTGTTCCTAAAAAAAAAGTAAGTGTTTTTATATTTTGATATGTCAGTTCATTTATGAATTGCCCATTTTCTGTATTTTTTTACGATTTTCATGATAAATATTTTTTTGTTAATAAGCGATTTTGTCCCCGATTTTTGGGACAAATAACAATTACATAGCGTGATATTTAGACATTATGGATATTTTGTTTTATGCAATCCTAAGCTAGATGAACACGTATTAAGTACAATAAAACCAATTTCCTTTTATTTCATAAATATTACAAATTTATCTGGCGCTCCAGATATATGTGTATCAATATGGAGGTAACTAATTTTGTTCGCCTATTTCATATCAAGTTGTGTAAAGGGGCTGAAACCTTGGGACAGGGGGATATTCACTTGGCTAATACAGACAGTACCCGAACTCGTAATGGAACTAAAATATAAGGAAAATCTGAATAAAATTATGGCCTAACCCTAACCTGGTACACATACTACGGGAGTACCATTTATCTTTTTTATGGGAAATCGATGAGATATCCAATACTCATCTTATGAGTATATTTCTAAATCACCAGTTTATCTTCGTACAGTCTAAAGTTCAAGCAGTACTTTTGGTATAACATAGAAAAAAATACTTTACAATATAATCGCATTATCTTTATTGATATGTTACGTTTATAATTAGATCATTTATTCATACAACTTACTTCTGTTTGGACCGTTCCGGGTCTGCAGTCTCGCAAGTCTTTCACAGTTTGGAAAACATTGAATCGTTTTTCTACTTTGAATCTTTGTAACAAATTGTATACTGCGCAAAATACGCCAGTTCGACCTGATCCATCACTATGATTTGAAAATTCATACAATATTACGTAAAGGTAATATAAGATGGTCGGTTATCTACGCATCGTTTGATTAGGAGATGAACATAGAGCAGTGGTTCTCAATTTGCGAGGCGCGCCACACAAGGGGGCGTAGAGTATGCTTTGAAAGAGCGTGAACCGTGAAGCTACTTTAAAATAAAAATATTTGTTATATTTGGTCTTGTCCGCCTTATTTTGGATATTTACATGTCTTCATAATGTCCACATATTTTCAACGTGTTTTTGAATAAAACATGCTTTCGCCTTATTACCTGTTATTTGTGGCTTATTGTTAGCTAGTTATTTTTGAGGTGGAGCGCGAGACTTGACAAATTTAACAGGCTCAAACACTTTGATAACCACTGATAAATGCGCTAAAACAATTTGTATCCAAATGGTGTCTTCCCATTTCTTTTTTCGTAGTTCTGGTTATTTTTTATTTTACGAGTGATCGCTAGTTACTCTTAAAATAAGAAAGCGTCTTATTTCAAGTCAAATCGTGCTCACGTGGTGACTTTATGCCTCTCAAAACACCCGATTGAACGTCTACGGCAACGATATTGCTTTTTCATTTATTCTCACTTCACACAACAACTAACAATTGCAAGCCAAATCATATTCAGATCAGTTCAGGTTATTGAGCTGTTTTTCAAACTGATTTCTTGTAAAGTATACGTGTAATATTCTGTAAGATACGACGACTGGTAGGTCATTCACAATTGCGTAATTGATTGCTATAGTAACATTGTTAATACACAAAATACTCAAGAGAATTTATGCGAACTTAACTTAACTTAAGGAGTTTCCTTACCTGCAGTGAACGAGCTTCTGCTGTTTTGAAAACTTCTGAAAAATTGAAACCAAGTTCAACACAGATGAGATATCGGGAGATCTTTCTGAACTCCAATTTGGATGCTGGTAATGGATGATGGGCTGAAATAGCAATGTGATAGATATTAGTTTGTAATAAACTAAAGCATAGTTTCGCATGAATAAAGGACATTTTTTAAATAGTAATTGGGCAGCCATATAGACAGCAGGTTATAAGTAGGGATGTTTACAGAGTCCTAATGGGCTCCGTTGTAGAGGGCTATCGAGCTACCATACAGACAGCAGGTTTAAAACATCTATGATCCTAATTGTTATTTGAATGAACCAGCAGGAGCCTTAATCCAGCCAACAAATACCCATACTTCGGACCCAAACATATGAAGTTCGATCACATATGTGATTAACTGATTATATATATATATATTGTATGCAGATATGCACTTTTAAAATTAATTAGGTACATTTGCCAGTAACCCCGGCCTTCCTCAAGAAGAAGGACAAACAGTATATATAAAATAAATACAAGTAGGATTTTCAGTAATTCACATAATATGTTATATGTTCGCTATATCTTTTACAAAAAGATGACTTAAAACGGGCAAAATGCCTAGCGAAAAAACTGAAAGTAAATGAAATTGCTTCCACACACACTAATAGATCATGATATTTCAACAATTATTAGTGAACTCGTATCAGTTTCAGTGAAACGACGAATAATTTTAAACTTTGTAAGATTTAAACCTTACATTAGCTTCTGACTGCTCGGCAAACTCTGTACATGGTTAAGTTGTCTTGGTCAATTATTTTATCGCATGTTCAACTAATTTTGCTTAAATTTAAGGGGTACTGTTCAAAGCAAGGCCACTGAAATGCCAGGAGCTCCTGGTACTAGACATTGAACAATGGTGGTGCATAAAGCGACAGTAAACACCGACTAACCTGGAATCGGGGCAGAAAATGACTTCCTAGTATAGTCCCTTACTTATTATTCCTATTACCTAATTACCTATTATTTAATATCCTAATATACAGAGTGTTGATAAAGCCTTTAAAATTGCAACGGAAGTTCATCACTACTATATATTTTGGCTCTCACAGATGTATTAAAGGTAGTAAAAATACTCAAACAATTCCTAGTTGAGAAACAACAAACCTGGTTAAGATATATTGCGAACTGACTTCATAACTAAATTAAAAATGTAAAGGGACTTTATGGACATCCTGTATACAAACCTGTGATTGCCTATCTCTCGTGACAATTAATCTGCGTAAGATGATCTCATTTTCAGAACTTTCTTCAATCAATTCAACTCTTATGTTGCCAAATTGTGATTTGCCACCGATATTATCAGGCCAATATTGGCAGCATTGTTGCTAAAAAAAAAGTGATAAAATTAAGATTTCTAATAGTTTATTGTATGCCTAAATATATTTGATTGATTTGAAGTTTGATTTATCAAAACAAGGAGAACATGAACGAAATATTTAAAGTTTGAGAGAAACAGGCTGGACTTAAAAAGAACATCGATAACGTGGTAAAAAAAATTTGAATCATTCAATCATCATTTAATAGTTGTAATAGTTATAGTTGTAGAAAGAACATTCTTTGGTCATATATTTTGTGCCAAACATACCTTACCTGCGTTAAAAATAAATTGGACAGGCCAGTTAAATTCATCCCAGGCATGGATGGCTAAGAGGTCATGGCTTGTCTTCAGGTTGTCTTCACCTTGTCGGTTTTCCTCGGTATTCCCAAAGTTTGTGAACCAATATGGCGGATATGGGAAGTGGGAACTTAGTATGTGTACCAGGTTAGGTATTTTATTCCAATTTTCCTTATTTTAGTTATATTACGAGTGTTCGGGGACTAGCCAAGTGACTCCCGTAGTATTTGTACCTAAAATTATGGCCTAACCCAAACCTGATACACATACTACGTTCCGATATCCACCCTCTTGTTTCAAATACTTCGGGAGGACCTTTTCCACTTTTTAGAATCCAACCATAATACCTGTTCTTCTTCCATTACTTGGGTCAACATGACGATAACACTAACATCGTTGTCCATTATTGCTCTCCAAAAATATTCGACAGTTGATCTCATTGGTCCTTGGGCAGCAATCACTTTACCGTTTCCTTCATACGTCTGGAAAAATTAAAATATCTCTTTGTCCAATCTCTTTTATTTTAATTGCGTATCTTGTTATTGCTCTAGTATTTTATTCGAAGTAGGCCATTAGCATTAGATATGATATGCTCGATAACCAGTTTTGGTTCTTCCCCAGTAATGTAAATATTATATTTTTCCTTATATTTTTTTATTATTTAATACCGAATACAAGTAAAAATTCATTCTAGAAAAGTAATATGCGGTCGGGACGGTGAAAACTATTGGTGAACACTGAAATAAAACACTACAAAATTCCAGTTATTTGATTGCGCGGAAACTTCGTTGAGTTTTGATGTGGAAACTTATTTTTGAATTACTGTAGAGGCAGTCAACCGATAGAGTGGGGAAATAACAACGAATATCTGCGAAATTTTGAGAATCTGTAGCGCATTTACCGGTATCTCGTTAGCCATGGAGAAATTGCGAATCCGACTTTCAAAACTTTTACTCCAATGCCAGCAGCCAATGTAATATGTATATACATCCAATTTATCATCCATATACAGTCATTTAAATCAGGGCTTCCCAAACTAGGGGCCGCGAAACGAATTTTAGGGGTCGCAAAGAGAGCACCAATTTTATACAAAGTACTATATCTATTGTACTTTTCCAGACTCTTGATTCAAAATACAATTATTAAGAATAATGTGAAACAAAAATTTTACGATTCCTAATGAACACATCATTATACTGTGTAAATAAGACAGTGTCTTCAATTTTATTTCGAAAATAACACTAGGGCTTATTTTGGGAGGATGTAGAGAATAACGAGATTTTATATTACGCCAAATATGAATACCGATTTCCATTACTTATAAATAGCACGTCTTCATTTAAAATAACTGCTACATATAGATTATTAACCATTTAAAAAGTAGAAAAAGTGGAAATTTCCTGAGTAGAAATTTCTTGCTATCGACTAGGACTCAGTGGTTCTCAAACTTCATTGTATTGTGACGCCCTCCAAAAATATGCTCAAGTTACGACTACCCGTGAAATACGTATTGATACCTTTCAATAAAAGATTTTTTTTGCAATGAGTTTCATATGAAGGAACAAACAAAACATAACGACAGTCAGTGAAATCATACTTAATGGGCCAAAGGGAATTGGAGTCCGCAACGTTTTTTGAACCAAGAAAAATAATCTTTATCTACAGAAAACCGAATGTTCAGAATTAAACTTTTTTATTGTAAAACCATCACAGGTAAGATCGATATAATCTTCCCCTTTTTCTGTAAAAGTAGAAGATATATAGGGGTTGTTTGAAAGGTTCACGAATCACGAAATTTTGCGACGTCCTAGCAAAATTGAAACGACGCACTTCCACGGGATTAGGTCAAAAAAATTTGCGCTATCGACTATGCTTTTTTAAAGGGGAGCGCTTATATTAAAATAATTTCTAAAATTCAGGCTTGATTTGATTTTCGGGAAAACACAGTAGAATCACCGTGCTTGCACATCAATGCATATTCTGATCAAAAGACCCGATTTGCGTGTGCTTGCATAACAATGCCGGCTTTAATAATCGTTAAGCTAGCGGTTCCCGAAGGCGATTTGATAAGTGCGCCTCGAAATATATTACATATTATATTTATTCAAAATGTTTTATTGTTTCTCATTGTTGCAAATGATGTGTATATGAATCAAATTCATTTTACTGTTCTATGATGTGTACGCTCTGTTACGTCGGGTAACCTACATGCTGCAATTTCGTAGGCTGCAGTTGATTCATTTGCTGAACATGAGTGATTTTTTTAGCATTTTAGAGAAAAACCAAGTAGAGATAAGATAAGTACATATTAACGATGACAAAATTGTGTTTTATTATCAGGCAGCATATTTTTCGTGTAGGTGCGCCATGAGTTTTTTCCGTGATAATTTGGCGCCACACAAACCGCTGTCTTATGCTAAGTTGGATCAATGAGAGTGAACAATTCCAGATAAGTACCATGCCGACGGTGGCCAGACATTGTAAATCATCATTTAGGCCTGCATAAACAAACATTGAGCCAAGGCTGAACTTGCTATGCAGCAAAAAGTATTTGCACCCATTACACTGAATAATTGAGTAACGTTAATCTGAATAAATATGTGCTTGTTTTTGTTATTGAGTAGGCCTACTAAAAGTTGAGATATAGCTGTGTCAATAAAACATCAAAAATGCAAATTTCAAAAGTTTGGGAAGCCCTGATTTAAATAATATACATAAAATATCAAAGTAATATCCATATACAGAGAATTCACTATACATATAACTATTAAAGTGATGTACAAACCAAATTTATATACATTTCGTATATGTATTTTCAATTGGTTGTATATGCATATGGCGATGGAGGTGTATGCATATGACATTGGTGGCAGTATATGCAGATTGCATTGCCTGTATATTATACATATGACATTGGCTGTATATGAATATGGCATTCGATGTGTATGTACATTACTTAAATGGCTGCATATTATATTGTATTGTATGTATGCGTACATGGCATGGATTGTGAATGTACATCACTCAAATAGTTGTATGTATATGTATATTCAGTTAGATGTTGTAGATTGTTATATAGCAGGTGTTGACCAACACGTCGATCAGCACGTCTCGAGCAGTCCATCGCGTCTGTTTTTAAGTAAATTTAATAACATTCCTCTAAAAATTGACTTGAACCAGTTTCATACAGCGCTTGTTTAGTATTTTCAACAGGAAAAATACAGTACTGTAGATGCGCAAAATATGATATACACAATTGCTACAATTCGAGTCTGAGCAAGACCCATTGAGATATGGTTCGAGAATATATATGGTTTGAGAATATATATTTTTGGCTATTAAGATAATACATGAATACTTGGCAAGGGTTTTTGAGGAAATTTAACACTTGTGACTAAAAAGTAGGCAGGCCTTAGATCTGAATTGTATGATTTAAATGAATCCTAATTAAACGATGGAACATTTACTCCATTTAACAAATTAAATGAAACACGAAAAATACGAATTTTTGAGGCAATTTGATTAAGAATGAGCACACGGATCGGAGCTTATTGGTCGCGGTGGATTTTTTTTTCGCGGTGTGTGTGCAGTTATCTGCATGTTCAGTACTGTATGAACTTATTGCCGATCAGTCGATCGGGAGCTATTTTGAATATTTTAGTCGATCGCGGTCGCAAGCAAGTTGGTCACCCCTGGTATACAGTATTGGCTCCATATGTATACAGGTCGGCTGTATATGCATATTTTGGTTTTCATTTGTATAACAACACATTACCATCCCTATCAAACATTTTACCTCCATAACAGAAGCATTGATGTACGGTGTTTCGGTGTCTTCTGGCATTCGAACAACTACTACTTTGTTTCGTTTGTCTGCAAGTGAAATGGCAAGTTTATTCCAGAAAACAAATATTCGTAACATTGTTTTTCCTCTTTTTGCGTTTTATGCTGTGCTATACGCTTGCTGAGCAGAAATTTTTTAGGCGAGAAATTAGCATATATAAAGGAAATGCTATAAAGCTATGCACACACAGCACGAAATTCGAAATGTTCTAACATGGAAATTTAATGAGTAATACATTCATTCAACCGAAAAATTTGCTTAAATGATGGTTTCGCACTGTGGAGGCTTTTATTGTGATCAGCACAAATTTGAATCATAGTGAAATTGCAAAGTTGAAATTTTTTGACTGGTATCGGTATTATTTATACATTCTATGCAAATGTTACTTACTTTATAAGACAATTCACCAGTTTTATAAAGAGAGCTTAACAGATGCAATAAATACAAAAATACACTTACATGGAATAATATCTTGATTTCGATTCATTGTTCTGTATATATCTTCTTTGCCATCTTTAATCAAATTCATCGGAGGAATTTCAGACAAGTTTTGGAATTCTAGTAGAAATTGATCCGCGTTGTTGCTTGAAATATAAATAATTTTTTTTATTGACAGTTTTATTTTAGATCTAGTTAAATATTATGAATTATTCTAAAACTGACTTTTCCTCATTTGACACTTGTCAGTGAACTTGTACATCGTTTCATTTGTGGCTTTAATTGAATTCACCACCAAATCACCGCTTGGCACAGAATTCCAATTACGATATGATACAAGATGTTTTATTTAAGCAAGGTATATTAATATATATACACCTTTGCATCAGCCTTCGAAGTTGTTCTTCATCCATTTCAGTGTCATCAAAAAGATAATGTTCAACCAATAGCTTGTGCACGAAGATATATTGGTCCTGTATATGAAATTATGATATGATAATGAAGGGATTTTCGTGTGTTTTGTGAGTGAATTGGGTTCTTTAAACTCAAGAATTGAAGTCTTTCTGGGCTTTATAATAATTAAATCACTGAATTTGAAAACCATTGCAAGTATCCGTGGCATTCATTTTTAAGAGATAGTTTGGTTTTGATAGGTAAGAATCATTAAATATGCCAAAACGAAAATGATTTAGCGGAGATACAGAAAGTGCAAAAAATACCAATACGGTAATATAAACAAAACCTGATTGAAATTCGGGATTCATGCTATCACATATATACTGTTTGAATAATAATACCAAGCAAATGCCGATTTCTTAATAAATATGGAGTAACATTAACAGATGTAAATTTGACCAATATCAATAAGCATGTGCTGATTCCTCAATAACTACAGTGTTTTACATACCGCGGTTCTGACCATTTCTACTCTTTGTTTTCTCAATGTATGAACACATTCATAAACGTCAATAGCGCTTTCTTTTTCAACTTCATTCAGAAGATAATCATATGCAATGTACGTACCGGTTCTCCCGGCTCCAGCACTGCAGAAAATGTTAATTATTGAATTTATTTTCCTAAATCACAATGTTTTCTGTCGATACAATTAATCTTAAAGTCGCCAATGCGTCAAATTTAGAAACACTGTTGTTCATTATTTTCGAAATAATAGAAGAGTTGACCAAATATAGGATTTAGCTAAAAACGCACGTTTTACATTATAGGTTAGAAGCTGTTATTGTTTTGATTTTATAGTTTTGCAATTAAAATCAGTCCGGATTTAAAAGTCATAAAGATATATGTTTTTGTATAAGATATAAATCTAACGCAGTGCTCTTCAACAGGGGTTCCGCAATACATGCAGTGGGTTTCCGTGAGTTTATAGGGTTCTTGGGGATTGCGCGTTTTCTTCTTTTCAGAGGAAATCATTTCTTGCTTCAGCATGTTGATGCGTCGTTGCGAAGTTGTTTAAAGAGTGTAGACATGAGTATGGGAATTGTATTGAGTGCCGTGGAGCCACGAGTCAAGAAGATTGGAAAGGAAATGCGAAAACAACCTAGTCATTAAATTTCACGCTTGTTACCTTCTTTCTGTTTCGTTGTTGAAGGAGAAATGTATGAATTACAAATATTTCGTGTTACGAGTATTTAGTTTTTTTTTTAATTTTGTTAATTGGGGTTCCATAAAAAGCGAAAAATTATATCAGGGGTTCCACAATAACAAAAAGGCTGAAGAGCACTGCTAGCGTACCGCTTCATTAGTTAGAGTTAGAACATTGGTTAATTGATCATGCAACAGCTTCATGATGACAATGAGGTTAAAAAACTGAAATGGATAAAAATTTTATGTAAACATTAATTTATTCAGCATTTTTTGAGTTCGTCATTTACCTGCAATGAACTATAACCGGTGTTGAACTATTAATTTCAGAAACTGCTTTGTGAAGTCTGAAAAACCCTGATGTTGTTACAGGGACTCCGTGATCAGGCCATGTTGTAAATTGAAAATGAGTTATGTTTTGCTTCAGCTGAAACAAAATATTTATATGTCAGCGCAAAAATATATTTTATATCGGTATTTCTAACAGTTGAGTTGTCTTAATTTATGGTGCTTTATTCAGAATGAACTTACACAGCACAAGTAAAGAATAAGATTGAATTTTATGTATTTAAAGACACCTATAATACATGGATTTGTGAGATAGAAAAAACCAAGGCCAACATTTATATATCCTACCCCATCGGTAGAAGTAGCTTTGAACGTTCTTTTTATATAACTTCCAACATGTTCTTCAATGACAGTCTTCACAGAAATTGATTCATAAAATGCTGTTCTGTCGACATCTGGCCAATACTTTTCACATTTTTTCTAGAAATAGACGAATTACAAAAGTTGAAGTAAGCTGGTGGACACTAAACATCTACTGTCATTCTAATTCTCTCTCAATTTATGGGAATCCGATCAAAATTTGGGGATGAATTAAACAATCGAATCAATTACCGTACTTTCGTCGTGAAAAAATCAGCAAAGCTTCCATGTGAATTTCAACTTTTCAAACGTGAGTATTTATGATTTAAATGAATCTAATGGCGTGGAAAACACTAGGCCTAATAAAATTCATTGCACAGATCGCAAATCTGATCACACTAGCAGTTCATCGTTGTTCAAAGACAAATGCAACACCCACCTTCCCTCTTTCCATTAAGCCGGTTAACATTATGATCACGGCACATTTTTGCTCGATTACCATCCTCCAAAAATCGTTCACGGTAACAGGCAAAGGTCCTTGGCTTGCAATGAATTTCCTGCGGGTTTCATATCCCTGAAAAATCAATGCCAGATTTTTATTTTCAGAATGACTTATTTAATCAAAGGTTGCTCAAGAATAATTACAACATTAACAAATCTGTTATAACGAATGGGTTCGCGGTATACTCGTAAGTATAGCAATTACCTGAATATACCGGAATTATATAACATGAAGCGACCAGCCGTCTAGTCTACAAGTTCGTTTAGTTGCGTGTCATAGTTCGGGCAATGTCACGGATCATTAAATTTCTGTTGAAGATATGACGTCATAATGGTAAAGCTTGCTACATCGCCATGTTTCTGGCTGCTTTGCAAACCAGACTAAAATTTCTTCAAGAAGTGGATATATTTACAAATGTTCATATCGGCCTTCAGTGATTAGGTGTTTATCGGGTTCAGCATTGATAAGGTAAGTTGTTTGTTTACTTCGTTTTTTTTGCGTAACCGAGCATATTTCGTATTAAATTAAGGTCTGGTTAACTTCGGTACTATAGTACAGGCCTACACAACATGCGGGCCGCATGCGGCCCGCTAGATACTTCTGTGCGGCCCGCGGGTCATTTGGAAACAAATCTTTGTTATTTTTGTTACATTGTTATTTATGCAATGCTCGGTATTCAAACTGAATCACGCTCAAAACAATATCGGTATACAAGCTCCCACCCATTAGTGCATATTAGCAACCTAATAATAACCCCACTATTTTTTACTAGCAGTTTATGAAACTGAAGTTTCTTTTTCAAATTTAAAACTTGAAAAACAATTTTTTCATTCATGAATGCTGCAGAAATTGTCGCACAAAATATATTGCTATTTACTGTAAAACTTCAAAAATTTGGAGCAGATTTTGTAGAAAAATGTAATTTAACAGTCGAAAAAGTACAACAGAGGAAGATCTATCGCTACTAAACGGATTGTTTGTCCAGCCTGCAATGAAAATATCTAAAAATGTTAGATATGACTGAATACCTATATGTGGGACGATTTTACAAAACTGAACCTGAGTAAAATATTTTCCTGCAGTCAGTTTATACTGCAACACGCAATACCTCATTCTAATAAAAAAAATATTGAAAATGAAGGGTCGCTTTCAAGGTAGATGAACCACTAAATACTCAAGAAAATAGGATTCTTCATGTTTTTAAGCTTTCCAGTAATGGAAGTTTTTCATCAAATTTAACTGTTTCACAATATTATTTTGATTTGAAGTTCATCTTGTGAAATATGTATGTGGCAAAGTTTGCGGCCCGCCGGGCCTTCAGATTTATGCTTGCGGCCCTCGTGGTAATTTGAGTTGTGCAGGCCTGCTATAGTATAAAACAACTCCGTCGTATTAAGAGGAAAACTTGTCACAATAATCTCGTCTAGTGGAAAAATATTCGATGCTAATATTACTGGCTTCGTTGTTTTTTGTTAGTTTGCAATCAAATTGTACTAAAGTTGATTAGACCTACAGGCCTATCTAAACCTAGATAAAGCTCGCAGCAGACTGTTACCCGTTTTTCCAAAATCCAATCCGCCATATCATGAATTGATTGCAAATAAAGTGAACAGTTGTTCATTAACACAGTATCTTTGATAAACATGGATAAATCACATACGGTATTTAAATTTAATAAAATTTCACCTTGCGGAAAATGGGGAATTTCCCCCCAATTTATCAAAAAAAAAATAAAACTGTCAATTTAACCGAGTTAAAGCGAAATTTATGCGAGAAATCATTTTTTCTCATCGAATTCATCACATAGTATTTTTGGTAGACATATATAACTCACATATTAAATTTAGAAAAATTTAAACGAGCGGAAAGTAGGGAATTTCCCCTCAATTGATCGAAAAAAGTTGTTAAATCGTCAATTTAACATAGATATAGCGCTTTTAATGTAAGAAATAATTTTTCCTCATCCAATTCATCAAAACAGTATCTTTGGTTATATTCTATTATATTCGCGACAACTGTTCACATTGTGCAAGCTGATGTTTCAGCCGCGCTTCATTGATTTTAACCCATCGTCGGGAGTCTGAATTTTTTTTTGTTATGTCTCGAAATCCGAGCACTATGCAACCCTGCCCTTTTAATCAAATATCGGATTGTCAATTTAATATTGCTTGTTGACTTGGTTATAATAAATTACTGGCAAATAGAGAAGCCACAAGAAGAAATAATAATAACAATATCTTCTATCTCTTCTATAACATAATCTATAATTTCTATCTCGCCACTAACACATTGCATTCAATGCAATGAAAGATGTAAAAATGCGTCCTATAACATACGTACATGAATATACGAAGCATTTATGTAGTCTTTGTCACCTTCCCCGTTCAGTACCACCCGGGTGGAATCGTCTAAAAAATACGTTTGTAAAATCAATGTAAGTATTGCTAAATTTATTGGCACTTGGTTTTAATACAGTAACACTTCAAGCACGATGTAGTTAGCCCCGAAATTTCCCTTCCTTTCAAACAAGGTTTTTGCACGCATCTCTGCCTCGTATAACACGTCAATATCGCCCTTTTGACACTTCTGTTTTTATTTTCGTTACAAGGATGTCCTTTCAATAGCTTGTAATCCAAGCGATAACTGCTGCAGATTTTTTTTCGAAATTTATTTCTTATTGTTTCAAAATAGAACTTACATTTACACCGATATTTAAAATGCTTACATGGAAGAATGTTTTTATATCTGTTCTTTTTCGTCATGTTCGGAAGAGATGCGACTTCTTTTGTTTCTCCTATCAACGTCATAGCTTTCTTCAATTTCTAAAAAAAATAGTTATAATGAAGTACAATTGTAATACGAATCCAATTCAACAACTATTCCAACAAATTTTTTTTTCAAATATTTAAATGCTTTAATTCGTTTCAAAGCTCTTACTTCAAATTGGATCTTGAACTCTCCATTGTCACTAGTTTTCATTCTGTTATAAGTGATCAGGAGTGACTCGGCATATATTCGAGTTTCATTCCCAATGTCAACCGTCTCCTCCCGGACGTTTTCATGTGTATTATAGGATTCTGAAAAATAAAATTCTAAACAAATCTGACATTTCAATTTTGCACACACTGAAGCACTAACTACTGTTTTTCAACTACTGAATCGCTTATTTCAATGGAATGTATTCATGGATATTTTTACATTGAAGTAAACCCATAATTTTTATTTGTTTTTTGAACCATAAATTCTCTTCATAATGTGACCCTGTGCTAGAATGTGACATTTCATTATTGTAGGAGGAAGTGATTTCAAATTTAATATTGAATACTTGAAGCTTTTTTTGCATAGGACGATAACTTTTAAAGTCCGTTTTCCGGTACTGAAGATGAATCTACACATTTTTAATTTACATTCGAGCTCAATTTTATCAATTAGGCGCACCAAACACAAAAACGTCATATTCCCGATATTTTGGTGGATTTAAAATTAATGAAGAATGTGACTCGCACACTGTTGTAATTGCTCGTGCCAACACACAATGAAAGATAAATGGTGAACAATAGGTCGAAATGGCATGATGGACGAAACCCAAAATAATATTTGTATTACCTGGTGATGTTGCAGTGCGAACCAAGGCGATGCTTGTGTCTGTTTTATTTTTTGATGATTGACGCCTGAATTAGACGGAATATATTGTAAGAATACCTTATACAGTATACTGAAAGCATAAAGCAAACATATATTCGAACGCGATGGAAAGAAATGAAAACAATTGGACAAATATTACTAATTACCTTTTGCAACAGACAAGCAGGGCAATTGCCCCCATAATGGTGACAACGATTGCAATGATGATAACTACAATCAGCCAGGTTGTTGAAGTAGCTGTAAATGAGGAAACAAAATGAATAATCGACAAATCACATTTAATCAACTTGGTGGAAAAAATTACGAATAGATTACTCGTTTTTGTATTTTGCTTATTTTTAAATGAAACAAACATTTTTTCGGATTTTTCGCAAAAAAGGTTGGTTAAGTTCACGTTTAGATACAGTGAATTTTTACGTATGACATTTTATACTTGACTATGGCAGGAACTAACATACTCTGATGTTTTTCACAATCACAAACGCTGCAAAATATGATAAGTATAACTCTTACCTTTAATTCTAAATGATTGTGAAGCGCTCGTTCCAAGGTGTACATTTCCATTTGCACCGGGAGTTGTTGTGACCATAAAATACCTAAAGTATTGAACACTCGAAGATTTCTTTGCAAAATACTTTATTATTTAAATACGACTTTTCGATCGGAATAATAAATGAAGCTCCTGAATTTTCAATCCACTTTTAAACTCAATTTTATTGAATAATCTATTAGATAAAATTATTAGGTCTTACTCGTAGAATTTTCCCTCGTTTAAAGGAAAATTTTTTGCAGCAAGAACCATCTGGGATATTTCTCTCTTCTTTCTTTTCATGTTTTGTGTTGCGCTGTGAATATCACAGGAAGTTGACGCATCATCACCAAGTGACACAATAGTACGTTCAACTGGAATGTTTGATCTGTAAAAAAATAATTCGGGTAAAATATTATTATTCAATTAAAATATACATGCTGAATGAGATGAAGACTACAAAACTGCATAAGATGCAAAAAGGAGGCCCCGCCCAAAATAAAAATATTTGTTCGAGACAGTAAAGTGAAACTAAAAACTGTAATAACCCATCTCTTATATCACAACTGGCAGCACATGAACCGCTATAAGCAATTAATAAATTTGTGCGATATTTCGAACAAAATGCCTACCAGGTACTAACTACATTCAACACAGCGGCCAATTTCGATGTGCCCAATTCTGGTACTCAACCTGATAAAACAAATGAGGTAGATGAAGCCAAAACGAACAACAACTATTTTCCCTAAGCTTCCTACGTGAATTATAGAATCGTCTTCTTGGAGCTAAGAAGTAACACGTTCCGCGCAACAAAACATGTAAGAATTTGTTAGAAATACCAATATTTCTAACAACGCCATATTTGCACGCGCAACGCTATATTTGTATGCGAAATCTTATTCATGTTTATTCAAAAAAAGAACGTTTTTCCACACAGAAAAATGTAAGTACGTACGAACCTTGCTATAGCAATGTACTTCTGACCCCCTTGTGGTTTGAGTAATTTCGAATTTGCCTCTGCCTTTTTCAAATCTTCAATTGTGAAGTTAACGGAAGAACGCTCGCTCTTTCCTTGCTCTTGAAAGTCAACGACAACAAAGATGCAACTTAAAATTGAAAAAAATATTTTATACCCTGGCCGGTAAATTAACTATTTATACCAAGGTATGAGGTGAATGGTTCACCAGATGCAGAGCTTGCAATTCGATTTCATTGAAATCCTTCAGTTTATGGGCTAATAGTTATGGCTTAGATCCTGGTAACAGTTCATGAACGTTTTGTTGTCATCTGTGAAGTGTGAAAAACGTATGAGCAAGTAAAACGGCCTCTAATCTAATTTATCGTTTTGCAAAGCAACACGCTCTACTACTTGTATCGTATTTGGATACAATAGCTTGTAATATTGGATGTAATAGATTTCTACATATTTGTCATCTCAATACGTGATTCAAAGTTCTCAGGTGACATCCGCAAAAACATCAATTTCGTAGTTTATTCACGCACACGTCTTTACCTACCTGATTGGCCCATTACTCTGGTCAATGGTCGAAATTTCAATATTTCTTGTTTTTGTGTCGCCTTTATTCTCCAACATCTTCGGCGCAGCTACAAACGAAGGAGCTAAAAATATGACAATTTCAGCACATGTATGTACATAGTCACAGTTTTTGAGGTACATCCATTTGCCTGTTGCGACATAAGTTATTGTCGACAACTGGCCGACTACAATATTTCACGGTGACCGTACATTTGAACCCACGTACATTTGAACCCATGTGTATATTCGCGGGTTCAATCTATATGCGGGTGCTAAACCCATGGGTTAGGGTTAGTATGGGTTCAAATATCCGTAAAACAACAAAAAAAATTCATAGGTGCAATAGTGTGCATCGTCGTGGGTTCAAATGTACGTGGGTTCAAATGTAATGGAACCATATTTTACACTTCTGTAAATGTTGACGAATATCTAACTGAGAAAGACGACTGGATGTTTAATAAATATTGAAGGATCAAAAAAGGAAATAACTGTCAAATCGGGACTGTTACCTTCTGTATCGCTTGTGCAATCGCCTGCAGCTCTGGACAAAATTCCTGGATTATTACAAGCAATTGCGTAAATGGACACTGTGTAGTTTCTATTCGGTGTGGTATGGAAGGAATAATTCCGAGTCGATTTGAGTGGAATCTTGAACTTGTCGTTGTATTTCTTAGATTCCAAATCTTTGGATCCAATTTTAATCAAAGTTGAATGAACTGAAACCTGTGACAAGGAAATTAAAGATTCATGAATGTCGCATTTGACGCCATCCTAGGCTTTTAATAAACCCTCGATAGATTCTCATAGTAAACTTGTATGGAAAAGCTATTATTTTGGATCTGTTATATTTACTCTTTATTGATTTGTTTTATTTTTACTTTAAACTACAGTGAATGAGTGCACTTGGTGGTTTCGAAAAACCTGTTCTCTTGACACATACAATCCATACAATGGGTTGTAAACGTTCTCAGCTTGTGAAGAATGGACAGTTTGGATATTGCGTGAACTGGAGCGATTTATTATAGCAGGTTAGTAATTTGCAAAATGAACTGAATATAATGTAACATAGGTAAACAACTTGCCTTGAAACCAGTGATGTAATCTGAATCATTTGACTTTGACCATGAAATCTTACATGCTTTATCACTCGGATGCTTTTCGAATTTGACATTTGGTACCACACCAGCTTGATTGAAAGATGTTTTCAGTTGAATTTCTGTTCCAGGGTTTGTTATGCATGTTTCGAGACATAGTGACATCTGGAATGAGTTGTAACAAATATCAGTCTTTCACAGATACAACTAACCTTCATAATATGTATAAATATTCGCTTACTTAATTGACCACCCTGAACAAAACCACTAAAATTATACGAAATTATGGCGTGGAAGGTAATGGCAGACATCAGTTGAATTGATGCTGTAAATATTTTTGTAAAGTGAAGCAGCCAGTATCATATAAAATTTAGGACACCAAGGTCGAAATGAGACACATATTTACTACATAATATTGCATATCGCTATTGTTTGAATTTCGCTATTGTTTCCTTATAGTCGAAGAAATTGTGATTTTATCTAGTTATGGTTCGTGTTTTGGTGGTAATGTTCTTCCATCAATACTATACTTTGAAGCTAAAATGATTTTCGAAAATAGTTTATGCGTCAGAAATACCCACTTATACAGTTTTAAAATTGCCTTTTCTTTCTAATAAATGAAACATTTTAAATTGTTGACAATACCTCCACAGTATACAACGATTGTTGCGTCAAGTTTGTGAAAATGGTTTCGATTGTTTTATTATCAGATGGCGTGATTTCGACAGTTTCACTGTAACGACTTCCTGATAATGTGATCCTGTGCGAAAAATGCAATCTTCAAACACTGGTCGACTCAATACCAACCGACCGAACACAAAAATAGTCCAATGGTAAACAAACGCTAGTTTTTCTAGCAAACAATCACTACCTTTAATATCTTTGTTAGGTGTATGTAACCACCATACTGACATAGGGTAGCTATCGCAAGCCAATCTGATTTTGTAATGTATATATAAATGAAATAAACTTAAAGAGCTAGTCATCTCTCAAAAATGAAGTTTCTATAAATATTAATTTTAAATCCATAATACTATACCTGTGTTTTATATGAGTTGCTTCCACGCCGGGAATCCACCTGACATTAATATCTGAACTGCAGTTAGGTGATGATGCAGAGTATTCAGGCATTTCAATAACTGAAATAAAATGAATAAAATAATGAAATGTTAAATTAAATGAATGAGTTAATGGTGAAGTGAATGCATTCGTTTATGTGACTTTATTCAAAAATATATCTGATTTCTTAAATCTTTTTAACAAAGTTTCAAACCAAAAGCATTTTCAATTTTAACAAATGTAACATTTCATACATGAAATCAAAAGGATTCGTTAACATTTTTATACCTTTGACCGTTTTGTTACTTCCCGCTTCATTTTGATCATCTCCTACATAATTTATCACACTACAGGTATAAACTCCAGAGTGGGACTTGGCTGCAGTGCCTGTCCCTGGTGTTTTGAAATACAATACAGATTTGGTTAGGGAACTCGTCTGATAAACATCAGAAATTGTATTCCTGCTGACGGCTTCTTTCTCAAAATACCATAATACAGAAGGACTAGGGAATCCGGTTGCGTAGCAAGTTATTGTTTGAGTCTGGTTCGTTGGGATCGCAATACGAGATGGAGTGATATTGGCGATATTTGCTTTTTCTGAAACAATTGAAAGAAGTATCGTTAATGTTAAAAAGCTAATGAATCGAAGTAACAAATCACTAAGCTATTCAGTTTAAGGTATTCAAGTTCTTCGTATTTTCGTGTAATTTTAGAATGTGAATTATGGTATTCAATTGTAGCTTACAGAAATAATTCTTTGTAATAATATTTGAATCAAATTTAACAGAAAAAATTTGATTGTTAAATTTTTAATAGTTCATCTCTTACCTAGTAATATGTATCTTATACGGTCACTTGCCACGTAACATAGCTGGCGAAATTTTCTACGGTACAATGCAAATATGCTCACCGTGAACAGCAATTGTTATATTGATGACGCGTTGCGCTTTTCCTGCCACTGCTTTCAACATGTACGCATGCCCTTCAGAAGCTGAATGCATCGGGCCAATTATAAATTCAACGGTTCCATTCCCAACTGATTTTTTATCAAAAATACTTGAATTGCCTTCTTTGTAAAGTTTGATTTCGACTTCGCCGAGTTCAGACAAAACTTGAAGAGTTATTGTCACTGATTCGCCAATGAGAGTAATATTATTCGATTGAGTCGCCGTAATGGACAATTTGTCTGAAACAAGTAATGACAAATAGTTGAGTTTAGTAATTAAAATAAGCAATCAAATGCAAAAAAATAGCGTATTTAAACATGACAGGCTTTGAACGCCATGATCAAACCGTCTGCACAGAATCATCAATCAATTATTTGAACAAACTGAACTAAATTAAGGATTTGGATTAGTTTTATTGGTAGAAAGTGAATTTTCCTAACTCTTATTGTACAATTTGTACATAATTTTAATATCTATACAATTACTTGAGCTCTGAGTCATCTAGATGTTTCCATTATATAGAGAGTAGGACTGAGCATTTCGAATCGAATGGACCAGGCTTGTCCGTGGGAATGGAATTTCAATGGGTTGGGATGGGATATTTCCCTTACAAATGTGGGGTCAAGAATACGTTTGAATACAGTAAAGTAGTTAAGTATTACACATGACCCTTTTTTCTTGATGCGGCGGAAAATAACACACGTTAATTTTACTGTTTCAAACAAGCGCAATTTAGACAAAATTTCGTCATGAAATTTCGGGTTAAAACATTCCATATTATGATAAAACTGAACAGGATTTTATCGAAAATGAGATGTGAAAGTCGAAACTCATCATCCGCCATTTAAAAAGGTTCAAGATAAAACATCTCACACGTACAGTCAATGCATCAATCCGTTTTCGGACAGAATCGCAAAATAATATAATTCCCACCGTAAAACTTGAAAGATTGTGTAGCGCTCCTTCCGAAGTGTATTTTTTCATTTGCACCGGGAGTTGTTGTGACCATGAAATACCTAAAATATTAAATATTACTTTAGGATTCCTCTAAAAAAGCCTTAGGTTTTCAAATACGACTTTGGGATCCAAATAATAAATCTGCCCTCAAATGTTAAATTTAAGTCAAATTTCAATGTTATTCAATAATCATTTAGGTAAAAACAGTTAATCTTACCCGTAAAATTTTCCCTCATCTAGAAGGAAATTTTTTGCAGCAAAATTCACTTGTGATATGCCATTCTTCCTTCTGTTCGTTTTTTGTGTAGCACTACGAATATCACATGAAGTTGAGGCATCATCACCAATAGACACAATGGTACTTTCAATTGGAATGTTTGATCTGTAAATAAAATAAATCGTGTAGAATAGTATTATTTAAATCTGGTTGGTCAAATGAAATGAATACTGCGAAACTTCAATAATATTCAATGGTATTTTTGTGGATCGGATATTATAGACACTCCATAAAACAAAATATGTAAAATTGTGTCCTAAATATCAATGACAATAATTCCAACAATGCTATCGGCTAATACACCGAAAGAAGTATTTGTATGCAAAATCTTAGGTATATATGTTTGTTTATACCATGAAAATTTTTTCAGATTAATTTATTCACAAAATTTAATGTTGTAAACACCTACGAACCTTGCTATGGCAATGTACTTCATGCCCACATTCGGTTTAGATGATTTTGAATTTTCCTCGGCTTTCTTCAAATCTTCCATTGTGAAATTAGCGAAAGACTGCTCGCTCTGTTCTTGTTCATGAATGCCAACGATAATAAAAATGCAACTGAAAAGTGAACGAGCGTCTCCTTCACGCTGGCTTTTTAATTGACATTTCATACCAGAGTCAGAGGTGAATAAGTTATCGGACTCAAAGCTAACAATTTGATGTAGTTGAAATCCTTCAGTTTATGAGCTAATGGTAAAGACTTATTTCTTGGTAAAAGTTCATGAACGTTTCATTGTGATCTTGGGTGAGAAAAACGCATGAACAAGTAAAACGTTCGATGACTGTAATTTACGCTTTACAAAGCAACGTTCTCTATTTTACTTTTATCGTATTTAGAGGATGTAATACCTTGTAATATAGGATGTAATAGATTTCTGCATATTTGTTATCTCAATTGTTGATCCTTATTAGTTCTAAGGTTACATCCGCAAAAACCACCTATTACGTATATACAGTTCATTCACACACACGTCTTCTACCTACCTGATTGTCCCATTACTCTGATCAATGGCTGAGATTTGAATATTTCTCGTTTTTGTGTCGCCTTTATCCTCCAAAAACTTCGGTGCAGCTACAACCGATGGAGCTGAAAATATAACAACTTCAGCAATTGGTATGCAAATAGTCATAGTGGATGTTACTTTGGTGAATATCATGAGCATTCAAAGTACATTCGTTTGTCTGTTGCGTTGCACAACGTGATTTATTGTCGACAACTGGTCGATTACAATATTCATGACTCTTCTAAATGTTATCGAATAACTAACTACGAGAAAGCGATCATTTCGAAAGACAATGTGACGAATTGATGTTTAGTAAATCTTGCTGGATGAAAAAAGGAAAAACCTGTTAAATATGAAGCATTACCTTCTGTATCGCTTATGCAATTGCCAACAGCTTTGGAAAAAATTCCTGGTTTATCGCAAGCAATGCCTTGAATGAACACTGTGTAGTTTCTATTCGGTTTGGTATCAAAGGAATAATTCTGAGCCGATTTTAGTTGAATATCGAACGTGTCGTTGTATTTCTCAGATTCCAAACTTTTGAAACCAATTTTAACTAAAGTTGAATAAGCTGAAACCTGTCAAAAAGCAATAAAATATCCGTGGACGTCGCTTGTGAGGTCATTTTAGGTTATTTTAAACCCTGCACAGATTTTTACGGTCTCTAGAACTTCTGTTTTTTTACGTGGTTAACCAGAGTTTATTAAGGGAGGTGTCAATAGTTGCTCAGATTGTCGGAGGACATAGGGTTAAAGTTTCATTTCAATCTTGCTCATCTCAAAAGCTATTATTTTTGATCTATTATAATTACTTTTCACTGAATTGTTTCATTTTTACTTCAAACTACAGTGAATGAATGCACTTGGTGGTTTAGAAAAACCTGTTATCTTGACACATACAATGTCTTGTACACGTTCTCAGCTTGTGAAGAATGAGCAGTTTGGAGTTTGACGTGAAGGAATTTTGCGTGAACAGGAAGGAGTTAGTACATCAGGTTGGTAACTTTCTAAATGAACTGATTGTAATGTAAGACACGGGAAAACAACTTGCCTTGAAACCAGTGATGTATTCTGAATCATTTGACTTTGACCACGAGATCTTACATGTTTTATCAGTCGCATGCCCTTCGAGTTTGACATTTGGTATCTCACCAGCTTGACTGATAGCTGTTTTTACTTTGACCGCTCTTCCGGGGTTTGTTTTCCATGTTTCAAGGCAGATTGCCATCTGGAATGAGTTGTAACAAATATGAATCTTCCAGATATCCAACTCACCTTTATATCAGTTGATTTGGCGCAGCTATTATATATGTTTAAATCATACAATTGATACAATCTCTATAGATATTTTTTATTTGGAATTTTACAAAAAACTAGAAGAATTGTATACAATATAGGCGATAGGTAACAGATGAAATTTAGTATAACAGCAGTCCAAATTTAAAACACTAATTTCTCTTTCGTTTCCTAGGCGACAACATTGTCATTTTATCTAGTTTGGGCCATGTGTTAGTGATAATAATAATCTATCAAACAAATGATTAATTACAGAGGGCACAATATGTAAATACTATTCCCCAAACGTAAAACGAAAACAGGATCATGCGTCAAAAATACCCCCTGACCTAAATATTATTATTTCTATTTAACAAATTAGGTATTTAAAATTTTTGACAATACCTTCACAATGTACAACGATTGTTGAGTCAAGTTCGTGAAAATTGTTTTAATCATTTGATTATCAGATGGCGTGAATTTCTTTACTGTTTTTCCGTGATTCTCTCCTAATAATGTAATCCTGCGTAAAAATGTCATTTTGAAAGCCAGTCGACTTAATGCGATTAAATCAAGCACCATTATACAAGAATTCAAACAGTAAACAAACATTGGTTTTCATAGCAACAATCAGTGCCTCCAATATCTTTATTAGGTATTTGAAATGATTATACTGTTATAGTGTAGCTATCACAAGTCAAACTTTTGTAATATATATATGCATGAAACAATTACTGAAAGAGCTACTCATTTTTAAAAATAAAGTTTATGTCAATAATAATATTATCACAAATTCAAACCAATAATGCTATACTTGTGTTTTATATTAGTTGCTTCCACACCGGGAATCCACCTGACTTCAATGTCAGAACTACAGTTAATTGGTGATGCAGAGTATTCACGCATTTCAATAACTGAAATGATAAATAAAAACTTTTTGCAATTCAAATTGAATGAATGAGATAATAGAGAAGTAAATGCATGTGTAACTTTATTCATAGAACATATCTGTCTTTGGAAACTTTATTGACAAAGTTTCAAACCAAAAATTTTTTTCCTCTAATCTAACGAACGTAACAATTTATATATACATAAAGATAAAATAGTTCCTTACGATTTTCATACCTTTAGCTGTCTTTCCCTTTTCGACTCTATTTTTATCTTCTCCTACATAATTTGACACGCGGCAGCTATAAACTCCAGCATGGGATTTGGCTCGAGCACTTGGCCATGTTGTTTTGAAATATAATACCGATTTGGTTGAAGAATTTGTCTGATGAACATAAGAAATTGTATTCCTGCTGACGACTTTTTCCTTAAAATACCATAACACAGAAGGACTAGGGAATCCGGTGGCGTAGCAAGTAATTGTTTGGTTCTGGTTTGATGGGATCGCAATACGAGATGGAGTGATATTGGCAATATTTGCTTTTTCTGGAAAAATTTAAAAAAAAACGTTAATGTTAAAATGTTCATGAATCAACTAATTTATTCAGTTGAAAGTTATTCAAGTTTTTTCGTATTTTCTTGCGAATTTAGATTGCGAATTAATGTATTCAATTATAGCTTGCATAAATATTTGTTTGTAATAATATTTCTATGAAAATTACCAAAAAAAAATTCAATTGTTGCTTTTCCAATGCTTCATCCATTAATGTACCTAATACTATATATTTTATAACGTCACTTGCCACGTAACATAGCAAGCGGAATCTTTCTACAGTACAATACAAATGCTCTCACCGTGAACAGCAATTGTTATATTAATGACGCGTTGCGCTTCTCCTGCCACTGCTTTGAACATGTACGCATGCCCTTCAGAGGCTGAGTTCATTGGGCCAATCGTAAATTCTACGGTTCCATTCCCGACTGATTTTTCATCAAGGATATTCGAATTGCCTTCTTTGTAAAGTTTGATTCCGACTTCGCCGAGTTCAGACAAAACTTGAAGAGTTATTGTCACTGATTCGCCAATAAGAGTAATATTATTCGATTGAGTCGCCGTGATAGACAATTTGTCTGAAACAATTAATGAAAAATAATTGAAGTTAGTTGTATTTTAAATAAGAAATATATTGTATTTCAACATGAAAGACTGCTAATACCATGATCAAACCGACTGCACAAAACCAGCAATCAAATATTTAAATACTTGAATACTCATTTTGTTCCTTTGCTTGAGAGTGAATTTAAAAAAAATTTTATACAGTTTGCGCATTATTACCATATTCAACCAAATGGAAAATGACTGGAGCTCTAAGTCATTTAGAGCAGGGATTTTCAAACTTTTGGTGTTATGGAACCCGTAAAGAGGTTGTCTATTATATACGGAACCCCACACAAACTAAAAAAAAAAAACATTGTTAACCATTTATCTTCCTGAGTAACTTGAAATTATCTCAATCAATGACTCGATTTATTTGCTGCTTTGTATTTGAATATATTCAAATTGCCGTTGTCAAATTTTGCTTATTGTTATTGCTTGGACAGTTACAAAATCAGCCAAGTCAGTATTTTAAGTAAATAAATAGCTCGCGGATCCCCAAGGTTTCTCTCACTTTAAGAACCTATGATCTAGAACAGTGGTTCCCAAACTGGGGTAATTACCCCCAAAAGGGTAATTTGACAATTTCTAGGGGGTAATCCTAACAATTTCTTGCTGGACCTTCAACGCTCGCGTCTTGTCAATGATCTTTGTGTAAGTACATAATAACAATACTCCGTCGTACAAATTGTAGGCTAAAACGCTGAGCTAGCGCAAGTTTAACATTCTAAAGTCAGATCCGAGGATCGCCAATTTTGGCCAAAGGAAAAGTGAAGGCGATATTACGGTATATTTAAGAAAGTGGTAGTTGAGCCTTTGGTGATTCGATTTAGGGGTAACAATATTAAAAAGTATGAGATTATGTAAAGAGTTGGGCTGAGAATTTCGAATCGAGTAGATCGGGTTTTCCATGGGAATGGGATTTCAATGCGGTGGGACGGAAAATTTTTCATTGAAATGTGCGGTCAAAAGTACGTTTGTAAACTATAACATATGACATTTTTTTTCTTGGCATGGCGGGAATAACATACTCTAAAATGTTTTTCATTATATGTAGCGAAACCGAAGAAATACATTTTTTCCCGAAGTTCCAAGGAAAATGGGGGGTGTTCCTATATGTCATAGTAAGTGCTCCCATCTTCTTTTTCACAGCGACTACGCCACCAACAACACGAACAATAGCAATTTCTGCTCAATACATTCTATTTTACAAAAAAACTGATCTGGATTCCCCCGATTAGAAGATTTGAAAGTCGGAACTTGTTTGCCCCTTTTAAAAAGGTCCAAGATAAAACATTTCCCACGTACAGTCAGTGCACAAATCCGTTTCGAGGAGTATGAGATAATCGCAAAAATATTTAATTCTCACCGTAACATTTGAATGATTGTGCAGTGCTCATTCCGAAGTGTACCTTTCCATTTGAACCGGGAGTTGTTGTGACCATGAAATACCTAAAATATTGAATACTTTAGGATTTCTGTAAAAAAAGCAATGAATCCTGCCTTCAAATGTTAAATTAAAGTTCCAATCCGATGTTTTTCAATAGTCATTTAGGTAAAGACATGATCCGAATTCATATTTTTTTTGGTATGCAAAAGGAATAAAAAATAATGTAATAGTCTGCCGTATTCAAGCATCAAGATTTACTCATTCGTCCAAGCATGCTTTTCTGTAGATAACACCTTCAAAAAGACGTTGGTAAATGTTACATTTACGTAAACGTCCGAACAGGACCAATTAGAATTGATTTTACATGTGATACGTTCGCTAACAATTTTAGCAGGAAGCAACGAAACAAACAAAATAAGGCATACATTTTCAGTAAGTAGGCTAGCGTTGCGCTACACAGCAACAACAGTAACAAGAACATGTTCGTGTATTATGCTGAATGGCTGAACGCCAAAGCGGAACTTTTGGCTGACTTGTCGTGAGGGCGGGACATGACGCTAAAAAGCGGGACCGTCCCGCCTAAAACGGGACGTATGGTAAGCCTAGGTAAAAACAGTGAATCTCACTCGTAAAATTTTCCCTCATCTAGAGGGAAATTTGTTGCAGCAAAGTTCATCTGCGGTATTCTACTCTTTGGTATTTTCGTGGTTTGTTTAGCGCTAAGAATATCACATGAAGTCGAGGCATCATCACCAAGAGACACAATATCACTTCCAAGTGGAATGTTTGACCTGTGAAAAAATAAATTGTGCCGAATAGTATTATTTAAATACGACTGGTCAATTGAAATGAATACGGCAAAACTGATACGCTTATTCAATATAGGTTTAATTTTGAAAATCTTGATTAGATGCTTTTTTAGTCAGGGATAATGGAGACTCCATAAAACAAAATAGTATGTAAAAATTGATTCGAAATAGCAATATTCCCGACAATGCTATATTCAATCCGCTAATACCTCGAAAAAATATTTGTTTGAAGAATCTCATTTGTTTTTAATTTTTATTTACAACATGAACATTTTTTCAGATTCACTATTTGACAAAATTGATATCGTATAAGCACTACGAACCTTGCAATGGCAATGTACTTCATGCCCACATTCGGTTCGGATGATTTCGAAATTGCCTCAGCCTTCGTCAAATCTTCCATTGTGAAGCTAGTGGAATACTGCTCGCTATTTTCTTGTTCGTGAATGCCAACGATAATGAAAATGCAGCTGAAAATTGAACGAGCGTTTCCTTTGTGTGTGTGTGAATTAACATTTCACACCAGGGTCAGAGGTGAATGAGTTATCAGACTGGAAGCTAGCAATTTGATTTTGTTGAAATCTTTCAGTTTATGAGCTCATGGTTATGACTTAGATTTTGGCAACTGTTCATGAACGTTTTATTGTGATTCGGTGTGTAAAACTTATGCACAAGTAAAGCGGCGCTTCCCTCAGATTTATCGCTTTGCAAATGAACATCGTCAATTACTTGCAACGTATTTTAGAGGATGTTATAGATTGTAATATAGGATTTAATAAATTACTCAATTGTTCATTCTTATTTCTAAAGTGACATCCGCCAAAACACCTAATTCGTTGTTCATTCACTCACACGTCTTCTACCTACCTGATTGTCCCATTACTCTGGTCAATGGCTGAGATTTGAATATTTCTCGTTTTTGTGTCGCCTTTATCCTCCAAAATCTTAGGCGCAGCTACAACCGACGGAGCTAAACATATAACGACGATATAGGGATTTGTATGCAAAAAGTCATAGTGGATGTTACTTTTGTGAATATCATCAGTATTCAAAGTACATCCGGTTGTCTGTTGCGCTACACACCGTGATTAATTGTTGACAACTGGCCGATTACATTATTTGTGACTCTTCTAAATGTTATCAAATAACTAATTATGAGAAAGCTATCTTTTCGGAAGATAATGAGACGACTGCGTGTTTAGTAAATATTGCTGGATTAAAGAAGGAAATAGCTGTTAAATCTGAAGCATTACCTTCTGTATCGCTTATGCAATTGCCAACAGCTCTGGACAAAATTCCGGGTTTATCACAAGCAATGGCTTGAATATACACTGTGTAGTTTCTATTCGGGCTGGTATCGAAGGAATAACTCTGAGCCGATCTGAGTGGAATACCAAACGTGTCGTTGTATTTCTCAGATTCCGAACTTATAGAACCAGTTTGAACCAAAGTTGAATAAGCTGAAACCTGTCAAAAAGGAACAAAATAGCTGCGCACGTCGCCTCTAAGGCCATTTTAGGTTAAGTTAAACGCTGTGTAGATTTTTACGGTTCTGGAAAGGTTATTTTTGTTTATGTGGTTAACATGAGTTGATCAAAGTCTCATTTCAACCTCAATTGGAAAAGCTATTATTTTGGATCTATTATATTTACATTTCATTAAATTGTTTCATTTTTACTTCAAACTACAGTGAATGAATTCATTTGATGGTTTCGAAAAACCTGTTATCTTGACACATACAATGTTTGTACACGTACTCAGCTTGCGAAGAATGAGCAGTTTCGGTTTTGCGTGAACACGAGCGTTTAGTACATCAGGTTAGTAATTTCCTAAATGAAATGATTATAACGTAAGACATAGGAAAACAACTTGCCTTGAAGCCAGTGATGTATTCTGAATCGCTTGACTTTGACCACGAGATCTTACATGTTTTATCAGTCGCATTCTCGTCGAGTTTGACATTTGGTATCTCACCAGCTTGACTGATGGCTGTTTTCACTTCGACCGCTTTCCCGGGGTTAGTTATGCATGTTTTAAGGCAGATTGCCATCTGGAATGAGTTGTAATAAATATGAATATTTCAGATGTCCCATATCTTTTTTTATGTAATTATTCGCTTAATTCAAGTCCTAAGTGCCTTGAAGTAAATCATCAAAATAGTCAAAGATTTTGTCGTCGTAGCTGATAGAAATATCAGTTGATTTGACACAGTAATTATAAGTAAATGATCAAACATTTGATGTAAACAGTGCAAAAATCTCTATCACCCTATAGAAGATAATTTTATTCAATTAATGCAACAGCTATCAAATAAAATTTAGTATAATAGAAGTCGAAAGATGAAAATATTATTTTTCTGTCGTTTCCTAGTCGACAAAATTGTCATTTTATCTAGTATGGGTCATCTGTCTATTGGTGGTAATCATTTTTAATCAAACAATTCGGGAAGTACAAAGGGCACAATATGCGAACACAATTCCCTAAAGCTAAATAATTTTCGAAAACACGATTACGCGCCATCAACAACCACTTATACAACTTTAAAAATATTGTTTTGTCAATCAATTCAAACATTTTAAAGTTTTCACAATACCTTCACAGTATACAACGACTGCCTCATTAAGTTAGAGAAAATTGTTGTATTTGCTTGATTATTAGTTGGCGTGATATTGATCGTTTTACTGTAAAGCTCTCCTTCTAAAGTTATCCTGTGTAAAAATAACGCAATTGTTAAAAATAAGTCGTCTTGATGCTAACCAACCAAGCAAAAAATACAGAAACCCCAATTGTTAACAATTGTTAGTTTTCATAGCGAACAACCTATACTTAAATCTCTTTATTAAGTCTTTCCACTGGCGACTACCAATATTAATCATACTAATATCTATATAGCTTTAGTTGTATATTCATTTACATACATTGCAACAATGCACCGGAAGTTCTAACAATCTCTCAAAATATGGACTTCACAATACTAATGCTATTAATTAATACAAATTCAAACCCACAATACTATACCTGTGTTTTATATGAGTTGCTTCCACACCTGGAATCCACCTGACTTTAATATCTGAAGTACAGATAATTGATGATGCAGAGTATTCAGGCATTTCAATGACTGAAATAAAAATTATTAAATAAATGTTAAATTAAAGGTGAAGTAAATTCATAAACGACTTCATTGATAAAACATATCCGTTTCCTGTAAACTTATTGATAAAGTTTCTTTCTAAATTAAATACACACTAATTTCTCACTTTAACAATTGTAATCTTTCATACATAAAATTAAAATAGTTCTTTATCATTTTCATACCTTTTGCTGTTTCGCTATTTTCAAATCTTGTTCGATCTTCTCCTACATAATTTGAGACGCGGCATGTATAAACTCCAGCGTGCGATTTAACTCGAGTTCCTGGCCTTGTTGTTTTGAAATATAATATCGATTGAGTTGAGAAATTCATCTGGTGAACATCAGAAATCGTTTTCCTGCTGACGACTTCTTCCTCAAAATACCATGACACAGACGGACTAGGAACTCCCGTAGCGTGGCAAGTAATCGTTTGGTTTTGGTTTGATGGAATCGCAATACGAGGTGGACTGATATCGGCAATATTTGCTTTCTCTGGAATAATTAAAAAAGTAACGCTGATGATATAAATCTATTAAATCAAAAAGTAAACAAACCTCTAATTTATTTGGTTGTAAGTTGTTTAAGTTTTTCGCATTTTCATCATAGAATAACAAAAATATTTATTTATAATAATTTTGCAATGAAAAAAATAGGTTAGACGTTTTATGGCAGACAACCCGATCCTTCATTAAGTTATTTGTCGATGTACATATAAAAGAATATGTATATTTTATAACATCTGGCCACGTAACAAAACAAGCAGGATTTTTCTTCAACATGATGCAAATTCGCTCACCGTGAACAGCAATTTTTATATCAATAATTCGTTCTGCTTCGCCGTTAAACGCTTTGAGCATGTATGCTTTCTCTTCACTAGCAGAATGTATCGGTCCTGTATTCAATTCAATGCTTGCCATTTCAACGGATTTTTTTTTATCTAGGATATTTGATTTGCCTCCTTGGATTGTGTAAAGTTGGATATCAACGTCGTCGAAGTCAGACACCACTTCAAGAGTTATTCTCGCTGATTCTCCTGTGAGAATGATTTTATTCCACTGAGTCACAGTGATGGACAATTGGTCTGAAACAAGTAATAGAAAGTAGTTGAAGTTAGGTTTGTTTAATGCAAGATTTAGGTTAATAGTAATAAAAGATTATGCAGACACTATGTTCATACGGCTACGTAAAGCCAAAAATCAAAGGTTTGAACAATCGGACCCAAACACTACTAATAAATTTCGTCAAAATCCTATTGCACAATTTGTACATAATTACGATGTTCAACCAATTGAAAAAATACGTAATCTTTGAGTCATCTAGAGTTTCAGAATAGATAGGGAGTAGGGCTGAAAATTTGGAATCGAATAGATAAGTCTTGTTCATGAGAATAGGATTCCAATGACAATCTCATGAATGGATGGGACAGAACACATTTGTATTTCCCATAGGACAGTAGTCATGCCACAGCAGCTACGTCAGAAGTAACCTTAGTCGGTATACTTATTTACCTTTTAATTGTTCCTGCTGTCGTTTTTTCTTTGTATACTTGTATCTATTATTTATTTTGTTTTATGTTTTAAAAATTACGGCAACCAAATTCACAACCATTAGATTATTGGAAAAATGCACGCAGGTTTTCAATACTAAAAACTGGTGAGAAAATTGCTTTGGCCATGCCAGTGTCATTGGCATCAGTACAACGCTTATTTGCCGGATTGTTGTTGAGTAAGTTACGAAAACAGATGTGACCTGCTCTCGTTATAAACTATGTGCACATTAGATTTGAATATAATATGAAAATTAAGGAAATAATTTGGGTTTTACTCGGATCAACTGAATTATTAGAAACAGTCGATAAGCAAAAACTTAATAATTTGCTGAATGAGTAGAGTGACTCAGAAATAGAATATGAATGCCAGAATGATACTGAATAGTCATAGTTGAACGATACCTCCGAATTTTAAAGGTAACAAAGACAATAAATTTTGAAATTTTGCATATACCTTTTTATATGCAGTCGTATTTAGTAGACACTAGACCTAGGTTTTCATAAATTTGAAAGTTTCATTCAAATGGGAATCCCGTGGGAAGGGACAAGCATAAATTACTAAAGGATGGGGAGGTACAGAAAAATATATGTCATATGGAAAATCCTGTGAATAGTAAATTATTCGAATACGTTTTTTAAATCGTTTTTTGTTTCCGCCAAAGGTCAGGGTGAATTTCTCAATGTAGTGGAGCCATATTTTAAATATGTGACTGAGGTATTGATGAAATGTGTTTTTCATTTTGCGTGATCACTAAGCAACCTGTCTGAGTGATAGGTTCAATGTTTTCAGCAATTTATGTGTCTGGAGAACCCATTACAATATAAAAGTCGCATACAATTACATATTTTTCAAGTATTCGTTATTCGATGCTATCTGAAAAAATATTTGAATCAATTCTGAAATCACCACGTATTCGAAGATTAACAGCCATAATATATAGTATACATCCGTAAGTTGCATATGTTCGATAAATATACTTGGGTCAACACTCAACAATTTCCCCTTTGCGATCGGCAGAAATATTCTGGCGACAACTTCATCCTTGACAGTAAAAGTAAAATAGTCGAACAGATTTCTTACCGTGTTCACAATATGTCCCGCTGTACCCGTTAACACAACTGCATGCCATCTGACACCCGATACTTCTGCATCTACCTCCATTCCTACAAGGCATTGGGTGACAAGGATCAGTGACTGCGATATAAAACAACAACCCTTGATATAGTTAATGATTGTTATAGAAAAGTATAAAAATGATTGCAACAGCAGAGGACACCGGATCTTCATCATAGAACTAAGTCAATGTAACGGCAGAATAAAAGTAACACTTTTCACTATTTAAGTTCATGATGGACAAACTGTTAGATACAACGATGCCAAAATTGATTATTATTATTAATCCAAATAATTATAATCTAGAGAGATCTCTTAAAAAATAAGTTAATGGAATGACGACAAATGTTATAAAGAAATCCCACACAATATGAGAGAAGTAATTATATCGGGTTACCTATAATCGTATTTTGTTAAAATGTCTTTTTGTTAAATGTATGAAAAATATTTGACAACAGTTTCAAAATACACCGTTATCTACTGTTATATTGTCATTGCCAATTATTGAAAATTTTCAAACTGAAAGTAACTGCCAATTCGAAATTTTATGAAAGTGCTATCTTATTGTTTCATTTAATATCTCCGGGCACCCACATAATAATGATCTGCTACTATGCGTTTGCGCGGTTTCGAGTTGCAATGAAATGCAATTGTAGCAACTGTGACGTATTGCACAAACCTGGTAATTCACAAATAAAACCTCTTTTATCATCATTTGTTCCAGAAAACCAAAGCAGATCTGTGTTTGATTCTTCAACAATAGTATTGAAATATACTTTGTTCCCAGATCCCGGTTGATTATTTCCCCATTTTTTAAATCCTCCAGTAGAGAATCGCGTGCCGTCAATAAATCTCCATGAATCACTGCTGTCTTTTTTCGCACCGATCCAGAAAGTCATAATATTGCTTGAACTAAATCTTGTTTTAATCGCTTCTTCTATGTATTGATGAATTTCTTCTGTTTTGACCATTGCAAGCGTTGCAGTATTATTCATTCTAAAGCAATAGGACTGAGCGTCGTAGTAAGTTCTTTTGTCCAAGTGACTGATATGGTATTTGCAATTTCCTTTAACGTTGAATACAAGTTCTATTTGAAGTAAAATACAAAAATGTTTTATGTTACTTTCAGCGTGACAACATTTTAGAAAACATAACCCCTGGGCCCTCGTATTTTATCTTTACTTACGCATCTGAACATTGGGATATGATACTGCATGGAATTCAAACAGAGTGAATTCTTTTTTTAACTTAAGATTTGAGAATAAAATTAAACTCTGTAAAATGGTTTTATTGTCAGACATTTCTTAACACCGTTACTTATACTACCTAATATTGATAGTGTCACTAACTTCTGCTAGGTCAAGAAAATTTCTTTGTAGTTAAAATACAATACTAAATCAAATACTCAAGCCTATCCCCAATGATACCAAAGCCAAAAATTCATAAAATATTGCGACCAGCCATTGTGATTTAAAATGGAAGTAACTAAATATGCGTGTTGAATGGCAATGATTTACTTACACTTATGAAATAAAAAAAAAACATTTTCAGTTGATACGAACACATTCGTTTTGAATATTTTAGCATAAGATTCATGTATTTTCAATTTTTTTAAATTAAAGAGGTTTAAAAGTCGTGGCCACCAGAAATGAGCGATGGCAAACATCTGTCATTTGTGATTATTTCCAAGTCTAGGGAAATTAACTTGACGTTCTTACAGATCCCGTGTGAATGCGATTTTTAAATAAATGGTAATTTGGAAACTGTGCATTGCAGCCATTGCTAAAATAAAAAATGAAACCAAATGCATTTTTATGAGACTAAATATTGTAAATGTTATAATTTGTTCGATTATTCGCCTAATTTGTGATGGAAATATGATTTTGAATTGAAGGTAGTATCTGGATAATGATCGATGAAAGCTGAGTGAACTGTTGATGTAATTGAAGCTGCAGTTAGCAGTTAACAAGCTATAAAACAATATTTACTTCTTTGACAAATGCTGAGATACTTCGTACTACAAGTAACATCAGCCCACATCCGGTCTTTTGCTGTTTCCAACGTAACTACACAATGTTCGTTAACACCATTTGGTTCATTCCATTCACCACGATACCTGCAAAATTTATTAAAGTAAGAAACAGTTTGTAATGGTTACTTACGCACAATTAACACATCAGCATAAACGAAAAAGCACATCTATTCAAACAGAGTCCCGAGTCCTCATCTAAATATATTCTATTCTATATATAATTTTATTCTAAGAAGTTTGTTCTATTATCTGTTAATGTTACCATGTCAGTTGATGGTGATTTACACTAGACTCGAAGAAGTTCATCACTGACATGAAACTGCTTTAGACAGAAGAGAATTCTACAAAGCGGAGGTTTTTTAACTTTTTTGATATAAAAATTAACTATCATTTCTAATTTGTAAAAGTGGTCTGCGATATGGATTGCAAGCTCTGAGAATCTGTTAATATTTTTATTATTATTAAGTCCGATCCATGCATTGGTGAGATATTCTAATTAAATATGACCGGTCCGCGTGAAAACTAAACTCCATTGTAGTAAGTTTCTGATTCACAGCAGATTAAATGGCTTTGATAAAAAGCCATGACATGTAAATTCGCAAACAAAACCTTTATTTGAAACAGAATTTTCAGGTTCCTTCAAGAAATAGGGGATTTCCAACCGTGGAAAAATTCCACCAAGTGATGAAGAATTTTGTTGCATTCTTTTCATTTGGGAAGAATTTATGCCTGCAGGATTACTAATATTCTCTACCGTTACAGCAATACCTCTTTGTGTACACATGCACATCATTAACTATACAAATGCCAGAGCGCAAAATCCGATTATTACTACCTAATAATAGCAACAGTGTTTTCAGTGAGAGTGAACAGTTTCAAAAGATGCAAAGGTTGAAATGCATCAATGAGGTTTTGACTACTGATGTAAATAAATCCTTCAAAAACTATTACTAAGGTAACGATCGACGAAAAAGTTATATCGCTTGAAACATAGAAATAAATCATTATTTCGATGAACTTTAATTTGGCAAAATAGTTGATTAAAACTCAGAAATATGCGAAGAGACTTTAAATCGGTTGCTCGGTCATGACTTTAACATATATATATATATGCATAGGGTATCAAGTTCTTCTGAGTTATAATTACTATAGGGAAACTGTAAAATGAGGCTTATTTTTGTCTCCTTCGCGCGAAATATTTGAAAACGATTTTTTCCAAAGTTATCTACACAACGACAAATAATAATTATATTCAAAATAACATTGTATGATTTATTATAGTGTGATAGTATAGTGATTACTTTTATCATTTCAATCTTCATGCGAAATCAATTATTTAAACAACACAGGCTTCACGGAACTTACCAGTTAGTATAGCTTGCTTTTGTGCCATCTGACCAAACCCATTCCTGTTCATTCTCGATGTCGTTCAAGCTAATGAAGTACCGGTTAAAATTAACCTCACTTGAACTGGATTGCCTGAATGATAAGTTATCCATAATAGTACAGAAAATTTGTTACTCACTTTAATTTTTCTTGCCTGAATAATTTTTTTTTGTTTAATTTTAATGCCCTGCTTTATTACACAAAATGCGATTCTGGATGCAATTTTTGTAAAATATACAGTCATTCAATTGATTCAAACACTCAATCACTCACAACTGAGTGAACACATACACTTCCTGCAGTAATTTGGTTACCTATACGTGGTATGTTCATATTACGATAAACACAGGTTAGCTGCTTGAGTGGATGATTACATGCACTAAGACGCAATCTACGATGTCGTGCATTAGCGGTTCCTAAACTTTTTGTTCGTGCGCCGCCGCCATATTATCATTGCTATCAACACTCACGGCTCACTTACACGAAGTAAAATTTCTGCCTTCAAATAAAACTCAATTTTGTGATAGTTAATGTGTACTATATGCTTTTAAAATTTGAAAACATGATTTCGCCCCTAAAATACTAGACAAACCACACATCTTCGCTAAACTACAACTCGCGAAATTGAAGCAAGTAGTGTCCACCGCTATTGTTACATTACAATAGTGGCAGACATAACGTACTGAAAGTGAATGACATGGAATGGTAAAATGAATTTATAGATTCATATACACATCATTTAAAATAAGAAACAATAAAATATTTGTCATAAACACAATATGTAAATTATTTAATCATATATTAGATATGTTCAATACAATTCTGTTAATTTTCGGTGCGCACTAAGCAAATCGCCGCCGCGCACAAGCTCCTCATTAGGGGACCTCGGTCATAAATAATTGTTTCTCAACATGACGACCCTAATGATAGCAATAATGGAATCCTATCTTAAATGAACTGTTGTTTAGCCATTGTCTCACGTTACATTTTTTAAGCTTTGAGAGATTATTTTTGCAAGGTGAAGCTTTGGCGTGATATGATAGTGTTCGTATGCTTATATTACTTTAAAACGGCGATTGATTGAAACATGAGAAATGACTTGTTGCAAGGGTGAAGTAGATGCGATAGAAGGCCATGATATAAGTATAAGTCAGCGGCGACCGTCTACATCAGGGTTCGGCAACATACGGCCGGCGGGCACAGTAAAATAATCTGACCCGCGATGCTGCACTGAATTATAGCGACAAAACTGCTGTTTTCACGATTGTATTTTTTAGGTAACAGAATTTATTGTGAGACACTTTTAGACTAAATTATATTATAACCTAACAATTTAAACAACTACTCGTTTAACGCGTCTACGATTTAAATATAATTAGACAAATGACAAAAAACGCTGAAGAGTTGATTCTGAGTGCAGCGGTTTCAATGGCGCAGAAAATATTCAATGCAATGCAGTGAAGAAATCCATAAGCTATTCGGAAGATGTGTCACTGCTTATTTTTATAAAAAGTATTCTTGAAGGAAATCCAAATCCAAATTTGACAAATCATGCGAAAAAATTGATGTTTCGAAGTACATTTGTGTGCAAACAATTATTTTCTTCATTCAGCGTGGCGCCTCCTGTAGAAAAGTTATCAAGCGTGATGCAACAAAAATTGTCACATAAAATGTCATTTGTACTTTTTTCCTCTTTTATTGAGATGACCAAGTTGAGTTCACAAGTTGTCGCAGTCTTTTTAATTTTTAAACTCATGATATGAGTGAAAAAGCTGTGATTCATCGGTCATCTGTTTGGTTTTTAAGATTCTGAAAATAAGTGCAGCCCGCCAAGACTTGCGACTCTTAATTTTGGCCCACGAGCGATAAAAGGTTGCTGACTGCGATAGATACAAATTCGTGGTACATGTCGTTCGTTGTACATGAATACATACAGTATAAGTTTCAAAAATCTTCTACTTTTATGGACTGAAGATAGTGGAATATTCAAATTGTATTGAATATTGAAAGTAAATATTCCAGACTTGTGTGAAGTCTGTACCTATCTTCATAGTTTCGAAAATACAATCGGTATCTTGAAAAGTACGTCGATGATTTTTGCTGCAAAGTGCGATAGATAAACAAACTAAGAATTGGTTGTATTTTCTATTTCGAAAATCAAATCACTTATTTCAATTGAGTACTGACACAATGGTATTGGCATGCACTGGCACTTTTCCGTCTACTTTCAGCATATTCCTGGCAACCTCGCTCTTAGCACATTTTCATGACTTTACCTTGTAGGCATGGTTTGATGTTTGAAATAATGTAATCACATGGGTTAAAAGTTGAAGAATGTAATGATTCTTACCATGCGTCGAGCTCCCGCACGATAACGTCATTAATTTGTGGGTCTTTTATTGTAGCTAACTCTGACCCTCGTTTTTCGCACGCCTTTTTGCTCTGGGTGTAATTCATCAACGTCAAATGATTGAAATACAGTTCCATGTCTTGGTAAAGGATGATGTTGTTTGCATCTAAATGAGTGTAAAATATTGGAACACCGCTTTGCTTCATTTCAGTCTATTTGACTAGAAATATAATATCTTTAATATTAGTTTTACGTATCAAACTTTCAGCATGTATTTTGAATGCCTCACGCTGTCTGTCAGCAGATAAGTGATTGGCTATCGGTGAAGGCAGAGCAATGGAAAAAAGGTTGTGACTGATTCAATGTTTTCAGTAATTTATCAGAACCATTACAATATAAAAGTCGCATACAATAACATATCTTCCGAATATTCTATATTCGATTCTATTTGAAAAAATATTCGAATCGATTCTGAAATCATCAAGTATTCAAAAATTTCCGTCTATAATAAACAGTACATCTGCGAGTTGCATAGGTTCGATATCTTTATACTTCGGTCAACACCGAACAATTTCCCTTTGCGATCGGAAAACATATTCTAACGGCTATTTCTTCCTTGTCAGTAAAGTTAAAGTGGTCAAACAGATTTCTTACCGCGATCACAATATGTCCCGCTGTATCCGTTATCACAACTACATTCCACCTGACACCCAATGGTACTTCTACAACTTCCTCCATTCTTACATGGTGTTGAGTGACAAGGATCAATGACTGCGATATAAAACAACAACCCTCGATATTGTTATAGATAGTTATAGAAAAGTATAAAAATTATTGCAACAGCAGAGGACACTGGATCCTCATCATTAAAACTAATTTAATGTAAAAGTGACGACAGAATGAAAGTAATACTGTTCACTATTTAAATTCGCAATGAATAAACTGTTAGATACAACGATGCCAAGATAAATAATCCAAATGATAATAATCTAGAGAGATCTCTTATAAAATAAGTTAATGAAAAGACGGAATATATTATACTAAAATCCCACACAATATGAAAGAAGTAATCATTTGGGTGACCTATGGTGGGTTTTTTTTTGGGGGGGGGGGGAGGGGGGTTAAACTATCGTTTCATTAAATGTTTGAAAAAAATATTTGACAATAGTTGGTAAAGAAACTATACCTACTACTATATTGTCATTGCCAATTATTGAAATTTTTCAAATCGTAAGTAAGATTTTTTGCTGATTCGAAAGTGCTACCTTAGTGTTTCTTTTAAAATCTCCTAGCACACACATAATACTGAAATGCAATTATGCGTTCGCCCGGTTTTCAGTTGCAATCAAATGCAATTGCAGAAACTTTGACGTATTGCACAAACCTGGTAATTCGCAGATAAAACCTTTTTTATCGTCATTTGTTCCGGAAAACCAAAGCAGATCTGTGTTTGATTCTTCAACACTAGTATTGAGATATAATTTGTTCCCAGATTCCGGTTGACTATTTGCCCATTTTTCAAATCCACCAGTAGAGAATGGCTCGCCGTCAATGTATCTCCAGAAATCACTGTTATCTTTCTTCGCACCGACCCAGAAAGTCATATTATTGACTGAACCAAATCTTGTTTTAATCGCTTCTTCTATGTATTCATGAATTTCTTCTGTTTTGATCATTGCAAGCGTTGCAGTATTATTCATTCTGAAGCAATATGACTGAGCGTCGTAGTAAGTTCTCTTGTCCAAGTGACTGATATGGTATTTGCAATTTCCTCTAACGTTGAATACAAGTTCTATTTGAAGTAAACACAAAAATGTTTTATGTTACTTCCAGCGTGACAACATTTTAGAAAACATAACCCCTGGGCCCTCGTATTTTATCTTTACTTACGCATCTGAACATTGGGAAATGTCAATGCATGGAATTCAAACAGAGTGAATTCCTTTTTTTAACCTAGGATTTGAGAATAAATTTAAGCTCTATAAAATGGTTTCATTGCCAGACATTTCTTAACAACTTTACTTATACTACCTAATATTGATAATGTCACTAACTTCTGCTAAGTCAAGAAAATTTCTTTGTAGTTAAAATACAATACTAAATCAAATACTCAAGCCTATCCCCAATGATACCAAAGCCTAAAATTCATGAAATATTGCGACCAGCCATTGTGATTTAAAATGGAAGTAACTAAATATGCGTGTTGAATGGCAATGATTTACTTACACTTATGAAATAATAAATAAAAAAATTCTTTTTGAATATAGTTGCATAGGATTTTATTCATTTTCATTTTTTGAATCAACACAGATTAAAAGTTACCCACCAAACGGCCAGGAGAAATGAGCGATTGATCAGCAACTATCTTTTTTGATGATTTTCAAGTGACGGGGAAATTACCTTAAGGTTTCTACCACGTGCGATTTGAATTTTAAATGAACGGAAATTGAAAAACTGTTCATACCTAAAATAAAAAATGTGTTTAGAACCAAATACATTTTATTGGAAAAGTTGTAAATGATATAACTTGTTCGATTTTTTTGCCCAATTTTTGATGGAAAATATTATTGATTTAGGTTTCGTTGCACATTTTTGAATTGTGGGTGGTTACTAGATAATGATGGATGAAAGTGAAGCGAACTGTTGATGGTGTTGAAGCAGGTGGCAGTTAACGTTCTATAAAACGATATTTACTTTTTTGACAAATGCTGGGATACTTCGTACTACAAGAAACATCAGCCCACTTCCTGGCATACTTGTTTTCCAGCGTAATTACACAATCTTCTTCTCTGTTTGTAGGGTTGGTTGGTTCTGTCCATCCCCCTCTATACCTGTAAAAAAGTCTCTCAAAATGAAAAAATGAGTCAATTAGTACTTACGCACAATTATTACATCAGCATAAACTAGGAAGCATATCTATTCAAACAGAGTCCCGGGTCTCCATTTGAATATATTCTATTATATATACACCCTATGCTAAAAGGTTTGTTCCATTATATGCAAATATATATAGGATAAGCCAGTTGATGTTGATTGACACTGGACTAGAAGCAGCTCATCGCTGACATGTACATGCTCATCGTACTGCTTTAGACAGAAGAAAGGATGCTACAAAGCGGGGGTTTGTTCAACTATTTGATAAACAAGAGAGCAATGCTCAAATATATGGACACGCAGAACAACTCTCTAAAAATCACATGCGTGACTTACCAGTACCTGTATCGGGGTACCGTGACGGTACAGGGACTGTCATAGATATTTTAGGTCCTGTGACAATGATTCATTCTTCTTGATTATATTGAAACATCAATTGAAATATCTCGTGATATGAGTCAATTATGTACCGTATTATCGGATCAGGTACCGAACCACAGAGGTACAGTCAAACATTTCACATAAAAACGTTACTAAATAACATGTGTCAACTTAACACCACCCGAATCGGGGAACAAATTTCGGTACTGTGACTGTCATAGCCGTTTAGGGCTGATGGACAATTCGACTACACGGACAACTCACCAGGCCTATCTGTAGTCGAGTTGTCTCTGGTAAGTTGTCCGTGTGTAGTCGAGTTGTCTGGCTCCCATTTTACATGGCCCGTGGCAATGATCTATTCTCCCCCATTCAATTGCAACATAAATTGAAATACTAATTAATTCGTTTCATTCCCTTCTCCATTATTAAAACAAAATTTAAAAAACAAGCTTCGCTTTTACGAGAAAGCTACGAGTTAGTTCAGTGTCACCGCATTGGGGTCCTGTCTTGTGACAGCGTGAATTGAAATTGCATGATGGTCCGACTCACAACTGTAGTAACACCAACGATACAAGTCACTACTGTATTATAACACCAAGTACGGCACTATTCGCCATTCACCATTCCTCAAATCTTAGCAAAGCAAGGACTCCGTTACGAACCACCGAGCATATGCGCCCGCAGAACGTTCAGTGACGTCATAGCAAACAAAAACAAATTTCACAGAGCTAACAGAAATATTTGAAATAAATAAAAGTAATAGCCTTCTGGAGAAAAATTTCATCTTTACCCACTAAAAATTTCAAAGCAATTGGTCCAGTATAATCAAAGAGAAAAGCGACTTTTTAGATTTTCCACTAGGTGTCCAAAAAGTGTCAAAGAACAACATAACAACAAAACTATCGTTATATCCACTACGTATCCAAAAATTATGACAATGCATTATCATTTGTAAAAGTGCTTCACGATATAGATTGCAAGAACTGAGAATGGGTTACTATGTCAACCATTCTTAATATAATTGAGCCCAATCCACGCGTTGATAATGTATTCTAATTGAATATGACCGGTCCGTGTGGAAATGAAACTCCATTTTAGCAAGTTATTGATGACTATCAGACGAAATGACCTTGGTAATACGCGCTGTTCACAAGTTAACTCGCAAACAAAACCTCCATTTTAAACAGACTTACCCCAATCTTTTGAGTAATAAGGCCTCCCCAACCGCAGAGGACTCCATTCCCATTGAAGAATTTTGTTACATTAATTTTATTTGGAAAGAATTATTATCAATACCTATTTATGTACACATCATTTACTGTACAAATCTCAGAGAATTGACTCCGCTTATCATTAGCTGATATTCCTATAAATATTGAAACAGAAACGGCAAAAGTGTTTTTATGCGTTGTGAACGGAAGTGAACAGTTTAAAAAAACGCAAAGATGTAAACGCAACAATAAGGTTTCGACTACTGATCTAAGTGAATCATTTAAAAATTTGAAAACAATAGACTGAAAACTAGTTGCCTAGTCATTACTTTAGCATATGCATATGCCATCTTTTGTTTTTGGAGAAATTCCAGAGTTATAATTACTAGATGTAAACTGTAAAATGAAATGAGACTTATTTTTGTCCCCTTGACGCAAAATCTTTCGAAACGATATTTTCCAAAGTTCTCTACACAACAACAAATATTATTTATATTTCAAAATAAAATTGTACAATTTATTATCATGAGGATAGTGATTACTTTTTTCATTTCAATCTTCATGCGACATCAATTACTTAAACAACACAGGCTTCACGGAACTTACCAGTTGGTATAAGTTGCTGTTGTGCCATCTGACCAAACCCATTTCTGTTCATTCTTGATATCGTTCAAGCCAATGAAATACCGCTGATTTTGGGGATCAGGTGGACTGGCTCGCCTGAATGAAACATTATTTATAATATAACTGAAAACATAGTACTCATTTAATTTTTTACGCCTGAATACTTTTTTGTTCAAATTTAATGCTTTTTTATTATACAAAATACGATTATTAATGCAATCCTGGCAACATTTGTAAAATGATTACCCGACACTGATGGAAAATCCACCGCACCGGCAAGTAAATCAGAGAGCAGTGCTCAAATATACGGTGGAATAACGAGCTGCATGAAGCTCTAATAGAGGAAAGTAAAAATAAATAGAAAACGGAGCATATGTACACTTCGTGTCAAATATCGGAGTCAAGTTCGTAACGTTGCATACATATGAATTATCAGCCAACTCATATGTAGCTTGTACAACCTATACACATAGGCTATGCAGCAAGGCAAATATACGAAACGAAGCTATGTCATTTTCATATACAGTAAACCAATTGCATGTATACGGCCGGTAATGCCATATGTAATGTCATATGCATACATAGCCAACTCAATATATATACATATACAGACATTTTGTTAGGCACACACAAAATTCAATGTCATATGCACAAAGTGATTTACCTGCACCCCCGCCTATAGAGGGTAGACCCCCCCCCCCCCCCATTCCCCCTAAATTTTCAAATAAATAATTGTTTCTTAACATGACGAATGTGCTGATAGCAATAATGATGTTGGAATCCTATCTTAAATAAACTATTGTTTAGCCATTGGCCCACGTTACATTTTTTTAGGATTTGACAGATTATTTTTGTAGAGGAAAGCTAAGATCGTTGGACATATATATAGAAACTCCAAAACGGCTATTCATAGAAATGTGAGAAATGAATTGTTACAAGAGTGAGGTAGATGCGATAAAATGCCATGATATAAATATAAGTCAGTGGCAAGCGTCCACATGTTCATTGCATCCAGCGATACATACGAATTTCGCCGTTGGTGAATACATACAGTATATGTTTAAAAATTATGATGCCATAACGCCCGCAACACTTGATCGCTCATAACTTTGGGAATCTGCTACTTTTTATGGCTACTGACTAAAGATAATGGAATATTCAAATGTATTGATTATTAAAACTGAAGACTTCAGAATTGTGTGAAGCCTGTGCCTATCTCCATAGTTTTAAAACTACAACTGGTATCTTGACAAGTACGTCAATGGTTTTTGCTTCAATGTGCGATTAAGAACTAAATTCGTACTTTCATTTTGGAGAAACAAATCACGTATTTCAAATGAGTAGTCCCACAATGGTACTGGCATACACTGGCACTCTCCCATCTACTTTCAGCTGATTCATCGGAACCTCGCTTTTCGCACATTCCCATGAATAACTGACACTCTTTGCTTGCACAATACGACTTTACGTTGTAGGTATGATTTGATGTTTGAGGAGCGATGTGATCACATGGGTCGAAAGTTGAAGAATGCAATAATACTCACCCTGTGTCGAGCTCTCGTACGATAACCTCGTTCATTTGAGAGTCTTTTATTGTAACTAACTCCGCTCCTCTTTCTTCGCACATTCTCACGCTCTCCGTGTAATTTCTCAACGTCAAATGATTGAAATACAGTTCCATGTCTTGGTAAAAGATGATGTTATTTGCATCTAAATGAATGCAAGACATTAAGTACACCGCTTTGAAACTTTTCAGTCTATAATACCAGCAATACAATATCTTCCATATTTGTTTCATCAAACTTTCATCATATATTTTTCAAATGCCTAACGCTGCAGGTCAACATATGTCAGCAAATAAGTGATTGACTACCGATGAAGGCAGCGAATATAGGATACGACAAAAAAAAAGAAATGGGGAAATCTTTTCAAATTATGGGAAGCAGTGTTTCCCAACCTATGGTTCGCGGCTAAGAATCGGACCGCTTGAAAATTTTGGGTGGCTTGTTTTTAACTAAACAAAAACCTAGAAGTTATTGATTCTATACTTTTTAGCGTTTATTTTATATTTATATTGAAGTGTTGCTCAATAGTAATTGTATTCTATCACGGCGTGGCACCTGCTGTTCTGCTTAAGTAAAACCAAGTGACGATTTCAAAAAACTCGCTCATGGCAAATGAGCGCAGCTTTCTCACTTTTAGAAGTAATTTTTGGGAAATTGAATTTTATGTAGAAGTGGTTGTTTATATTGTCAGTTAATATTGCCACCATAAAAACCTTACATCACGCCAACCTGGATAGCGACATTTTCAAAAAAAGAAATTTTAAAAAGTTTGGGCCTTTCCGGAAAAAGATTGGGAACCACCAATTTAAAGTATCTTTTTTGAACAAACTTAAATATTTGACAGACATAGATTAAGATCTTACTTTCACAGCGTGTGCAGGTTTTCTCGTGTTGATACTAATTTGATAATATTAGCTATTTAGTTTCCTACATGATTCACTTTGTAGAATAGATTTTAATTGAAATACAAACTGCATGTTTATTAAAATGGCTGGGAAAACATTCGTGTGTACTTATTCGCTCCCACATCTCTTCTATTTTGTAAGGGATGGCTTTTTACTATATTGAATATATATTCAGAGTTTAAATTTAAAACTGACGTTTGCAAAATGCGCCTGAATTATCTTATTTTTAATGATATTTTGCCGAATCTTGTTAATTTGATATTCCTCTCTAGTAAACATTTCTATGCAAAAAGTATTTTCTGATTCCCCAGCAGTGTTGACAGGATTTTTTCAGCTCATCGTGTGCCAAACGTTGTGTATTTACATCCTTGATGCCAAGATGAACTATATAGATTGCTGTTAGATTGACGGTTTTATAACTTGAATACTTTGAGTGAAACTATTAAAGATAATATATCCTTATTTTCATTCAAAACTAGACTTGACAGGGAATTGCATATTTTTATAAATTTTTACAGAACACAACGTTCCAAATTTGTGAATATGATGATCAGATTTTACTTTAAATATTAAAAAAAAAGTTAAAATATGAATAGATTTAGTATTACCTGACTGACAAACATGAAATCTTCTTTTAGAACACAATGTGCCGACCCACTTAATATCGATCATTTGAAAAAGGGGACATTTTGTTTCATCAACAGCTCGAATTTTCCTTAAAAATATTTAAAAAGATTGATAGTATTGAAAAAAATATTCAGTCAAAAAAGAATTATATAATGAGTTTTTTTATTTATAAAACTGTCAGCAATATGGTCTTTACACAGACTTCACATACACAAAATACCTCAACTATACTTCGACAAGGTGTTCGAACACATTTTCTCCCAACAATTATGAAAAAAATTAGTTTATTGCAATATAAATTATCTTTTTAATTATGTTATTACCATTTTCATTGCAATATTCTGAATCATATAATTTATCTTGCAAATTATAGTATTACCATATTTTTTGACAAAACGATTCATTTTTTAATTACTACATTTTCATTACTGTGAAACAGGTAGTTTCAACCGGGTTTCCGTCAGTACAGTCGAGGGTTTTTTCAGATCTCTGTTTAAATCCCAGAGTTCATATTAATATATCTATAATGTTTAAATATAGCCAAATACCCGGTCACACCAAAATGAGGTGGTCACTATTATTGAACTTGCTTTTGTATATAGTTATATACATATTCATAGGCTATATACAATGGAGACAATAAAAGGCAGCTCAACTCAAGCCCCTGAAATGTCCCATTGAGGGTCCGTTCCAGCATAAAGTTTGAAAAGCACTGCTAATAAATATTTTATCGGCAATATAAATCAATCAATCGATTACTGTTCATCATTTCCATAATCATATTTTGAATTTTTCAAATTTTGTTTTATCGATTTCAGTATGCTATTTATGAATGTATAAATTATCTCACCAATTACTGTATTCTATATCAGACCCATCATTCCACGTCCAGTTGGTTTCTGACCAAGATGCACCAATCCAGGTATTCATATTCGCAAGCCTATCATAATACAAAATATATGGTTTGATGCCGAGAATCGACGCATAATTGCAGAATGAGTATTGGTAAAATATAGGCAAATAACCACTGACCAATCTATCAAGATTGCAAGGCAACACGTGTCACAGATTAGCCTAAGCTCATTTTCAGAACTATAGAATGGTGAAAACTTGATCCTGACGGGGACTTACTTGATAAATGTCTGTAACTCTGATCCGAATTGTCCATTTTTCACTTCGACAAGCCATGAATTTCTTGATTTACAAAAAGCTTTGGCTTCAGAATAGCTTAATTTTACTCTGTGTGCTTCTAATCTGTACGGTCCCACAAATTCAGTTTTGAGTAAATCTATTAGAAAAAAACGAGAATATCGGTCAGAGACTGAAGACTTATCGATCGAAAGTTAGGGAATCCGCCAAAACAGCGCTCTTACTCCATAGTGACACTTTGTGTCCCATCACTAATTAATTAACAACTCGCTAATTATACGACATAATTCATCCAAAATCAAAAGGCTTCTAGTCCGACATATGATGAATGCACATGCAAAATCTGGAGCAGATTCACTCTTGCTTTCGTGAGATATCGCGTGCATCTAACAGACAGACAAACAGACAAATACCGATCAACATACTTACCGATTAAAAAGATTTTGAGTAAATCTATAAGAAGAAAAAAATGATCTATGTATTATCTAGCTAGTGTATTATCTTCCTCATTAAATTTAATTTGAGCTTTTCCAAATTGTCGGAATTACCAATAGATTATCCACCATTTGGATTAATCACCCGCACATTCACTCTGGAAAAACGTCTCAGAGCAATTTTATTATTACCTCGTCAACCCAAGCTGTTAGATCTTATAAGTTCGTAATACGCGGAAAGAGAGTGTTCGTCTAATATGTCAATAAAAGTAAATATGTACTTCATGATTTATTAATTACGTTGGTAACATCCCAAGCTTGATACGTACATTACCAAGAGCATAATATACCGGAAAGAGATTGATCGTCTATGTTGTTAAAAGCTAATGTGTGAAACGCTTGAGATATATAACTTACATTCCGGTAGTACGTTGACTGGAAAAATCAGTAGAATCAAACAGTTGAAGAAAATCATATTTCCTAGCGTGTAAAACATCTCATCTTTTTTCGAATGTCTAAAGTTCATACATTTAATGATACAACATATTGTCGTCTAAATATATACTGACGTATGAGAAAGAAAAATAATTGAAAATGACATTAAAACTGGCTCATTTACCATATATTACTGTATTAACAGGCTAGTATTTTTTAATGAATGAAAAAGACAAAATGTTAAATGTCACAGTATTGAGAATGTCATTAAGCCCCGGCCATTCACCACATAGGCCTATTTATTCCGTTAGTATTTACTAATGCACGAAAAGGCAACTAATGAAAAAGTCGAATTGACCCATTTGAGACAAGAAAAAAATCATAATTCAATGCAAAAACTCTACTTTTCGATAATTATATTTATGAGAAAATCTTTACTATTCAATATTTTATTGAATTAAATTCAATGGATTTAAGTTTTGCGTCATATGATATTCACTTACGCTTTAATTTACCACTTTTACATTGTTTGCTTCTCATTAGCTTTTCACATTGTACTGGACTGTTTTGTATTTGCATAAATTTACTTCTAAGTAAGCGCGTGTCATTTTTAGGCAAATTTTTATTTAAAAGAACACAATCCCTAAATAGGGCTGGGCGTTTCAAAACAATGAAAAGTCGAAACTGCGCTATTTCGACTTTCGAAACGGATATTATGACATCATAGCAAATGCAAACTGAGATGCAAACTCGTCAAAGTAACATGTTTTCACTCAATAAAAAATTTGTCAACGTCATTACTTTTTGCGCCAACAGACATTTGCAATCAAGTACAGTTGCACCCTCCTACATTTGCACCCACATACATTTGCACCCACGGACATTTGCACCCACTGAAACTTGCGCTCACGGAAATTTAAACCCAAAGACATTTGCACCCATGAACATTTAAACCTACTTTTTTTTGCACCCGAGTACATTTGCATCTACGTAAATTTGCACCTACGTATATTTGCACCCGCGGACACTTGCACTCGCGTACATTTGCCCCCACATACATTTGCAGCCGGGAACATTTGCAGCCAGGTACATTTGTTTCCGCATACATTTGCAGCCGGGAACATTTGCAGCCACGGAAATTTGCACCCACGGACATTTGCACCCAGGTACATTTGCACCCAAAGACATTTGCACCCGTGTACATTCGCACTCATGTAGATTAGCACCCACGGACATTCGCACTCATGTAGATTAGCACCCACGGACATTTGCATCCGAGTATATTTGCACCCACAGAAATTTGCACCCAAGGACATATGCACCCGAGTACATTTGCACCCACGGACATTTGTACCCGCGTACATTTGCACCCACGAAAATTTGTACCCGCGTACCTTTTGCACCCACGAACATTGCACCCTGCCACTCACGGAAATTTGCACACGTGGGCATTTGCGTGTCTTTTGTACAAAGCCTACTTTCTTTGTACTGCTAAAAAAAGCCGCCCGCCAACGTTCAAAATACGAATATTAGTAATTATCCATATAGGATTAGGAATGCAGATTGCGCTGGTAATTCAAATTTTCAAATCATTTTCAGACCTGACCACAACTAGTTAATTATTCATTTGTTAATTTAAAACGTGGCGGGGTGTTTTCTCAAATCTCCCATTTTTGCATTTGTGGTGGGGGCTTTGTACCAAAGATTCAAACACGCAATGCCCGTACCCAAGATCACACTTACAATTTGTAATTTGTCTTGATATCTATAGAATATATTTATTAACATGGAAATGAAACTTTGTCTGAAGCGCAAATATTCACGTGTGAAAATGATTGGGTGCAATTATACATGGGTATGCGTGTAATAACCGTGGGTGCAAATGTCAAACGTACGAACTTAAAACTTTGGTTACGTTTGTAAAGGCGAAGAATAATAATTTTTGTCTTATTTCTTTGCAAATTTTGAAGCCTCAATTTGAGCAACTATTTAAAAAACAAAACCCGTTTCACATTGGTCCTTTCTCGTCAAATGCATTTATCGCCATTACATCCAGCGTAAATTATGTCGGACGTAATACGAACTAGTCATTTTTTTAAATCTGCTAGCAACAGCAAAACAAAACCTGGGAAATTATTCAGGCCACACTATTATATGATATTTAACTAGATCAGCAAAATAGGATTCGGTATTCATATCAAGCATAGCTATTCTAGAGTATCAGTTTCAATTCAATTTGCGAGAAAAAAATCGAAACGACACGTAAACAAAAATTTTTTTATTTCAGTGGTCGTTTCATTTAATTTGCCATAGCATATTTAGTCCAAATTTATCAAAACAAAACTAAAATTGTATCCCTGAAACAATTCTATGAATGTAAAATCTGTTTCAAGCTCCCCTGCCTCTTAAAGTTTTCATATATGCTACAATATTATCAAAACAAAACTGCAATGTAGCTCTGAAATGCTTTCTTTACATTGTTATCAATTATGAAAAGATTCTGCGAGACGAACATTCTAAAGGCGTAAATCAAACACAATTTTCTAGAACAGACATGGGCAGACTGCTCGAGGCCAAATCCGGCCCGCTGGGTAATTCATTCTGGCTCGCCTGATGCTACCACAGCCAAACTGAAACCAAACTTTGATGTTTTAGCTAAAATAGCTCAAGGAATTAGTTGAGATTGCGGATTTAGTTTTGCCACGAGGGATATTGTTTTCCACCTTCGCTTTGTAACACTGAATATATTGTTCATAAAATTAAACCTTTTACGTCACACTTACATGGCCCGCCAGCCTGGGTGGGCAAAATTTTTGGCCCCTGTTATAAAAACCTAGTCCACCTCTGTCATAGAGTCATAATATATACCAGAGTGAAATACAATATCACGTTTTATTGTAAACGACCGAACAGGGCAGACGCATTAATAAGCATCCGGAAAATAAGTAATCCACTTGGAAGCTTATATTTATATCCGATCACAATCAACACGAGCTTATCGGTTTTTGCTTTCAAGTCACTTAGAAGTAAAAAGTAAGTATTTATAATATTTATATCACAATTCACAAGATATTTGGCCGCAGGCGCAGTTCACCGACCTCTGCTTTGAACAAATCAACACAAGACGGAGTTGATCACAAACATGATAAATTTTCAATCTACTAGAATAATATCGCATTTAACAATGAAAACAACCCTGATCCTGGACATCTGGCCAAGCCGACTATGGCCAACATCATTATTAATCTAACAGCTACCGAACTAAGTTTATATTGCATCTAGTTTCGATTCGAATTTCTGGGAAATAATTCAACTCCCTTGAAATGCAAATTTATTATTCTTCCAACATAACGTATGCTTTGTCTTATTCTGAGCTTGACGTAATGCGACGCATTTCCTTATTGAATATCGCCTTTCATCTATTCAGTGCCATGCACGTCTTTTATGTAAAATTATTTTTTCTTCGAAATATGTATTCCTTTTATGTAAAATACTTTCATGCTGAGAACCTATCCTGACTAAGCAATTTTTACATGCCTCAGCAAGAATTGGGCTGCACAAATAAAGCTATTGTGTTTTAAGAAATACGATCTCAAGCAACAACAGCCGGTATAAATAGTCTAGTCAAAAGAATGTTTTCAATTTGTTTATGGTAATACTAAACTTGACAATTACGTTTAAAATATGTAAAGTGATGAAATTTATATTATCATAATCTGTTGCGCCACTAACTATCTATAGCGAAAATTGGCGACATTTCAACCTCAAAGAATGTCAACTTTCACAAACTCAGTTGGATTTAATGATGTATTGGCCGCGTATGGACGGATTTAATGGTGCAGACTTGTTTTTTTTAACATAAAGGGGTTTTTCTGAGTATACATGTTATGGTTATTACCAATTATTCCCACGAGGGTGTAGATTCAACAGGTGTATATCACCACCATTGCAAATGTGTTGCCTTTCTGGTACAAAGGTTAATCTATTGTAAACACAATTTATTGTGATCGAACATCACGAGAATATGAATGAAGCAATCACTAAATTTTGGACCATAATTGACGAAGAATGAAATGAATTGTTTTGTTAAAATGTTGCTGTTCTTGTTCTTCGTCATAGAATTTTATCGTTATCAAAAAATCGCCATGTTCTTTGAATCATTTTTGTGTGCTATGACGTCACCAAAATGTGCACACCTTGTGGCGGTTCCGCGAACGCATATCAACGGATCTCGTGCTTAGCAAGAGTGGGAAGTTTTTTATGGAGAACAGTAAACTGGGAGACCTGATCTGGTAATACAGAGGTGACTTGGATCAGTTGGTATTTCAATTCACGTTGAAACTGAATTATGAAGAATGAATCATCGTCACAGGACCTGTAAAAGCTATGATAGTCCCTTTACCGTCACGATACCCTGATAAGTTACCTGGTAGGTTGCCGCATATGGTTTTTGCGGAATTGGTGATAAAATATATATTGTTTCGCTTTCCGTGTCCACATATTTGAGCATAGCTCACATGTTCAAATTATATTCTTTAACTTCCAATAACTCTCAACACTCGCTGTAATCACATCACAGTCAAAGAACCTAAACAAACCAGTTAATTTAGCCTTAAATATCAAAGTAGTAATAATAGTTCATAGTGAAGGCATTTATTTGCTCATCGCCTCCAGTGATTAAATTATGTACAGCATGTCATGTTAATGCAGCAGACGTATTGACTTCAATTCCTTTTTCTGAAATAAGGGAACCTGGTGTTTGTAAGTATTAGGATATATCATAACTATTTTGAAACAAAGCATGGTTGCAAATAAAGGTTTTAAATACAAGAAAATAGCTCGTTATCTCCGTTAGCTCTTTAACAAACATAATGAAGAGCATTCAGCCGTAGGAAAATTAATTTCAAAGAATGATTAGACAGGGTCTAGTTCGGAGATTAAAAAGTCTGAATGCAATATTCCTTTGGATCATCAGATCAGCGTTTTCCAACGCCATCAATTGTTTTGACGAGTCAATACAAAAATAATATCTTCTACTCGACGTAGCTTTAATTATACTGTTAAGTGTAACGATTAAATTATTGGTGCCATTGAATTACTGTCTCGCCATTATATGTTTCCTACCGAGGCATGGCGGGTTTAAGAGACAGCTTTCTCATACTTGAAACAATGACGAACCATTAGCTTAAAATAGTGTTTGTATTGGGATATACACCAATTTTTCTAAACGAACCAGGGATCATTTTACGGACTCATTTTAGTGTCCGACGGCCTGTCGCTTTAACGTCCCCGTACTTGGAACGCTAACTCGTCTAATTGCCGAGTTTTATTATTTTAGCTTGTTTTAATTTTAATGTTCTAGTCAAACAAGAAAATATGCCGCTACCGTAGTATGTGAACCAAGATGGCGGACACCGGAACGTAGTATGTGTACCAGGTTGGGGTTAAGCCAAATTTTTATTCCAGTTTCCTTATTTTATTTCTATTACAATTTCGGGGACTAGCCAAGTGACTCCCGTATTGTTTGTAATTGAAATTATGGCCTAACTCTACCCCGGTACATATACTACGTTCCGATGTCCGCCATCTTGGTTCACATACTACGGGATTGCCGGAAATATTGTCAAGTCAAAACCGGTCCAACTATCAACTTACTATAGTTAAATTAAACCAAATATGCGATGTGTTTGATGTATGAAATACTTTAACTATGCGCGGTATTGTTTCACTAGTTTCAGGATCAGTGATGAAAAAGCCACGTCGACGGAACCAAGTGTTTTTAAAGTGGAGTCTACTATAAACACACAGCTTTTTTCCATGCATGTGCATTGACGTTACGATCTACAGTGGAGACATGACCCAAAGACTGCGCAACTATCCTATGCGTGCAATTCTTTTCTAATGAATCTTAAGTTTATTTCGACTCCATAGGCAGCTTAACAAACGCCAAAAGGATTGATAATATCAAATAAATAAAACTGAATGAAGAATCAGGACCAAAAAGCGGGTAAGGTTCATAGCGTACAAAATATGAATAAAATGGTTCCCAATCTTTTTTGCCAAATTGCTACCTACGCCTATTTTAAAACTCTTTACCTCCATCAATATGCATGAAAACTACTTTAATTGTCCAATCTTTAATGTGTGTATAGTATGTAGTATTATGCGCGCACTCACACTTTTGTACAGTTTGAGTGTGTATAAATAAACATTATAGAAATGATGGCAAGAGAGCTATGCTCGAATATGTGGACACGGAAGGCAAAATTAAATAGTTTATCAGCAATTCCCCAAAAATCAGTACAGTCCAACATACATTTTCACATAAAGATAATTTCAAAATGATGTCAAAAATTAATAAATATGCATATTGAAAATCCAATAGTAGAGTAGACATGAGCAATCAAGTACATAACGTTTATTAAGAGTATTTGTATATTGATAAGCATAGATGAGAGATAGTAGCAGACTTGGCTGACAGCCAAGGCGTCTAAATATAAAGGCGCATGAAAAATTATCATTAATATGTATTCTTCATCTTGCTATATTTATTGCACTTATACTTTCATACAAATTCTGAGTGCCTCCTGGACCAGATGATTTTTGTTTCGGACAGTTTAGGTTTTCATAAAGACTAAATGAATTGATATATGCCAGCATAATTTCGTAGCAATGTTTATATTCGTCCTAAAAAAAAAAAATTGCAGTGTTTTTTGAAAAGGATATTTCTCATGTAATATTGAAAAAAAAAATAGAAAGTATATTAGTTCATTTATTATTTATTATAGTGAAACATTTGACATACGTGCATACTGTAATTATATCACTTTTAGAGATTTCGACATGGCAGAATGATTTAATTGATTTAATTAATTATAATTAATATAATTCAATCAGTAATTTACATGTCTTGACATTTAGCAATTACACGTTGGGTATATCTTGTTAGAATATTCTTAAAAACATAAGCACAAGTTAGGTTAGGTGTCTAAAAGAAATGTATTGCGAAAATTGTGCCTCGGCTTGTCACAACGAGAATTTTGTTCCATTAAATAAATAAGCGCCGGAATATAATATTTTGAATTTGTGGTAACAACCCTGAAACGAGAGTGGCAAACTGTAATGTATTTCTTCAAAATGTAACTGTTTAGTAAGATAACATTATTACTGTTTTTCAACTGTGTGTTTCAGGTTACTGTAATTTATTTTTTATAAAAATATTCAACAACATTTTGAAAAAACTTCATTGATATTATAAGTTACAAATGTAACAGTTTACCTCTGTTTGAACCATTCCGGGTCTACAATCTTGCAAGTCTTTCACAGTTTGGAAAACATTGATTCGTTTCTCTACTTTAAATCTTTGACATAAATTGTATATTGTGCAAAATATGCCAGTGCGTCCTGCTCCATCACTGTGAGTAAAAAAAGTATACAATATTACGGGAGTATAAAATACATCGGCAATGATGAAGACATTGGTTATTTCAACATACGCACATTTGCATATGGTAGAGGAATAAATATAATAGATGAATTAAATAGAATCTTATCCAAATGACGCATTATCGATTCCTAATACAGAAAATGCTCAAATGGAAGTAGGGATATGCCTTACCTGCAATGAACGAGCGTCACCAATGGTGAATACTGCTGGAAAATTGTAACCAAATTCAACACAGATGAGGGACCGGGCGACTTTTTTGAACACCAATTTGGATGCTGATAATGCAAGATAGGCTGAAATAGAATAGGCAGTTATGAGGTCCAAAAAAGACCCTTGTTTTCTTAAGATCAAAACATACTAATGGGAATTTGAAGTAAATTTTATTGTGATTCTTGACTACCTTTATCGTGTGCGCTAAATATCATGTCAAAAGTCCAGACTGAGAAGCTTATGGGGAGTTTCGAGAGTTCATGCCAAAACATTTGGTTGAAGATAGAAGATCAAACAATTTGTTGTCAAGATACGTTACATGGCAAAAACACCGAAATTCCATTCAATGACATAAAAGTGTAAAAGCTATAATCCAAGAAAAAGTCTGTGGAATACATCTACTCTTTACCGTCTAGTTTAACTTATTCTCGTATACCGAATATACTTACCTTCGATTGTTTATCTCTCGTGACATTGAGCCTGCGCACGATGATCTCATTTTCAGACGTTTCTTCGAACAATTCAACTCCAATGTTGCCGAATTGCAATTTGCTGCCGATTTTATCAGGCCAATATTGGAAGCATTGTTGCTGAAAAGGCAAAAAACTTTAACGCTCTATATCACATCTTTTAAGCCGACAAATGATTGATTGATTTGAAATTTCGAATCCCTTTTATAATAACAATAATTAAATAACTTGAAGTTTTATTTAAACTCTCAACTATTAGCCACAAGAACGGGAATTAAAATTTTAATCTTTTTATCAAATAAATTGGACAAAAGTGAGAAGAGCAAAAACTTAATTAAATAGATATAAGGTTATTTAAATCATAAAAATCGGATGCCTTTGAATCTAATACCAAATAACATCTGTATATCTGTATATTCTAATAAACAAATTAAACTGGCTTATAATTCCCATAACACATTTGGTGACTTGAAGAAGGCTTATATAATTTGCTATATGACTAAGTCATCATCGTACAACTAATGTCGGCGTAATTTTCCTCTCCCAGGGATAATTTTTTTCCTATATGGGACACTTTCCAGTATTATCCTGCTGCTCTATCCTATTCAACCATACCTTTTCTTCTTCTATTGCTTGATTCAACATGACAATAACACTAACATCATTGTCCATTATTGCTCTCCAAAAATATTCGACAGATAATCCCATCGGTCCTTGGGCAGCAATCACTTTACCGCTTCCTTCATACGTCTGGAAAAATTAAAATATCTGTTTGTCCAATCTCTGATATTTTAATACCACATGCTGTAGTGTAAACACTTCAATTTTAATTTGTCATCAATAGTAATCATTAATCAATATTAGCACGTAGCGACATAAACTTTGTTTATCTACGATTTAAACTGTATCGTACAACCTTGAGTGTAAATGAAATAAGTGGTACTGGAAACGTGATATAAAATGGAGGAAAAACTATGCATATATAGCCAATTCAATAGGAATATCAAGTCATTTAAGTGATGTACTCGCAGGAGTCAATATCATATACTCTACAGCCATATGAGTGATGTCGTTACTCATGGACTTTTAGTCAAAGTAGACCATTAGCATGTACATATTAGAATATGAATATGTGCGATGAGTAGAAGCGCATACAGTACAAATTTTTTCAAGAAAAGTCCGAGAACTCAAAATTTTGACACAATACCAGCAGTCGATGTTATATGCATATACAGCCAAATCATTATACATATACAGCCATTCAATGATAAACATAAAAAAGTCAATGTAATATTGATATACAGCGAATTCAATAAACATTTATACAGTATATACCTGATTAAGTGATTTAAAATACCAGAAATATATACATATTGTATATGTATTTTCCATTGGTTGTATATGCATATGACATTGGAGGTATATGCATATGACATTGGCTGTATAGGCATATGACATTGGATGTATATGCATATGGCATTGACTGTATATGCATATGCCTATGCCTTTGGCTGTACGTACATATGGCAATGGCCGTATGAACATATGGCACTGGCTTTATATGCATATGGCATTTACTTTTGTATGTACATCACGGGAAGGACTGTACATGTATATTGAGTTTACTGCATATGACATTCGCTGTGTATGTACATCACTCAAATGTACATCACTAAGTCGGCTGAATATGTATATGAGTTGGCTGTATATACATATTTTGACTGTATTTGTATATCACGTTACCAACCCTATTAAACAATGTTACCTCCATAACAGAAGCATTGATGTAAGGGGTTTCTGTATCTTCTGGCATTGGGACAACTGCGACTTTGTTTCGTTTGTCTGCGAATAAAACAGAAAGTTTATATTAGCAAACAAGTGTTTTTACATTGTTTTTATCTTTTAGCGCATTATACTGTGTTTTATCTTCGCTGGGCATTATTTTTTCATGAGAAATCAAACTGTCGTAGTAGGATTATACAGTAAACGAAATTCTATAGAGATATGCACACACATCATAAAATTCAAAATGTTCTACATGGAAATTTACTGAGCAATACATTCATCTAATCTGAAAATTTGCTTAAATGATGGTTTCGCACTGTGGAGAATTTTCTTGTGATCTGCAAAAAATTGAATCAACGTGAAATTGCCATGTTCGGATTTTATTGACTGGTTTCGGTATTATTTGTACATTCTATGACATTGTTAGTCACTTTTTAAGACAATTTACCAGTGTTATGAAGACAGCCCAATAGATGCAATTAATGTAAAATACACTTACATGGAATAATATTTTGATTTCGATTCATTTTTCTGTATTTCTCTTCGTCGTCATCTCTCTTTAAATTCATTGGTGGAATTTTGGTTAGATTTTGAAATTCTAATAGAAGTTGATCCGCATTTTTGCTTGAAATATAAATAATATGTTTTATTGGCAGCTTTGTTTTGAATGTACTCCATTTAAATATCATGAATTCTTTTGAAACAAAGTTTTCCTTGTTTGACACTTAGTGAACTTATACATAGTTTTATAATTGTTGTTGTGGTTTTAAACTCAGGTGCCGAATCATCGCTTGGCACAAAATGCCAATTAGGATACAATATATATAATACAATATGTTCTTTATTTGAGCAAGTTATGATAAAAATACCTTTGCATCAGCTCTCGAAGTTGTTCTTCATTCATTTCAGTGTCACCAAAAAGATAATGTTCAACCAATAGCTTGTGTACGAAGATATATTGGTCCTGTATGTAAAATTCTGGTATGGTTATGAAGGGATTGCATGTGTTTGTGGGTAAATTTAGAATTTCAAACTTAACAATTAGAGACTTTCTGGACTTCATGATAATTAAATCAATGGAGTTTGGAACCATTGTCAATAGTCGTGACATTCATTTGATAAATAAGGATAATTAAATACGTCGAAACGGAAATGGTTTAGGGAAGCTACAGAAATCGCAAAAAATACAAATACGGTAACAAAAACGATCAAAACCTGAATAAAATTTGGGATTTATGCTGTCACATATATAAAAACTTTATAGCATGCATATTTGACTAATATTATGAAGCAAATGCCGATTCCATAATAAATATGCAGTAATTCACATACCACGTTTTGAACCATATCTACTCTTTGTTTCCTCAATGTATGAACACATTTATAAATGTCAATAGCGCTTTCTTTTTCAACTTGATCCAAAAGATAATCATACGCAATGTACGTGCCGGTTTGACCCACTCCATCACTGTCGAATATAAATCTAATTAGTGACATTATTTTTTCCTGAATTAGAATATTTTCCGTCTATATATTTAATCGCCGAATCGTCGATTTTAGAAACACTTAAATATTGATTATTGTAACTAAATATTCATTCATCTGCACAGTTTAGAAGCAATAGAGGAGTTGACCAAATATGGGATTTAGCTAAGAATGCTCGTTTTCATATTATGTTAGAAGATGTATTTGTCTGAATTTTGCAGTTTGTTAACAAGAAATGGACACGATTTTTATTTGAAGACTACTTTATTCAACAATTTTTGATAAGTTCGTCATTTACCTGCAATGGACTATAATCGGTGTTGAACAACTAATTTCAGAAACTGCTTTATGAAGTCTGAAAATCCCTGATGTTGTTACGGGGACTCCGTGATCAGGCCATGTAGTAAATTGAAAATGTGATATAGTTTGCTTCAGCTGAAACAAAATATTTATGTGTCAAGGTTTTTATATCGTATTTTTAACAGTCCAATCGTTTTAATTTATGATGCTTCATTCAGAATTCACAACAAAGTGCAATTATTAGATAAAATTTCCTTTAATAAAAAATGGCTCAGATACATGTATTTGTGGGACAAAAAAAAGGTCAGAACGTTCAGTGACGTCATAGCAAACAAAAACAAGCTCACAGAGCTAACAGATATATTTGGAATAAATAAAAGCAATAGCCTTCTGGAGAAAAAGTTCATCTTTAACCACTAAAAATTTCAAAGCAATTGGTCCAGTAATCGAAGAGAATAGCGAGTTTTTAGATTTTCCACTCGGTGTCCAAAAAATGTCAAAGAACAGCAACATAATATTGAAACGATCGCTATATCCACTACATGTCCAATAACAACAATATAATATTGAAACGATCGCTATGTCCACTACGTGACCAATAAGGTACCTAATAAATAGCGTTCCGAAAAAGAATGACTATTATTTGAGAGAGAGAAAAAAAATTTAGGCGGTAATTTTACATGACATTTTTGTTTGGCTTTTTTTAAGCAGTTACAGCATTTATTTTCACATCACATTTGACGGTATGCACTTATGGCGTGTACTTCTTCAGAACCAAATTCATTTGTTTGGGTGCACACTGCGCAAATTTGACAGGCGTTTTCTCACACTAGCGCGTTTTCTTGCTTATCAACGACAAATGCAGTCAGTACCCACCTTTCCTCTTTTCACCAAGCCGTTTAACATAATAATCACGGCACATTTTTGCTCAATCACCATCCTCCAGAAATCATTCACGGTAGCAGGCAAAGGTCCTTGACTTGCAATGAATTTCTTGCGGGTTTCATATTCCTAAAAAATTGATGCCAGATTTGTATTTTTTAGAATCGCTTGTTTTATAAAAAGGATTGCTGGCGAATATTAACAATATTAATAAGACTGTTATTCCTAAAAAACAAATAAGCTGGCAGGACATTTACGCAGTTCCGAGGTCATTGATCGAAAGGATCGCTCCGGCAATTACTTTCCAATTTGTAATTTAATTGATATACCAGATCAAATTATTCTCTAAATTGCCTCGGCAAAAGGACTGGATTCGCGTTATACCCGTAAGTAAAGCAAATATCCGAATACACCTGGGGTATATGGTAGGATTTACATATTTATCCCGGGGGAGAGAAAAGCCGATACGACAACTTAACCATATGGCGAACCACGGCCTCTCGTCCGGTTACCAGTCCATGTCGGGTATGGGATTAGTTTTAGTTATTCGTTTTTCGGAAGCATGGACTTGATGGTAGCGGAAGCCGTAACCGACCAGAGGTTACGTGAACCACCCTACGATGGTGAGGAGTCCAGCAATCCTCTCGCACATAAATACCCCGCATGGGATTCGAACCTGCGAACCCACGCAGGGTAATCAGAGATGCGGTGGCGAGCGTATTCCTAACGCCTAACACGATGAGCCACACCGCCGATCCAAATAACACGACACGAATCGACCAACCATCCGGTCTTGAAGTTCATTTATTTGCGTGTCATAGCTCGGATAGTGTCACGGTTCAAATAATTTAGGTAGAGAATATGACGTCATAATGCCAAAACTAGCTACATCGCAATGTCTCTGGCTGCTTTGTGAGGGTCTCGTTACTACTCAGTATGGACGTTGGCTGTTTTCTGTCAGGACCAAAACATACTTCAGGTCGTGGATATATTTACTTTTTTAACGACCAGTGATTGTTTATCGGGTTCAGCATTGATGTAAGGTAAGTCGTTTGTTTACTTCGTTTTCTTTGCGTAGCCGAGCGTATTCCGTATTCACGTCAGGTTGAGTTTAGGGGTCTGGTATAGTTTAGTACCACATGCACTTCTAGTTGGCCTGGCTCAACAATTTTTGCATATGTCATTCCTACCCCCCCCCCCCTCTGACTACGTCAAAGTTAAATTACGTCATTGCGACGTCACAGTGGCGTAACAGTAATACGGCCCATCAAAGTATGCAGATGGTCGTTCAAAACGCACAGACGATCACCCGACATAGAGCAAGCTATTTCTCTCGTTTTCTCGTTGCAACGATGACGATATGAGAGAGATCACCGGCTTTATCGAGTTCGTTATCGGCGGCGCCTATGCCATTTCGGGTGATCGTAATTATACTTTGGCAAGCTCTGTGGCGTGTGATGGTGATGGTGTCGTTATGCTACGCCCACTGGAAGTACTTGTGGTAATAAACTATACTAGACCCGTTTGCGGCCAAGTCGTACTAAAGTTGATCAGATGATTACATGCATGTTGACTACATGCTTATTCAACAGCCATAGAACTGGAAGTAGCTTGTAGCTGGAACTGGAAGTCATTCTAAATAGCTGATAGACCATTATTCTCTGCCGTTCTGTCTGAGTATCCAACTGTAGCGTGGACCATTGTGCATTGGAATTTTCAATTGGTTCTGTACGCTCCTACAGTAACGTGCGATTCGCCGTAAGTCCGGATTGATGTTTTGTTTCCATGGCAGCAGCAAAAAAACTCGTTGGAAATTTATAATTTTTTTTATTTCGTCGCCATTTGCTCGTAAACTAAGTCGAAAATAAAAATTCCCGAGATCGCTACATCCCGTGGAGACAAATGTTCCAATCATTGGACACAGTAATAAAGCACGTATGGATGCCGACGAGACATATAGTGCTGAAATGACCTGGCAATTTCGGTAACCGGTTTTTCAGGTTGGTAACGGGTCATTGCCGGCAGGGGCTACTGACATGGGCGTAGCCAGGATTTTCAACAGGATGGATATAGAATCTTTCTGCAGATAATGATTTTTCTGTTGCGTAGAATATTCAATCCATGGCCGAGGCGAACATTTAAAATAATGTCTATCCATCTCAATTTAACTGTGTTCATCCTAACTCACTTATGCGTCGACTTACGGTATAATAAAAGCTCTACTACCACTACTAAAAAACTACGGCATTCAATATATCAATTTGAATATCAGCGCTTGTGGTTACGGATCTGGGGCGCCATTCGCTAAACTTCGTAAAAAGCCGGGTTTACGATCTCGTAACTGTGTCTCTCAGAATCGTGATAGCGAAATCTCGTTAAATGCGATTCACCAAAGACCTCGTAAGCACTTGACGCACGGTCACTAGCATTCTCTCGAAATCTTACGCACGGTCGCAGTTGAACAAAATGCACTGACTGATCACTCAGCCGTATCAGTTGTCGCCGCTTACGGTCGAGCGTCTTTCGCCTTCGCGGTAACCTATCGGCTTTCTCTGCTTCACCTTTGCAGCCTGCGTTTTGAAATTTTGTTCATATAGCAGTGGCGTAATCTATAGACTGACGGATAGGCTACATGGAATAAATGCTGAAGTTACACAGAGAGAGATTTATTGCCACAAAACAAATTACATATTGTGAACTATTTGTGTAACAGACAATAAAATCAGTGAGTTGCCAAAGCTTGTTAAGATTCCATATTTTTAATTTTTCATTGAGTCTATACCCTCTATTAAGGTCCTTTCATTTGCATCTAGCTAATTTTTTTCTTTCGGATACGACTTGGAGAGATTGTTGGACTTTTCTTCTGCAAGCTTCAATATAGGTAGCCATTTGTGAATCTGTGTTCATAATACTGTAGGCCAGTGCTAGAATAAACAAAAAACAATGACTTCAACAACTGAACAATCTCTGAATCTCAACCCTAGTTTAATCTGTAAATGCGGCAGATATTCCACAGCTAAGTTAACGGCACTAGACTACATACACGCTTACCTGAGTAAGGCCCCTTGATACTATGCCAATTTTTACAAAGTATGCTAACGTCCCAACGAGCCTATTTTAATCACTGCTGAGAGCAATCCGAACTGTTAACGAGGCGAAGATTGTTCTCGTTAGCTAGCGAGCTCTTCAGCGGTTAAAGAACTTTCGTGAATACCGATTCTCGATAAAATGTGAGAAGAAGGCACTTTACGAGACGTCTCATTTGGCGCCAAAAAAACTCTCTCGAATAATTTCTCTCGAATATTTACGAAGCTCTGTGAATACCATTTTTGCTTTTCACGAGAAAGTCGGTGCTTAACTAACACGTTAAGCGGTAACGAAGCTTTGTGAATGGGGCCCCTGATCTACATTTGCGCGCAACTCGTCTGGACTTATTTCTCTTTGCTTTGCGCGATTAAGAAGAATTGGTATTTCGCTCAAAATACTTTTCTTGTCTAGTTTACATAAATTTATTTTATATTTGAAACTCTTTACAAGTACAAACGCGTTTTACCATCTGGACTCACTGGGAAAACAGCAAAGGCGCAAACCTAAACTCGTCACGCAACTAGGGGTGGGCAAAATCGAATATTTTTTTCGAATCGAATAGTTCGAATATTTTTGACGAATACCTAATAGTCGAATAACGAATACTTTTTTTATACGCAACAGGAGGTCTACAACGTCGGTAGATACTCCCTCTGGAAATTAATAAAGACATTGATAAATCGGCTACAAAGCGTTTTTTTACTGGTTAATTTCGTCATGATCGCTGATTGTTTTTGTCACCGTGACCGTTTTTGCAGTGATATATAATCTATAATACCGCCCTTTCTGTTATTTGCAAATTTAATTCTTTCGGGTCGGCGGACATCGACGTTTATATTTCGGGTTTACCCGTGCGTTCACGTCGGCAACAGCTGTTAAAACCATTAAGGATTGATGTAAAAACCCAAATTTATAATATTCTAATTTTTATCATTTGCGTTGGCTTTCATATTACTTATCAACGTTTGTAAATTTACCGTCACAATATTAAGTGAACGGTGATATTATTATCGATACCGGGATGTAGATATTTATTAAGACAATACCGTAATTAACTTTGCTATGCTTTTCTATGGTGTCTATGTTACTCTACAGATAAACCTCGCAGAGCTGCGATTGCGTCAATCCCGAATGTTGATTTAAAATAGTGACTAAATAATTCGGCAATAAAGGCATTTCTGCGTGGCCATATGACGAGATGACGTTAATAAACAGCTCTTCTTGAATAATAATTTACCTACGCGACCTAATGCTGAAAAAAATTGCGCTTATGTACTTTTGTGCCTAATAGATGGCCAGGCGCTAATTATAACTAACTCTTCTAAGTTCCGACGTTTTCTTTCAACGAACCGCGCGATCATTATAGCTAATATCGTTGCCGAGTAATTCACAATTTTATTTACGGAATTTGCGAATTCACTTTTACTTCTCTTGACAATTTTGATAATGTCACGCCCTATTTATTAATGCAAAAATGCTCAAAATATAACGAATGTAATCATTTCTGACGATACAACAATTCGTAAACGAGACAGTGCGCGTTGTTACATCGAAATTCACGATTGATTTTACGCCATACTCCTGTTCACGATTTCTACACTCCACCCGCCATGCATGCCGGAGTGAAATGTTTACACTTTCGAAACATTAATTTGGTCAAGAATGAAGGGGATCACTAAAGAATTATTTGAAAGTACATTAAAAGAACTATGTCCTGCAATTTCTTTTCTGGTCATAGCTTGTTCGTGTTATACTATGTATGGTTTCACGCAAAAGTTAATTCAACTTTTAATTTTCGTTAAACAAATTTATGTTTGATTCATGCATGAAACGGCTAATCACGTGCCGCCAATCGTACGGAGTTTAAAATCTGTAATATTTATTTTAAATACCTCATCTGATTTAACGTTTCTGAATTTAGGGAACGGTGTCGGTACCTCTTTGTGCAACATAGGGAATTGAAATGAACGATCGGAACGGAAAGAAAACAAATAACACCACAACGCAAAGACGATTTTTCAAATTTGTCGCTTTTGTCTGTTAGCGAGCTTGTAGGTGAATTCTCGCGCAATTCACGATCGGTTCACAGACGTTCTGTGTCCAAGTGAAGCGACGCAGATCACGTGGTACCCGATATTCGATAGTAAAATGCCATTCGAATAATTTAATATTCGATTCGCTATTCGTTATTCGAATATTTTGCCCAGCCCTACACACAACCTGTCAGATCATGGTTAAATTCAAACATTTGAAGTTTTAATATTGATTCCGTCGAAACATATTTGTTTCCTCATAAACTTCTATCTCGCCACTTACACATTGTATTCAATGCAATGAAAGATGTAAAAATGTGTTCTATAACATACGTACATGAATATAAGAAGCATTTATGTAGTCTTCGTCACCTTTCGCACTCAGTACAACCCGGGTGGAATCGTCTAAAAATATGATTGAAAAATCAATGAAAGTAATGCTAAATTCATTGAGCTTTGGTTGCTATACATACAGTAACATTTTAGGCGCAATGTAGTTAGCTCCGGAAGTTTCCCTTCCTTCCAGAGAAAGTGAGCCCTTGTTTTTGCATGCACCTTATAAAAAATAACCTTGCCAAAAGACGCTAATGCAGTGTTCTTCAACCTTTTTTTTTATCGTGGTATACCTTTTACAATTTTCCAAGAACTTCGTATACTTTACAAATACAAATGTTTATTTAAGGCTTAAATAAACATTAAATTTTAGGCACATATTGTACTGCAATATCATCATGTAATCTAATAGGCTAGTGTCCGCAAGTTATAAATTTGACTGACGGCATTAGCGTCAACGGGAATTATGTTTAACGTAAATCAAACGAAGTGCATGGCAGCCGAAATCACCAACCCAGACACGTGACCGCATTATCTATATAACTTGTGATGTAACGATGTGCTCGCGTCGGTTCTTTGCGTAAATGACATTTTATATTTCATGTGCGCCACGTTTGCATTGTTGTCTCCGCTTGAATTTTTTATTATTTATAATATTAGAGTTCAGAATCCCAGACTTGGAGTGTACACTCTTCGTATACCCTTTATCAGTCGTATACCCGGTTGAAGAGCACTGCGCTAATGTACTTTCGGCTATTTAGTTTTACCTTCGTTACAAGAATGTCCTCGCAATAACTTGTCACCTAAGCCAGGGGTTCTGAAACTTTGGGTAGCATAAGCTCGTGAAGAGGTTATCAATTATTTGCGGAGCCCACAATAAATTTATAAAAATAAAAATTTTGTGTTTCAACTTATATATAGATAATGTCTTATTTGAATTACCGCTTCGTTGCCACATTTCGACGCTACCGTTGTCAAATTTTATTAATTCCGTTATTGCTTGTTTGGGCAGTTACAAAATTAGTCAAGTCAGTTATTTATTAAGTAAACGAATAGCCGTGAAGTTTTAGTGATCATGAATAATTTGAGGCTGTATCAGCAGAGTCGTAAATGATATACAACTTTGTGAAATATTATGGCATTGTAGGCTCGGCTAAAAATAGCTCGATCCAGATGTTTTCAGAGAAATCAAGGTACATTACTTGAACATAACAGACACGAGTGTGACATCACAATGAACAGTAGCAACCAAAATACACTTGAACTTGGGACGGGCATTCTAGCTATATATATCTTAGAAAATTAAACGAGCCATGCTTAGAACGTAATATTGCAAGCGCGCAAGATTAAGATTTCAGTGCGCAAATGGTCTGGTAGTACCGCACGTTAGATGGAACCTTGATTGTGTGAGCATTAAGAACAAAGGATAATAAGTGTTGAGAGTTATTTCAAGTTGGAGAATAGAATATAAATGAAAATTTCATGCTTTGTCAAGAATTGGCTAAAATTTTGCAATCGATTCATTCATGTTCTCTCACAATAAATTGTGTTCACGATAGATAAACAGTAACAAAAAGCAATACATTAGCACACGTTTGCAGTGGTAAAACAAAGAGCTACTGGGCAATGATGACAAAGGTGAATAATCGGCGCTCCAGAAGTATGTGTACCAATATAGGGGTAACTAATTTTGTTAGCTTATTCTACATCAAGTTGTGTAAAGAGACGGAAGCCTATGGGCAGGGGGTATATTCACTTGGCTAACACAGACAGTACCCAAACTCGTGATAGAACTAAAATAAGGAAAATCGGTGTACAATTATGGCCTAACCCTAACCTGGTACACATACTACGGGAGTACCCATTATTGAGGTTGAGTAAACCTAATTTAGGCGGCGTTTGATATTATCAGATATGATGGGGGTTTCCATTCGACTCTTAACTTTCTTGGCAGTCATTGTAGTAAGACGTAAGTGTCACAGCGAGTATTGTGGTAACATTAGAATTTGCATAAGACTCCGACCATCCATTACACGTGCGAGAGAAAATATGTTCCTTGCTCTCTTCTGCGGCGCTGGCCTGGACGCCGGCCGCTTTTTGGTTGTGTATAATGCTTCTCCTATCAAAATGTCGAGTTGCCGTTTTAAATAAATAACCGAACGGAATCTTGGGTTTTCTGATCTAACAACTACAGTGACGGGCGTACACACTGATAAATTACCAGTTGGGCGTGTGAACCATGGATGCAATTTTTATCTCCTTACACCATTGGTTTTCAATCTATTTAAAGAAGGAGGGACACCCATGAAACATTTCAGACGTTCGAGAATCCTTGTGCAATAATTGGATTGTCTCATGTTGTCTGAATTGTGTGAGTTATTAATATATATGTATATATAAGGTAATACTGACAAAACAAAATAAGTGTAGCAAGTTTAATAACAGTGGCAAACCTAATAGGCATTTGGTAATATTTATACGATATACGTATACTAATATCGACTCTGGGATTTGAATGGAAACCTGCGTAACCCCTGGACTGTACCCCACGGCGCCGCAGAACTATGGATTTTGACTTACAATTTAGTAGTCGCCAGTAACTTCGCTCAGGTGAAATCACCAGTGTTTAAAACTCTTAATTTTTTTCTTTTCGGATCAGAAATTTCGAATAATATGATAAGGCAAGTACTGTCATATCAATGTATCCGATTTGAGCCGAGCCACACTGCCTGTATCACATGATTTGCATCCTTGTGAACAACGCCTTTTTTAATAATAGGCTCCGTTTTATCGTTTCCGTTTAGGATTTGATCAACTTAAAACACTTTTTCGTGTGTGGGCAATTTCCTCTTCATGTATTCCCAAATATTATGTTTCGCGCCAATCGTTTTTTTTATTTTCTCGGCAGCAATTTGCAGCCATCATGATGGCGTATGTGGGAGTAATGTGAAAGGCCCCATTTTTTAAACACACCAGAGTTGTTAGTCGAATTGCAAACATCGACCCATTTCTCGCTTACCGCAAAATCTCCCTTTAAAACAACAGAAGTTAAAAATTAGGTCGGCGGGTTTTGCCCCATAGAACTCACTGGCTACGCATGTGCTTTCTGTTGTAATATTCGAAAATTTGAATGAGATTTACAAATATATCCCGGGAGAGGGAGGTGACCAAGACGGCTTAACCCTACGGCGAACCACAGCCTCTCAGCCTGGTTACCAGTTCATGTCGGGTACGGGATTCGTTAACCAGTTATTTGTTTTCAGACGCATTGACTTGCAACCCCACACCCTTAAATGGAGGTCAAAATAATATCTTTCAGTATTTTATTGCACGACTAACTTTAGAAACAAATATATTTTCGGAAATTGTTCCAGTGATCGTCAAGTTCCTTTAATATCTACAACGTGTGGTCCATAGACGTTGCGCCTGTCAACATCTTGAATGGCCGACGCATGTACGGGGAACAAGACAAAAATAGGAACATAGAAAATAAAATACAGCAAGAATGAATGTATAGGGAAAATAGTCACAATGCTGCCTATTATTTAGAACACTTCCTCGCCATAGTTAGTAGCTTATTATTAGTTAAAGCACATCTAAAGATACGGTTTATGGACGGCCATTAGGATCAAACGATAAAGAAATGAGTTATCAGAATACATATTAATTTTGCTACAAGTAAGAAGTAACACCAGTTATGTATGAACTCCGGTTGACAAAAAAACTTTTACAATAAAGATCATTTTTGATATTTGCAATACCATAATTATTTGCATGTGGCATGGCATGGCACGCAGCAAGGTCATTTTACAAGTTTGAGTTTGCACCCCTGCACTGGTGTATAAAAGTCGGTTCCATTTATGTGAGCAAGTTTAGATCGCTATAGTCATTACTATAACTTATACGTCTTCGAATAAGATTGAGTTGTAAACAAAAGAATAGATTTTATTTATCGCTATCTCTCTCCAAAACCGATACCTATAGTTCATATCAAACAGAAAAATATTGTAAAAACACATGTGCAGTAGAACCACATAAAACATGTGAAATTAGATCACATATATGAGCACAAATTATGGTTTTCCTCAAACATGCGCACAGAGAACTAGTTGAGGTGCATAGAAAATATAATGCTAGTATTCTATACAGTTCAAAAAATCAGTTTTAATAGATGAAATAAAATTTCAGTATAACAAATCATGGTCTATATCAGTGGTTCCCAATCTTTTATTTCGCGGTGCCCCCTTCCGGAGGCTTTTAGCACTCATGGCCCCCTGTTTATCATTCCAGTGGTATTAATCGTGCTACTTTGATTGGTTGATTCCAACTCCCATTTTGTCCAAACAATTCATGCTCAACAAAGAAAAAAAAATGGGAAATAACCTTATCAAGCAATTGAAACTAGGAAGAGTTTTTAGTAAAAGGAAAATAAAAATCAGTTTTGCGACTGGCAAGGTGGCAAATTATCATAACTTGATGTTCCACAGTTCAAATAGTAATCTAGATTATCTAGAACTTAATTCAGACATACAGGTTATATTTCCAACTCACAAAGCTAAATACGGAAAGATAAGTAGATAAACTTATTCGATCGAGCTTATATTAACCCAAAAATGGCCTCAAAACAACAGCAAAATTGTAATTTTTACCAAAAATATTGTAAATTCCTTGTTGGGATTAGTTTACCACATAATTATTAATAATGACCATTTAATAATGATAAAAATAGTAGGTTCATAAATATATGTATGTTCAATATTTAGCCGAAAAAATACGGCTTTGGGAATGCCGATTTCACCGGAAAAATAGCAGAAAAAAGACAAATAGGTTCAAAAAAAGGACGAAAAAATAATAATATATATGTATATAGATTAATAATCACAGTGAATTATTTTATACATTTTTATTTCCACACACAAATAAAGATAGCAAGAATTGCTGAATTAATAATTGGGATATACTTTAAAAGGTATTTTGTCGTTTAATACGAGCTGGCAATGATAATAATTAAACACTTCTTTAGGAACTTCTGATTCTTAATCTGGAATGGCTGGACAAAATGTGATTTTGTGATTGACTGCCAGGGCTTGGATAAATAAAACAGTGGTGGCCACTTCATGATATTGGTGACACAGGGTTGAGAACTTAGGCCCTATATGTTTCTAGTATATATGGAGTCTGACTCGGAACATTTCATAAGCCAGCCTATTCACAACGAAATCTTATTAAGACAAGGTTAGGGTTAATATTAGTAACACAGGGTGGAACTCCCCTACATCTTTATGGTATATGGCGTCTCACACAGAACACTTCATATACCAGGTTATACACAATGAAATCGTGAACAAAATCTTATTAAGACAGGGTTCCCCATTGGGGGTGAATTTTACAAGCACTAAAGTAAAAGGCCAAATGTGGCCGTTGACCACATAGAAGTTTGCCAAGGACTCCTATGCACTATTGATGTTTTTTATGCTTCGCTATGAAGAGACAGTCTATTCTATTACCCCTTTTAATACTTCACTTACAACATACTAGAAGAGACCGTCTACACAGTTTACAGGTAAAAATATACTTTTTAATTTCCCAATGGGTAAACGAGAAAACAAAGTTCGTGAAACCTTGCATTACAAGGTGAGAATAAACGCAGGGAAATATCATTTTCAGTTGTGATAGATATGAGAGACTGTGAGTGTGGCTTAGTACAAGATTCACCAACATTTTTCTCGCACAAAAGAAGCTAAAAATTACAATATTTGTGAAGAAAAAAGTGTTAAATCTGGAAACAGTCGACATGAATAATATATATAATCAGTAAAAACACCAATTTTGTTTTTCAAGTGCAAATTTCATTTGAACAAGTTAGAAAAAGTGAGTAAATTTTACACAGGAATTTCATGTTAATGTATCTTTGTATGAATCTGGAATGCCTCAGAAATTTAGTTCAAATAAGTTTAAACCGAATTTTTTTCTAATTTTCTATTGTTTAAGCGTTCCAACCATGTTTCAGATGTGAAATCAGCCTTTCTCGGGCAAAACTATTTCTCAGAACATGGAATCAATTTGGAATGCAACAGTGCAAAAATTTAAATCATTCCAAAAAAGACTGGAACAAGTTTAAATCAAATTGCTAAAAGTGGAATTGCTAAAATAGTCTCAAGTTTATAAAAAAACCTGCAATTTACATATTTTCTAATTTGAAAGGAACATTTTATTCATATATAAAAGTCTTAAAGATGTTTTTGGAGTCTGTAGTTCTTGGTTTTGGAGTCTTGTTTCTTAGTTCAATACATTTAGCTATCCACTGTTCCCAAGCTGATGTTGCAATATCGTCTGTAACTGTAAAATGAATTGATCAAGTGGTTAATAACAGTTCAACTTCATAGGGAACAAAAAGAATAAAGATAGAAAACTCGTTCCTCTATTATAGCCTGTTACGGGACTGGTGAGTTTTAATGAGTTTTGCTCTAAGAAAGCTGATGCATGCTCACTCAGGGGCGAAGAAGACTATTTTGAGAGCAAAATAAGGGCGTTCCGGAAGTATGTGTACCAATATGGAGGTAACTAGTTTTGTTTGCCTACTTTACATCAAGTTGTGTAAAGGGACTGAAGCCTATGGACAGGGTAGATTCACTTGGCTAACACAAACAGTCCCTGAACTTGTAATAGAACCAAAATAAGGAAAATCGGAATCAAATTATGGCCTAAACCTAACCTGGTACACACACTACGGTAGTACCCAATTATCATTCCTCATGTTATTATATACTTCAATGTATAAATAAAGTCCCTTTACAGTTTCAATTTTGTTATGAAGTCAGTTCTCAATATATCTTAACCAGGTTTGTTGTTTTTTAATCAGTAATTGCTCAGGTATTTTAACTTCATTTAATACATCTGTGATCTCCAGAACAATATATGGTATCAATAAATTCCCTTTGCAATTTTATGTACTTTATGTACACCCCTTTTTCATACATACAAATATACCTTGTTTTTCCAAAATTACTTTTCAAATCTATGAATATTATTGAAAATTCAAATATTAATTAAATCATTGTCAGGGAAAATAGACAAACAAGTCAACATACAACAAGCATATATAATCAATCAGCAATAATATACAAACGAACACATATGCTTTGATTCGGCTAATTTATGAGAACTATTAAAAACAGTGGTTCTCAAACGATGGGGGGGACCCCACAAGAGGGGGTACACAATTTTTCGGAGAGGGGGGGGGTTAATATTTGTTATTTTGGATATTTATATTTATTCATTGTTCAGAGAATTTTGCCTGTATTTACAACTTTTTATTTGTTTCATTATTTACGTTCCATCCACGTATTTCTAACATATTTTTTTTTTTGAGTGAAACATACTTTCGTACTACTCTCTGTTATTTGTAGCTTGTTGTTAGCTAGTTATTTGTTGAGGTGGGGTGCAAGACTTGACAATTTCTAAATAGGAGGCGCGGCTTAAAATGTTTTTTAAACCACTGATTAAAAATGTAATCCATGAAGTACCCACCATCTTCTGTAGTGCAGCCCAATCTCTCTCCATTTTTTCCCATTTCGAACCAGAAGTCTCCGCGAATTTCACCATGGAGTCTTCTAATCTTCGTAACCGTTTGTCAATAGCTTGCAAATATGTCGACATCATTTCAGGATTGCTAGATATGGGAACGCCAGGTCTGTAAATATGTTAAAGTATATTATACAGAGATCTGAATTGAATTATATACAGCACACTAAGGAATAGTGTTGTGCAGAGCTGTGAGTTTAAAATGTATTTTCTTGATATTGAGTCATATTTCCAAGCTCCTTGATGTCTAGAGTTCAAGAAGTATTTATGAATTCCTAACGCCAGGATTTTAGACTTCTCTAATGATGTAAACCAGGGGTGTGCAACATGCGAGCCCGCGGGCCAAATGTGGCTCACAAAGAAAAATAGTGCGATCTGCGAAGTAGTGCCAATTTTGAACGATGTGCGGCCCACGAAAAAAGTTTTTAAATTAGTTTGATCTGGTACGTACGTGTAATTCCAATCCCTTCGCATTGCAAAGCCTATACCAGAGTCCAATTTAATATCTATGCCTATGATGTCACAATGCCCTAGGTCGCATAAAAGAAAGGTTGGGAACCACTGCTCCAACCAACACATATCTAAGTACAACAATCTTAAACTGGTAAACCGTAAAGTACCATCAAACCCACCTATCTAATAAAGCAGCAGTAACAGAAGGGTCCACACCATCAGCAGTTGCTGCTGCGGCTGTTACTTGTTCCAAGGTTGTAAGTCTTTGATACATGCTGTAGTTACTGTATACTAGCAGAATAAATCTGAAAAAAAAAACAATTGAGTTTCTGTTAAAGAGTATTCCAACATACTCAAAAAAGTGGAGAAACAGTATGTGTACCAGGTCATGGTTAGGCCATAATTTTACTCCGATTTCCTTATATTAGTTCTATTACGAGTTCGAGGGCTGTCTATGTTAGCCAAGTGAATATACCCCCTGTCCATAGGTTTCAGTACCTTCACACAACTTGATGTAGAAAGGCGAACAAAATTAGTGACTTCCATATTGGTACACACACTTCTGGAGCAACCATAGTTGTACTAGGAATCACTGTTGGTTTTACAAATTTAAACACTATAGCGCTTTTATTCACACAAAGCATTATACGCTTAAATTAATGGAAAGTTCACGATCTGAAATTTGAGCATTAAAGAGTGCTTTTCCCTATGGGCCAGAGCAAAGTATTTATAAAATCAACTTACATAAATAAAATAGCACCGATGATAAATTTTCCTCCTTGCCCAAAAAAATGAAGTCGCGGACTCTCCGGTTCATAAGAACGAGAAGACGGAATGTATCCATTTGGTATGTGCAGGGATGGAACTGCAGAAGTTGAGTCCCGAGATGGTGTGAGACTGAAAAAATCATTTTTATATTAAAATCTTTCATGCCTTTTCCTCCAAACAATGCCCTGTGCAAGCCTCAACCACTATCTTAGGATATTTAGGAAGCTAATCTTCGAATTCAGCTTTGACTACTCAATTTATGAGATGGTGGGCATGAGATTTGAATCTGGGATGTTAACACAGTTAAGTCAAACGCATTATTGCTGAGCCACCTCATACAGTATTGTTTAATGATAAGGTCACATTTCATGAAATTATATAACTTTAACATAAACAAGATGGTTCCATTACATTTGAACCCACGACGATTGCACCTGCATACTATTGCACTTATGGAATTTTTTTTGTTTTACGGATAGTTAAACCCATACTAACCCTAACCCATGGGTTTTAGCACCCGCATATAGATTGAACCCGCGAATATACACATGGGTTCAAATGTACGGTCACCAAACAAGATCAATGGAGCATTTTTAAATAATTGGCTCAAAGCAACATTGTTTTGTACATTCACTTATATACCGAAAATCATTCTGAGCAAAAGTACAAGCTACCATTAGGATGCCAAGAGCTCAAATTAACATTAAAATTCTTCACTCACCTTCCTTTGTTATTGTTAACATCAGATCTATTTTGCAGGGAACTTTGAACCCTGCCATTTTCATTGGATAAACTGGAGGAAGCTAAAAATAGGTGGAAAGAAAATAAGTTTGATAAAATGAATGATCACGTTTCTCAACAAATGTAATATTTCAAAATTTTCGCTACTTTTCCACTTCAACCAAGCATTGGTATGAAGGAGGTTCAAAAATATTGTTACGCATGATGGCATGAACAAATCATTAGTCACCTAATATTAGTTAGATATGGTATTAAAATACATAAAACATATACTGAAAGTTGATTTTAATGTCGAATGAATGAAAATTATTCGAATCTTGTGAGGCAGTAAGTAAGCTATGTCTCCAACACACTAAAACGGTGGTTCCCAACATTTTATGGCTGGTGGCTTTTAGCACTCATGGCCACCTGTTTATCATTCCAGTGATATTAATTGTGTGTTGATTTCTTAATTCCAAATCTCATTATGGCGAAACAATTCATGGTCAACAAATGAAACATCCTGTGAAATAACCTAATCTAGCAATAAAAGTAGAAAGAACGGGAAGTTTTCTTGTGAAGTGAAAAGTAAAATCAGTTTTGCGCCTAGTACTGTGCAACTGTTCTGTGAACCCCCCCAGTTGAGCACCGCTTAACTAAAAGAAGTCTAAGATAAGAACCACTTACATCTGCTCCCTTTAGTCTTTGTATCATTGCCAGTTTCAGATCTTCGTTTCCGTCTTCGGAGATTACCTGGTGAAATAATAATAAGAATTTCTTCAACTTATATATATAGGCTATTTATTACAGGGTTACAAAAAAACTTTTACCTCTACAAGAATGAAAGAAAATTTATTTAACACTTCATTCTTGTGGCAACTGACACACACGGATTCGAAGAAGGAAGAAAACAAGATACCAATAGGAATATTCATGTATTGCACTATACGAAATGCATGGCCAAGTCAAGAAACACCGGTAATGATTCCAGAAATATTGATGAATGGAAGACGGACTTTTGTTTGTGTATGATTAACATTTCAGAAATCAAGGACACTTTACACAAAAGTTAGCTCTCCAGAATATGTTCCAAATGAACTCCATTTTGGAGATAAACAGGTACCTTGTATACCACTGGGAATTCATTACAGGAGTACATGATCACACATCAGCAATAACAAATACATAACAAGTACTGAATAATGAATTAGTTTCGTTAAGTGATAAACTCCTGTTTTTTTGTTTGAACTGCCTAACAACAAATTCATCTTTTTCACAAATTTTTTCACTCACTGTTTTTCCTATTTTTGTCTTCTGTCTGGGGTTGTGATTTCTCATAATCAACTTGGTCTTTCAGTTGATAAGCTGTGAAGAACAAAAAAATGGGAAAAATTTAGAACAAGTTGTAATAGAAATGTTTTCTGGCACGAGTTTGAGTTTTTTTTTTAATTATTTTCACACTATACACCCCGTTAAAGCACACTAAATAGTCTTCACAGCTAGGTCTTTGACGTAGACACTCTTTCACACATTTTCTCATAATTAACAGGTAAAGCTTTACCAATTCAAAGAGAGTCTTTTTGGGGGTGATTTACAACTTCTTCCTGATCAGGGCCCTACTATAGAAAACGCGAACACAATTCATCAAAACCTGAGTGATGCAGAGGGCACGAGTTTTGAATTAATATACAAGGTGTCTGTCCATAAATTCCCTTTACAGTTTCAATTTTGTTATAAAGTCAGTTCTCAATATATATCTCAACCAGGTTTAATATTTTTTAACCACTAATTGTTTAAGTATATTTACTTCATTTAATACATCTGTGAGGGCCAAAACAATTCCCTTTGCAATTTTAAGACTTTATGGACACCCTATATTCAACATGCGACATCAACATTCTTTTGTTATTCTAAACCTGGTTGCACCATACCGTCAAAGTTATTGTTAGTGAACAACCTTGTTCAAAACTTCATAAAATATCAAAAAGCATTTTATAAAAATCATGGGTCCGATGATTTCAAATTAAGTTGACTAAATGAGTTCATTTCTCACCTAATTTCCTAAAATTTTGCGTCAATCCACTTGCCACATTTTTCTCAATGAAATTTTTGACAAGTCCCCATGGAGTCTTCTTGTAACGTAGTTCAGATGTTACCCTGGAATTTAAAAAATAAAAAAGTTGAATTTAAACAGAAATACAAGTTTTTTGACAAACTATTCTTAACAAAGATCTCTTCTGACAATATTTATCCGTTATATATGCTGCTGATTTTCACTAACTAACTCGATTATAATTTACCAGCATAACTATAGTTATTACAGCTTGAAAATGTGAACAATTTAAACCCAGTATAGAACACTTAGTCTATCAAGACAAGGCCATAGAAAGCATTTTCCCTGTTTCTGAAAAGCCTAAAACAAAAAAAATTGGTGACAATTGGACGCAAAACACTATCTGCAATTGCAAAGACGAAAATTTTTGCGTTACTTTCTTAACACCCTGTATGACAGAACTAAGAACCAGAATCAAATAATAGGTTATCGATGAAAAGCACCTAAACTGATTTTCTTGAAAAACAACTTTACTTATAAACAAAGATGTTATTATTACCTGACTTCGCATGTATCTCTTGTAACTTTCCTAATACAATATCTCATGCAAGTATAAAAGTAATCAGCATAAGGAATTCCATAGTTCTGTACAACACAGTCGATACCATATGATTTGCCTTCAACAGTGGACGGATATAGAATCTAGAACAGAGAATATCGAAGATTAGTTTCAGTCGAGAGAGCAGCAATTGTTTATGCATCACAAAACAACAAAAAAAATTGTAGAGATGTGAAAGGACATGACTCTCATCCACAGTATAAGTTAACCACTCCCATTTATATTTCAATTTTGTAGAGTTCTCAACATCACAAGCCTTGCTAGATGCCATGGAAGAGCCCTAATTTTTTACCTATATATTATATATAAGCTAACCACCCCTCACATAAAGAAGATGTTGGACGCCGAACATTGTTTATCATACCTAATTCGATCCGAAGAGTTTGAAACATTGGAACACCGTGCTACATGAAGATGTGCATAGTGTTTGACAATCAACCTTAATTTGACTGTCACCAGATTCTTGATTGCAGTTACTAATGTGCCAATAACAGAAGTAGCCCACAACGTAACTCTTGTGTGGAAGTTTTTAGTTTAAAGATGTAACCAGAACAAAAACAAACTACTGAATTGTATTTCAGCTACAATTGTTATTTGTGTATGACATCTGAATGGGAATAAAGGCCAAGCCCTGTGCATAACAGTATTAATTTCTGAAAGTCCACTCACCTGTTTTTCTTTACAGTGTGATGTTTTTGGTCCGATTGGATTATCGAGTCGCAATGTATAACTTAGATGTCTTATCTTTTGACCTTTCACCTCATCATCATCGGTCCATCTTCCAAAGTCAATTTCTAGAAATAAAATAAAAAAGTGAGCAACAAAATTTCATATGAAGCAAGAATAAAACAAAGTATGAGATAAGAGAGAATATTCAGCAACTAAAAATAGTCAATACTTTCAGCTTTACGACCCAATTCGAGAAATCTGTTTGAGTATCACCACAATGACAGGTTCAGTTTTGGATGACAACAACATAGAATGGTTTATGCAACAAAGTATTACTGATATATATATATTACTCAAACATATTTCAATTGAAATTCGATATTAATTACATTTGTCTATTATAATATCGGAATAGTTTCTCAATTTTAAATATCTCAATATAAATACATATAATATGCCATATTTACCACTGTGAAATTATTCATAAATTTGAATTTAGTGGTATTTTGAGTATCTGGTTTCCAACAAAAACACTTTAATAAATAAGCACCAATTTGAATTTCATCAGCACAACAAACATTCTAAATACCAATAGAAAACTTACGGGTAGTCCCCTTGTTAACAAGAGTATCTTTCCAGAAAGCACATTCGTTTTCTTCTCCGAATATGATTCGGTACATGTCACGAGCTGACGTCTCATACACAGAGTTCAATGATACCTTATTGCAATCAGGTAGAGTAAAGTCCGCAGGTTCTGGAGAGAAAGAAAACATTGGTAGATTTTGCACATACAAGGTATTGAATACTGATAAATTCTTTAGGAAATAACTGATATAACCACTTTTGTAAAAAGAATGAAGATTAGATTGGCTAGATATAACAGGATAGACACTACTATAAGCCCAGGTATCAAAAGCCTGCTAACAGAGATATAAAATAACCAACATATGGAGTCGGAAAGTCATACAGAGTACATAAAAGCAACAAAAAAGTTTTAATATCCGAAGTTAAAAAATCAGGTCATAGAATTCTAAAACTCTCAATCACTCTCAAAACTTTTCAATTAGCTCAATTTTATGGAGCTAATAGACTTAATAGACTAGACGTATAATGCAAGGATACTGTAACAGGAATAAAAATATCATAAAATGCAATTCAAGAGTCCTGCTGCACACTAACACAAATATATTGCTGTAATGTTTCGTCTGACCAAAATCAAACTTCCTTAGATAAGCAGTTTAAAATTGTACATTGATTTTGGTCAGACGAAACGTTACAATAATATATTTGTGTTAGTATGCAGCAAGACTCTTAAATTGCAAATTACAAGTAACATCATTGGCCTCTTACCATCATTCTCTTCATCAACTGCTTGTTCTTCCATTTTCCTGCTTCTAGAATCTTTCATAATGAGAGGAGATTCATCTCCGTCCACATCCTCTACTCCTTCCTCGTCTTGAATGACATCATCAGCAATAGAAACATCGTCATGGGAACATTGAGAACTCTGGAAATTACAATTTTTACATTTAATATGTTGCAATAATGTTGAATTTTCAAAACAGACTAAACAACACTAAAGAAAGATTACCTGAATTTTTATGAAAAAGTATAAAATTTTCAAGAAAAAAAAAATCTAGTTCTGGTTTCAAGCTTTCAAGTTTCGCTTTATGTAAAAATGAAGAAGGTCTAACTATACAGACGAGTGCATATATATTTGAAAACACAGCAAAGGCTATTTAACATTTCAAAGACTATTATATTATTTCTGGAAACAGGTATTTGAGATTGTGAGCTGTAATTGTCCAAACTTGCAACATCTACCAAATTTCTATTTGTTCTGTTAATCCTTTTCGATCTTAAGTTCGGTAAGTATGCTGAAAGGTATTTGTTTGCCTGTCTGTCTGTTTGTTTGTTTGTCTGTTAGATGAACGCGATATCTCACGAAGACGAGGTTGAATCTCCAAATTTTGCATGTGCATTCATCATATCTCGGACCAGATTCCCATTGATTTTGGATGAATTATGTCGTATAATTAGCGAGTTATTAATTAATTAGTGATGGGACACGTGGTGTCACTATAGAGTCATGAATCGAAATCGCAGTTCGATCGTTAAGTTTTCGGTCTACGACCGATATTCTCATATTATATATTCGATTAAAAACTTTTAAATCCATTGATATTGAATTCATATAGAGGCCAGGAAGAAAGAGAATATATAAGCATGATGAAACTTTTACTTATGGGAGTGAAATTTACTAATGGAATGCACACAATTTAGTACAATGTCTAAGGAATTTGACATGCAGAGAGTTCTCTAGTAATTTTTTAAAATTGTCTATGTCTGAGGAAACACAGTCTACTCTATTAGTCAGTATAGTTAGTAGCCTAAGGCATATTCTTGGAAAATTTCAAAGTAATAAGATAAAGTTACATAAGAGAAAAGTGCTATGGTATATTATAAACAAAATTTTTCATACCGTATTAGTAAATATTGTGGCCGAGAAAAATATATTTTGCTTTTTGAGTGAGTTATGTCTTATTTTTATGTCTCAATAAGTTACAATCCAGCTTATTTATACATATATTATTCTGTGGAATTGTCAATTTTTATATGGCAAAAAAACTCAACTTTTCGAATAGAATGCCATATTATTTGCTTTTTGAATGAGTTTTATTGTTTTACCTGAAGTTAGATTATGATCTGGCACATTTATTATTCTGTAGAATTATTACTTTTTATAGGCTAAGGCTAATTATATATAAACACTTCAGAAGCTGTTCAGTAACATTACCGAAATATGACAGATACATCACACAATAATAATACTGTTAGTGGCTGTTGTATAGAGCCGTGTTCGAACGAAAAGCGTAATTAAACGTCGCAAAAAAAAATAATTATAAATTTTTTTGCGTCATATACTGTCTCCGGAGAGAACATATTGGGCTGAAATCGAACCACCCTTTATCAATCCAACACAAATCTTATTTAACGACTAAAAAATAGCAAAATCTTACATGGATTGACTTATCATCTGAATCCGATCCTTGTTGAAACTGCGGATTGCTTTCCTGGGATGAATGTCCGGTACTTGGAGAACTCTTAGTTGATTTTGTACCTCTACGACGACTTAATTTCTCATATTCATCATCATGTGGAGTTTGGGTTGAATTTGTCTGGAAATGGAATAATTTTGTTTTTATTACAATATATATCATCTATACTGGATCGTTATACCGGAGGGGGCGATACCTCTTGGTTGCCTAAAGTTTTACCAGCTACAAGGTGAAGAACAAAATATTTTGAAAACTCTTTAGATCAACGCAGATTTGAAAATATATATAGTTCTACAGTCCACAAAGAGGAAGAATGCAGCTCAACTGGAATGAATTTTATTTAGGAACATTTTTTCTGTAAAATTTATTCATTTTTGCAGAATAATAATCATAATTTATTATTTATCTCCATAAAATTTGATACGCCGTTTTCTAGCGAATGAATAAATTTAGAATATTTGAAAAAGTAATATTATGGAAATGAATTATTCAAACACGGAGTCAGGTGTAACAAGTTATGATATATGATTGAACTTTTTCAGCATAATTTATCTATAACTAAATATAAACACTTTAATTAAATTGCGTTATTATTATATGAGGCATTCGGAGATGCAACATGAAGACCGAAGGTTTGAACTCTACCACTCATAGTTCGAGTGTCAAATATTGTTTTGTGTCTCATGTACTCCTATATACTATCTTTTCAGTCGATGTATAAATCACTCACCAATTTCTTTTTTCGTTTCACTTTTGTTGTTCCGCCGTCTCCCTCACCTTTTAAAAAAAAGGAAAATTTGAGTCAAACAATTAGAATAATACCGAAGATGTTTAGCAGAATCTCATACTTAGAGACAATTATATAATGTGAACAAACTTCATCTGAGCTAACATTTAGAATTTTGAAAAGAGAATAACTTTTTATTACAACGAATTTAGAAAATATATTCATAATCAGAAATATCGAATATGTCTATGATAGAAATTTGAAAAAATATTTGTAGATTTGAATAACTCGAAGTTTATTGCTAATATCATTTGCTTATTTAGTATTAGCATATATGTATAATTATATGCATATATTATGGACTGATGGAAGTACAGGTTGCACATATCGTGAGAAAACGTTCCGTTAAAGATTGAATATTATTTTTTGAGTAATGGGAGAGGAATGAGGAGCTTAAAAGAGGCCAAGAGAGGAATGTGTCAATAAGGTTAGAGGCCGCCAGAAATCAGAAATACCAGTTGAAACAAGACAAATAGTTTTACAGTGAATGCATCACAAATATTTTTGATTAGATTATAAACATTTTATCATATTAGAGAATCAGTTTCACTAGAACTTAACAATGTTTTTAGAAATATAATACTAAATGTCATCAAATTGACTTCAAAACGAAAGAACAATTTAAATATTATGCTGTTATGCAGACTACAATAGTTAATTCTCCATTTTAAATCAAATTACTTGATCACAGGAATAGGTTCTGCTAGAACTAAACACAATGACTTTCACAACAATGATACTAAAGGAATACTAAAAGCAAATTATCCTCCCAAACACACACAAAAATTATATGAATATTATGCAATAAATCAAAGGAATTCCATTTTCAAGTTTCGCTTTGAAACAATTGATTCCAAGGAATAGTCCTTAAAACAGCCAAATGCGTGAACAAATTTTTATTCATAGTATGTGGTTGCGAATACTTGCATTATCAGAAATCATAAGATTTACTTCAAATTGAATTTAAATAGAAAATTTCATAAATTGAGTTTAAAGAGCAATATTATTTATTGTCTTATAATATGGATTGATTTATGAAAATAAAAAGTAATAATTTTATTAATTAATTTTTTATTTATTATATTATGTTAAATAGATGATAGAACCAATTGGGAATGATTGTGGAAATGACGCAGGGCACTAGAAAGAGGGCTCTTAAACTATTATGATCCAGGGTCCCTCTCAAGAATCTAACAACTGTGACACCCTGCTCTTCTATGAAAAAACCCAGATTTGCATTCAACGTGTGCGTTTTCATTGGTTATTTTATGCTCCACATTTATTTAGAAAAGCCAACATACAAGCAAAAAAATTACTATCAAACTGTAAAAGAAACAAACAAATGAAAACCACTTTACTTTTTAATTAATATAGCCATCGCAAATGGCTCCCAATGAAAACTTTGCTTGTACAATAAGAAAACTGATATGTGCCCCTAGAGGAGCTGATTCTTGCAAAAACTTTACTCGAAAGAATTCAGAGCGAATGATATCAGCTACATTTACAAACCAACTTACCGAAACTCTGGTGTTTTCTGGGGGGCATGTTCTCAGGTCTGACATAATCATCATCTGAGCTACATAACCCAAGTTCTTCTCCGTAGTTACTGTGAATTTGAGTCCATAATTCATGGGCAGTCATCGGCTGAATGATAAATGTAAATACCAATATTTAAAAAAAACGTTAAGTTGTATCACAAAATGTCTTAGATGTGGCCACATATTAGTACTTCAAAATGATGAACATCACAATATTGATAAAGAGATGTAAATGTAACCAATGTGTATAATGCTATAATCTCTTGCATCGTAGCCTTAAAGGGAATCAAGTCCTATCAAAAACATAGCTAGTAAAAAGGATATATGGGAATCGAGTCCCCTGATAAAAACAGTTTGTATGAACAAAAATTCGAACTTCCTAATTGAAAGATCTTTTTATTTTTGATTCATTGTATAATGTCACATTGTATAGATTAATTTCAGAATTTACTAAATTTACCCTTGATGAAATTTGACTAATGTGCACTCTATACACTGGAGACATAGAGTACCGGTAATACTTATTTTCCTACCTTGTCCAGCAAAGCATTCTGCCATAATCTGAAAGTCAGTAGATAGGCTCTATCTCTTGCAGTGAAGCTTGTAAACGTTGTTTTTGTTTTGTCTTTCATTAAAAACTGTATTGCATTCGGAATGACTTTAACTGTTTTTTCTTTCGTCATTTGGTCGATATCAACAAGTTTTACAGTGACCTTGGAAAAAAATGAAGGTTGGAATAAACTTGAAAAATCATAAAAATTAAATGATAATGTATTACAAATCAGCACATAACAATTTAATAATGAGAACGATAGGTACGATGCAGGACTGAATGAGTTTCTGAATCAGCGGTTCCCAACCAGCACCTATGAGAACCCGCAGCCCCCATTCCAAGTGGGCCACAGAGAAGTTGGGGGAAGCCACAATGATGAGCTTGAAATTCCATGTTCTCCATAATCTCATACTATAAATATCATAGAAATGAAGAACACGGGGCGGCCATGCGTGCTAACAGCATTCCGAAAGGGACTACAAGCCATAAAAGGTTGGTAACCACTGTTCTAGAATACAATATTAACATTTATTATTATAATTTAATCATTTAAATGAGCAAAACCATTTTGAGCAGTAAACAAACTTAAATAATTTCAGTGCAACCAAGATATAGTCATCCCATTCCAAACTTTTCTTGATATGACCAATCTATTGATTCATCATGTTTACTGTTGATTAATCTCAATGACTTAGGTCACACCTATAGGCTATACACCCGTAGATGGAAACCGAAAATGGCCGCAGTGACAACAGAACCCTCCACATCAGCCAAAGAAAACATCAACTATGGGACAAAATATAAGCTCATATATATGGCCAATGTTTAAACATACATAACTGCACTCGTATGTATGGTTGATGTCAATTCAGAACTCCTAAAGAGCAATTCCTAACAGTTCATTTTAACCATAAATGAAATAACAATATTCCCAAGAGAACAAGTACTTATTCCATATACCCTTCGAGACCCCTTGTCTAATCAACTAAACAAATTCCCAGTGTTGAAGATTGTAAATAACCACAACTAATTAAAAATTCAGAGATGGAATATCATTCCTTTCATAACTATCATGGTCATGGCCACAACAACCACAATGTTATGAAGTACTCTGCTTTTGCAGGTCATATTTTACATCACAAACACTTTTTGCATATGACTTGTTATTATCACTGGTATTTTGACAAACAGAATATTCGATCAAGCATAAAAGAAAATCCTGAAAAGGCACTTCTATTGCAATTGATAGGTCAATTGCACCCAGTAAGGTGTCCGAAACATAACATAGAAAGTGCCTATAAAAAGTGATTCAAGAGTCTTTCTTGCACATTAAAACAAATATATTTCTCAAAGAAAACGATACGAAAATATATTTGTGTTAGTGTGCCGCAGCATCGTTGCATTATATGCATATGGATCCATCGTCACAAAAGCATAGAAATGGGATAAGCAGATAGTCTTGCAGAAACCCAATTGAAAAAGTCCATTATTTTTTGCCAAAATAGAAGAAAGATTGACTAAAAAGATTAAAATAAAGCGGTCAACAATAGAGAATATCTTCTATAATGAAAGTATACTCACAGCAGTTTGCCATTTCAAAATATTCGAGTGAAAACAAAGATAGTTTTGTGAAACGTACAGTCTCCCTTGAACTAAAATGTCTTTTACCATTGCACAGGTGTAATCTGAAATATAAACAAATGGCAATTAAATACAGGTTGTATGACTTTTATCTTCTCACTTATCACTTCATTGACATTCAAAGTGAACAACTATACACAGTATTCAAATCAGTGAAGAGCTTGGAGATATGAAACAACATTATAAGACGTGAGGAGAAATGTTGAATGACCAACAATATAAAACAGACATTCAATTTAAATAAGAAGCAACCTTTAAACTTTTTTATACTGCCATGATTGTGTCATGAAGGTGTCAAGCAAGTTCCAAGTAAGCCAAATTGTAAATATAGAGTAAAGTAAGATATAATCAAATGAAAAGCATGTGATGTCATAATTCGAAACAATTCAACTTCCAAAGTTCTATCTTGAAGGGTTGATGCATGATGTTTTGTAAGTCGTTATCATTATACAAATACTACAATTCAAAATGACGCTGGCCTGAAAATTTCTGATTTGAAAGGTTCCTGAAATTTTGTATCTAGTTTATTATTATAAAGTGAACATACCAACAAGTAATCTTTCACTTGAGGGTAGATCTTTGAAGAATTTATGGAAAGCTTCATTTTTCTGTTTGTATGAAGGACTCAGCACCTGGAAAAAAGAATTAACATTTTTAAAAAAATATATATTATTGATGAGAATGCACATCCATTTTTTTGAAGGAAAATCTGCTTAGAGTAAGGTTACAACCACTCAATCAGAAGCACGATCGAAAAATTTATACATTCATGATAGAATTATATTTCAGTATTTAAAAAAAAGACAAAATAACCTCCATGATGTTGTATTATTTACAATCATTAAATTAAAATGAATGCAAAAATTTGTTGACATTGTAGTGTAGTAAATATATTGCACCGGTGTTTCTAATTGGTCAAAATCATATTCACAATTCTCAACTATCTTAGTCTATCAAAAAATTTCAGAACAAATTCCCTTGTATATGAATTAGCTACTTGACAAATGAAGTCTACTTATGCACATCAAAAATTTAGTACAAGAAGTTTTACACAGTTTTCATAAGAGTGTAAATATGTTTCATATTTCAGAGATTAAAATACCATTTTAATTATTTTTCAATTCCTCTCCTGTTACCAAACACAAACAAATCTCTGAAATATGGCACTCATAGCTATGATTAGTTAGGTTATTCATATTCAAATCTAGATGTCGAATAGCAAATCATAAAAACGTACAGGAAACTGACACCGCAACACAACCATCATCATATCATTTAAATTTAAAAAAATGATTCACTTAACTAAATCATACAATTACGCAAATTTGTTAAAAACGATGATACATAGCGCATTCAGCGCATTATTATGGTTTAGAATGGAACCTATTTCTAATCTTGGATTTCGTGTATTCAACCAAATTATATTTCATTTCATATTTTCAAGCCTCTAGTATTTGACAATATTAAATTTCATTTTCATCTTTGCTTAGGAAAGCAAATAAGCGTGCATAAAATAAATTCAATGTATCAAATCAAAATATCAGAATCATATAGGATTTGTCATGAAAAGTATTGGATTGTACTTCATTTGCATCTAGGTGTAGAATCTTGAAAGCCATAAACAACGAATGTGTGTTCATCTGCTAATATTCTTACATCACAATTAAACTTTTAACCATGAGGGTTCCATTTCATTGAAGGATAGGAAGGATATTCATTTTAATTAGGATAGGAAAATCTAGTGGAATATCATAATCTTTGATGTGAAGGATTCATATAATACACCAGGTCTCAAGACTATGAGTTATCCATTATTATACTATGTATGACCAGTGACCACACACAGTAACTAGTGAGAAATGTCAAATGTCAAACTATCTGTTACCTCCAACAAAATCATAAAATATCTGTCTTCATAACAAATTGGCCAATTGTCACAAAAGGAGTGGAATAAAAACAAAACTTCTGAAACCAATTTTCAATATATAATAAAAAGATTGATTTAATTGTTCAAAAGAGGCAGACAGCAGTAAAAATTGATGAGTATGGCTATATAACAGAAAGATTGATTTAATTGTTCAAAATAAGCAGACAGTAGTGAAAATTGATCAGTTTTTAATCAATTGCAAGTGCAGAGGGGTCAATTCACCACAAGTGGCTAACTAATCCCATACCAAACATGAATGATAACCGGGAGAAAGGCCATGGCTCGCCATTTAATTAAACCTTCTTATCGGATTTCCTCTCCCCGGGATAAATATGTTAATCCTAATCCTACCATTAGGGTTGCCACTTCCGGATACATTTTTTTTCGAATCGAATCTCGAATCGAAAACTTTCGAATCGAATCTTTCCGAATCTGATTCCGGAAATGTTTTTTTTTTTTTTTTTTTCATCGCTAAAAAATTACCCAAACTGAGTCACCTCTAATGCTGACATGGCACCCAAACAATACACTATTACAGCAAAAACAAAATGCCAGTGGAAAATGAAATATAATCTGTTATCTGAAAACAAATTCCAAAATAACATGCAAAACTTCAAATCGTGCCTAAAACATCACCCCCCCCCTGTCAGAACCTGCGATATTGTGTGTCAAGTTCGCGAAAAAGGCAAAATTTGAAGAAGATATTGTTTCACTCCAACAATTTCTTATTGCAGTAGAGAAAATTGAGTTCATTAACATGGGCACTCGTTAGTCGTGATCTCAACTGTGAAACAGTCAGTCCAGCAGAAGAAAAAGCCCTTTCTGAAGCAGCCGAGGTTGCGGGTACACTCAGATACTTCACTGCCATTCTCTTGAGCAAAGGGGCACGGGCTCCATTGTTATCCCACCAGGTCAATGGTGCAGGTGGTGACTCTTTTTCATCAACCTTTCGTTTTAAGTACCAAGCTATTTCCTCTGACACAATATTTGAACTTTCCGAGTCTGAAGAACTGCCAGAGTTCTCTAGGCCTCTCTCAAAAAGTCCATGAATTTCACTAGATGAATTCACGGTTTCCATTTGCTCTTGACTATGATCCATTTGTGGCAGGGGTCCATGACGTGATTCATCCTGAGCCGTAGAAGTATCTGCTTCAGTTTCAACAGCTATCCGCACCTGTGAAAAATGTTTCATCAGCATCAGAAATCGAAGTGAGATTAATTTGAAATTAGAACATTCAAAATTTAAATTACCGAGACTCGCATCTGTCTGCTGAAAAATTTGCCCTTGTGAAAGGGATTCAACCAGGTGGACTTGTGGTAAATGCTTACTCCTTCGCTTTGTACTGAAGTTGACATGACATCTGAGAATCTAGTGTGTAACGAACTGAGAATGGTCGAACAGAAGGTCTTTGATGCCGATAGCTGAAGCTCATCGACAAGGAGTTCTTCACACTGACCCACTAAACCTTTTGCAATTGGTAGCAAAGATGACATCGTCACATAATTACTTCCTTCAAGGTGATCAGAGGCTGTCTAAAAATAAGATATTTTATTGCAAATTTTTGGACACTGAATTGTAAACCCAAGGACAAATAACCCTAGTCAATATAATTCAGTTCTCATAAACTATCATTATGATGCAGCAAACACAGAGTTAGTAACCTTTTGAAATAAAATTCTGAGCTTGATTAGTTACCTTGAATGGTTTCAATATGATAGAAATTTCTCTCAGCAAGCTCCAGTGGTTGTCCTTTAGTTCAAGACTGACTGCTGTCGCTCGTGGGACAATTGTTGGATCAGCCAGTACCGAACGAATTATCCACTGGTTTTTCACAAGATTTGCTATCATAGCAAATGTGGAGTTCCACCTGGTTGAAACGTCTATCGGCATCTCAATGTTTTTTATTTCAGTGTCTGCCGACTGAGCATGGCGTCGCAACGCTGTCATGCATTTTGCTGACCTTCTAAAGTGTTGCACTAAGTGCCGCGCAGCACCTGAAATTTAAATTTTTATACATAAATACATCCAGTGAACATATTCTGACAAAAAGTGTTTCATTTAAATAGCATATGATTTCAAACTATCCATTTGTAGGCATTCCATAGATTTATCAGGCTTTCCCCTTATTTAGCATCACATACAGCCTCACTTACCTAGTGCCCTTGCTATTTCTGTATTTTTGATGGCATCTTTGATACACAGCTGGAGGGTGTGAGCAGCGCAACGAATGTGATGCCAGCCATGTTCAGTTTGTAAAATTTTACATGCAGAAACAACATTCGCCCCATTGTCTGTTACTATAGCAAATATGGAGGAAGGGGGGATAGAAAAATCATTCAGTACATATAGGATGTAACTTTTCAAGTTTATACCAGTTTGGTCCCCAACTATTTGTGTAGTGGACAATACATAGTTCTGTAGTTCTCCTGCCATGACAAAATGTGCTGTAACAGTTATATAAGCTTCCATCCGGATGCTTGTCCATGCATCTGTTGTGATAGATATCACATTTTGTTCTTTTAAAATAGACATGAGTTTGCATTTATACTGCGAATATGTAGTTTCAATCTGTTTTCCAAAAAAAGTTCTTCCAGGCATCTCGTATCCCGGCTCAAGATTTGATATTAAATTTCTAAAATGCTCCCCCTCTACGATATTGATCGGCCTCATGTCCCCTATTATAACATTGACTATTAATTTGTCTATATGATTCTGTCTTTGTCTGCTAATGGACTTTGATTTAAAAAAGGTTTCAAGTTTTTTCTGTTTTGTTCCACTTCCACTGCCTTCTGTCACTTGGCTCGCTGTTAAACTGAAAATAAAATGTATAAAATATAAACAGCAGCTACATAATCTTGTACACATTTAGTAAAATTTTCTGCTGGCTTGACCTGCTTTATTGATTAGACAGTATGAAATATGGTGGACAATTGCCTCTGACATAAATTTGCCTGACCTGGCTGGGCATCACAACTGTCAACATCGCAACTAATACAATTCTAACTTTTGTATCAGCTTCAAGTTACACGAGTATAAAATTATTTCTAATTACTGATTTCTCTATTTATCTTTTCAGTCCTGCCAGTATGTTAGTTTAGCAAACCATTGCTTATTTCATTTCCTAGATGAAACTGTTTTAAGTACCCGAGTTTAAGAACTATAATTCTGTAGTTACGTAAGCCCATATGGCGTTCTGGCTGTAGAAGAATTAATTAAAAAAAAGGTTTGGCTTACTTTGATGTATGCACTGAATCAGTGTTGATGAATGCATGTCTTCTTCTGAGGTGGTTCAAAAGATTGCCGGTAGACTCGCAGTATGACAACTTCTCTTTACAGAAGTTGCAAATCACATATGAATATCCCTCCTCTTTTGACGGGCGAGAAAAATGTTCCCAGACTAAGGAATTGGGGCGCCGTCCCTGCCGCCTAGGTGTTATTTTTTTAAAGCTACTACTGATATTAGACATTCTGAATAATAAAAATGCATTGCAAATAGTCATATAATTAAGTTATACTAGTAAGCTACCGATGCCTGGCCGCACATTTTGCAGTCCAATGAGTTTAACAGCAGCGCATGGCACCCTGTCAAGTACCACGTCCCGGTTCTCCTACAATTTGCAATGCAAACTTGTAACAATCAGTCCCCACTCAGTCTTGAACCACTGAATTGTTGAACCCAACACCTCAGAAGAACACTGAAAAAACTTGTTTGTAATATTCCGCTTGACAACACGACAGAACAATACGGCAATAACACTCGCAAATGGCACACAGAGTTTGTAGACTACCCCACGCTGAGTTTTACTGTTACCGGTAACAAATATTGATAGATTCCAGGATTAAATAACTAAATACAGAACAGTTAGTAAATATAACACGCAATAAGTCCCATCCTATCCTAACCTATTGATTCCCAACTAAATAATAACAATAGCAGAAATCTAATAACTCACACTCAACTAAATCCTAAAGGACCGGCAAAGCAGATGACTGCCGATTGCGCCATCACAGCTCGTCTCGCTCACGCACAACAGAGAGCAATACAAGATACTAACTAAAGAGCAAGGGTCGACGTCGGTCGATTGCAGCAGCCAATAGCGTGCAAGACAAACATATTGCGACATCGCTCAATACTCACTCTCAAATACAATAAAGAAATAAACCAATGTTCAGACCTGTTGAAAATTGTTGTCGTAAAATTACGCATCAAAGAAGCCCGGGCGATATGTGAATTCGACTTTGCGAGCGAGCAAAGAGTTTTGCAGACCACTAGCAGATGTCTCGCTGGTGTGTGTTCCCCACTGCAAAACTAACGCAAAACGAGAGCACTTCGCCGAAAAAAAGAAGGCAAATCACTCTCTAAAATATATCTTTCGTCGTTGAAATGAATGCTAATTTCATCAAACAAAGAACTGTATCCCATTATAAAGCGCAAATTCATTCGAGAGAGATAGCCGGACGAGCGCTTATTTGTTTGCTTTCGAGTGAAATCATATCCGTTCGCATAGCTGGAAGACAACCGCCGTTAATAAAATCGAGAGTCGGCGTTATTTTTTGTAAAGCCACGTTATCGTTTTTCGAATCGCCCGAGTGTGATTCGAATCGATTCGAAAAGGCAACGATTCGAATCGATTCGATTCGGAAATCCAAATGTGGCATCCCTACCTACCATCATGTTCTTCCTCCTCTCATACAGTGTTTTGTAAAACATTTAGCTGATATTGAAAAGGATTTGATCGAATACAGTCCGGTTACTGATCCAATAGCATTGTTAAAAAATTCATTCCGAAATTTTTATTTATTTACTTAGCTCAATTCTTCACGGTGGTATGAACAGAAGAAAATTTTGCATATCAGGAATTTCCGACTAAACAGACTGATATGAATGCGACCAGAGGACGAATTGAAAAATTTCCTACTCATAAGTAATCTGGCAATATCCTACAATTCAATTCACTAGTCATCACACAAATATCCACACAAAAACTCTTTGTCAAAAAGTTAAACTTCACAAAATAAAGTCTAAGTTCTAATGTTAATATTATCTTCAGACGTCAAACAGCAAAGAATTATTTGTATTTTAGATACACGTCACACAAAAATGTTATACTATTTTGATTGAAATTTGGACTACCAGATATGTATACTTATCAAAACAATAAAAGTCAAACGAACCATAATCTATATATACCAAGTTTTTAAATCCGGTATGTGAAAAAAGCCTAATGTTACTCTTCCAAAAACCAGAATCATTTAAAACACAGTACATGCTTCATGCTTGGTCAAATAGGGGCCAAATGTTTATCCTCACACTTCATATCCTTCAAAAATGCTATTCAATAAATTCAATCAATAGGCAGAGATAAGTGCACTTATATGCCCAACAGCTCATAAATAAACTGATTAATTCAGCAAAACTTTCCTCAAAAGATTCAGTAAATTGAGGCATGTAAAATGCGAAATTGAAATGAGACTCTTTTCGTCAACGGCAACCACTTAGGTCTGTCCAAATTGAAGAAAATAGAAATTTGATGTGAGGCAATTTAATTGGACACAAAATATTTCGGCAAAAAGAATATACGGTAATCATTGATAAGAGTCCTCATTTGACCAAGCATGTTTTACCTACTTCAGATATTTGTTTCCTAATATGATGCAATTTTGGACTTGATTTAGCAACCACCTAAAATCGACATGGATTTATAAAAATTGGGAAATCATGTTACCTATAATATTTTGTGTTTTAACATTATATATTCCATTATGATTCATTACAAAAATATATCATAAGAAAACAAACTCAACAATAATATGACCACACAGTGACTAATTCCTAAGATTGTTAAGAGTATGTTCCAACTACATTAAAAAAATTTAGCAACAAGTATTATTTTATATAATGAGTTGTTTCTGACAAGATATAAAATCAAGAAAAGGTTTTACAGAGATACAAAAATATAAAAGTAGTGTGTTATTCCTAATCCAATTAACAGTTTGTTTGTTTTCTTGTCAATGGGACTTAAAAAAGAAAGTACCACAGTTGAATACTCTAACCATATAAGCCATAAGAGTATGATTTGTGAAATTATGAAACAATGATAAAATAAATTTTTAGAATGCACTAAAGCACTGTTCAGAATAACCTCATTTTGAATATTCATGTATACTAGATAACACCATGTTGTGATACGTCCTAACACGGAAATCCCATGTGATGTCACTTCCTCAGTTTCGCAGTAATTAAAAAGTAATAAAGAATATATATTAAAAAATGCTGACCAACAAGAGCAATATATTGCCCTCTGTATATAGCTCACCAATAGAAGGCTATAGCCTATAGATCTGACATATTTGAAAATGAGCTTGATTTTTATGGCAGCTACACATACTGATACATACGTACTGCAAATCAATTGAAATACCATGCCAAGTGTGGATCAATCATATAGTCCACCACAAAGCAGGTCTCATGCAGAGCTCAAAAAAATCAAACTGTCAGTGTCTAAATCCCCACATATGCTATTAATAAATCAATACTTAAGAGCCTTAAAGAAAGCTTCATTTACAAACCATAGAGTAAAATCAATGCATCTGCAGTTGACCTTTTGAGAAAGAATCAATAATGATTCTAATTCTAACAGAAATAAACAGGGAAAGAAAATATGTATACGATATGTACTGTATATCGTCGCATAAATGCAGACCCCTTAAATCAGCCCTGAAACAGTAAACTCATAAATATTCGCATATATGCGGACCCTTCAAATCACAGCAAATGGTTGCAGAAGAGAATTAATGAAAATGACAAACATGATCGTGATAAAGCGATTCTTGCTACAGCATCCTTGCATTATATGCATACAGATTCACCGGCACAATACATAGGATAAGTAGATAATCCTGCGTATACGCCAACCCCTCAGTTTGGCAACCTTTTTTGAGTTTTAAACTTGGATTACGATATATGTGAGGATATATGATATATATGGTATGAGTGTTCTTTCTGAAAATAACAACCCCACAAAACTTCTCAGAATACAGTATTCTTTTTATTTTGTGCATCCAACAATATTCAAGCAAACTGGGCCGAATTTCAGCTATTATGAGTGTTTTTTCTCTAACTAAACTAAAATATACTTTATGTACTAGACGCAACATGTTATGTTATGTGTGTGTTGCCATGTTATGTGTGTCTTTTCATGTACTAGACACAACATGTTATGCATGTGTTTTTTATCTCATATAATGAACTGATGTCCAAATAAACTTGACACAATGTCAGCTAGTATTCTAATGTAAGTTCAAGTTACTCATTACAGCTAAACTATAACATAGGACAGTCACTTTGTGCTGGTCATTTTACTTACTTATAAATCTCTTAATAATATAATATACCTGTCTGTCAGAAAATTTTTGTGCCATCCTTGAAAATGATTTGGATTTTCTTGATTTAGTTTTTCTTTTTCGTTTTTCATTTTCTTTATTTTCTGTTTTTGTGTTAAAATCATTCTGAGCTTCAGTCTCCATTCTCAAGCTGGCTATTGCAAGCTCTTCGACAGCGGTTTTCTTGCTTTCTCCATCCAATGATTTCTTTTGCATTGATTTTGTAGGAGAGGAAGGGGTAACCTTACCACGAAAACTACTTCGAATGCTTTTTAACGCCTTTTTACCCTTTTTCGGAGTTGATGTAATCGCTGTATCTGAATCTGCCCGATCACGATTGATCAATACTTTAATTTTTGAATCTCTTATAAAACTATTGTCTTCGAAATCAGTAACTGGTAAACTTGATGATCCAGCATCGCTTTCATAATCAGTTGCGCAGGACCCAGGGCTCAAAAGCACATGACTAGTAAGTAGGGTATCTGACCTATGCCTGGTTACTTTTAACTGAAGCCCGGTATCATCTTCCATAGTGTCATCGACAGGAGTTACAGGGCAGCTAACGGCTTTTGTAATCACCGGTAAAGCTTTACTATTCGTGCCTGCATCTGGGAAACCGCTTATGTCTAAATGCGACGGTCTATTTTGTTGTTTTCGATCGAACTTCCAATCGCTGCTTTTTTCTTTTCCATTCTCTCGAATAGTTTCCTCAATTCGCACCTCTTCTTCCGATGCGTCTCCAAATGACGTCACGGTCACCGTGGGTACAATAGCCGTCGATTTCTCGGGAAACGTAGCCCGAGAGTCCATTTTTATCGACTAACGAAATTAAATTCGATAATAAACTTTTTTTTTTCCTGAATTCGATATATTCTCCGATATCTTTTGTAAAATATTGCTGAGAATGGCATCGTTATAAATTAGAATATTGGTCTCAACCGGGGAGATATTTGGCTTTGTATCTGCTGTAGTATTATATTATCACTATATACTCATTTACGCACACATCATAAACTACTTAACCTGTCTATAAGCGGTAGTGCGGCCTGAGAATAACACTAGCTAACTAAATAACACTCGAACATTGAATACATAAAGTATTTTTATGCGAAGGGGTGAAGCCGTGAATTTAATGGAAACAACGATATTCAGTTATGAAATGCGCTTATCTAGTCGCGATATGAAACATTATATAACATATTGATAACTTGAATGCTTTGCTGCATTGCTAACGCACTATAAATACAAC